CTTTTGGCTAATTCTGGATGAACAGTGAACAGGTGGAACTTTATATCATCCTCTGCAAGAGCCATGTAAGGACAGGCTTCACATTTGAAGAACGGAGTCGATCCTACTGACTTTTCTTCATAAGACATGACCTTCTCCTTAGGCATGGGTTTTACTTCGTTTAATCTTTGATTTGGCATGTTATTTACACTCATTAGGAAGCAATTACTCGACATGATTCACGACACAAATATCACTTTAACTATATTAAAATTTCATTTTAATGATACAAATAAAAGCAAAACAATGCTTTCTAAAACAGCTGTAACCATGCGATGTGATGACTACCATTGTGATGGTTTTGAACTCTCAGCTGCTTGAATAAAGAAGACGAGATTTCGAAATGCTTAATTTACTACGGTTGATTTACAGAAATTAAATAATTTATTAATTATATTACATTGTCTTACTGTTCTGAGTTTTTTTATTTGCTCAATCATTGACAGGATACATTGACAGAATTAAAGAAACATCAATATAACATCATGTTTTATCTGTGACATCAGATGGACAGACTAGAATTTAAGTATATACAAACTGAATAATAATTTTATTGCAGTAACAAAGAAATAAAAAAGAAAAATTAAGAATATAAGTATTATTCAGTTACCGTATGTTTTGGCAAGAAAGCGTATCAAAAAGTTTAATTAATAAGAACACAAAATTACCAACAGTTTAAGATTATGATACATTTTGACGTTTTTACTTTTTTTCTTACTTTTTGTCGATGGCCGGCAAATTGACTGACGTATCCCTTTGATGTCAGTGTTTAGCACCGTGTCGTGTAATTCCAAAAAGAAAAGAAAAATACAGCAAGATGAGTGTGAGTACATAATTATTTTAAAATATTTTACATTGTGCAGTTATATTTGGATTCGTAGTGAGAATTTTAATTGTTTTTCTAGTTGGAAATTGAATCGATGGTGCGCTACACGTCGCCGATCAACCCGGCAGTTTTCCCGCATCTCACTCTTCTCCTCCTCGGTATCGGAATTTTCTTCACTGCGTGGTTCTTTGTTTACGAAGTGACCAGTACTAAAGTGTCGAGGGATCTATTCAAAGAGTTGTTATTGTCGCTGGTCGCCTCCCTATTTTCCGGCTTCGGTATTCTCTTCTTACTACTGTGGGTGGGAATCTACGTGTGATATTTTAAAGAGAGTTAGTTTGTAAGCTATGTACATCATTCCGAGAGTGTGTCACGAAATTGGTTCTGTGCAATCTAATGATTGTTTATATTCATAAATTTTATATTTAAGAAAACAAGTGTTTTACTTATCTTAGAGTTTATTATTGCCTATTTTATTGCTAATTAACAATTCTTAGTTTAGTTAGCAACTTAAAAAGATTTGTTTAACCTCAACAATAGTGAAATAAAATCATTGTTAAATAACCTAATTCAATAAATACTTAAATAAGTGCATAAACATTACAAACTTGTTTTCTATTTAATAAATGGATTCTTACAAGAGGATACAATAAAATGTTTTTATAGTTCATAAACAATAGTTACAGAATGAAGTTATAAACAAAACACTTGTCTACTTCCATTGAAATGTTTATGAAGCTAAGAAATTGACTGATAAATAAAACAGTAACATATACATAATTGAAACAAAAAGCACATTTGATAATATTATTAAAAAAAAATAGGTTTTTTGTAATACTTTATCCCAATCGTCATTCTTTGGAGTAACGTTGCTATTTTCTTTAGATAATAAAATAAATCATAATGTGATAACAATTTCAATGTTGGCAGTTATAAAAAAACAGGTCTTTCATAGGTATTTGAGATTTTATATTTTTACATGTGCGCAAGGGTAGTTCTCCCCTGGAACCACATTGCACTACCATGTGTCGCTTTGGAGCAAAGTCAAAGTCAAAATCATTTATTCCAACAAATAGGTACTTTTGATACATCAAAATAGAAAAGTTATCTGTCAGTCTGTTCGTCAGTGAAGCTAGATGCTCATTCCAAATTGTTGATTCGAATGGAGACGAACAAGCAAGAAATTCCACCGTTACTCTTTTTAAAACATATTTCTTTTACAATTTCACTAATATTACATTTAGTATACATTAATTTACAATACGGCCGTTGTATCTTGGCGAGTCTGAAGTTAGCCGAGTAGCTGCGCAGTACACAATTTTGTTCCTAAAAGATCCATTGCGCAGACAAACGGCTAACTTCAGACTCGCCAAGATACGTCGGCCGTACTGTACCCTTATGTGAGAACAATGCAGAGACTAGTTCTAAAAAAAAGAATAAATGATGGGATCTATCATTAAATTTTAATCTTTTGTCGTGTCGAACATGGCGCTCACATATGAGATCAGAAATGAATCTTTAGAGATTAATGAGTGCTTCTATATAAACTCTTTGGATATATAAATTGAGGAGTCATGAGACATTAGACCACAACAGACGGGCCACATAGGGCTGACGCTCAGCCGGATTGGCAGTGTAATAACGAACTGCGGCTCCGGCCCGGAGCAAAGACAAGGAACAGGGTGGTTTTTAGTCAGCAAGAGTTTCTCCCTCACCCCACCCAAGGCGAGAAAAGGAGAAACTCGACAACAGAATTGATGATAACACTTAAAAAAATTAAAATTAATTATAACTTAAAAAAAGAGCTACCTTATTCAACTGTACATTATGAACACAGTATACTTATTTATAAAGCATACTTCACTATTTTTCCATAAAACGAAAAACCAAGTCTGTTATGATTTCATGAGAGCTGAGACCATACGGGGATTAAAAGGCATGAAGCTAGTTCCACGATACTATCTTCAAGTTTCAGTATTCTCATTAGGAGGGTCGTTGGCTTGTTCGGTGAGGTTGTGTTGTTCTCTCTCTCGGCGGAACGCGTCATCCAGTAGCACGGTGTGGTGCATGCGACGCGACGCTAGTGCCTCGACGCGGTCGTACAATGTCGGGTTGGACAACACGAAGCGGCTATTGGGATAAAACGGCACTATTGTTAAAAAATATTAACGTTCCTACCCACTATACAATGATATATACATTATTTATGGAATAAGAGGTAAAATGCTATATAGACATCGATTTTATTAGTGATCGATGTGTATAGATCACCGCCGCCCGCGCGTTGTCGGCCATTTTAAAAAGGAGTACGTTTCGTGTATGTCGCGTCGGTTCGGAAATACCGTCCCCGAAATATTACCTACTTAGTCCAAAATTTTGCTGTGCTAGGCTGAAAGTACAGCTAGTAGTCGTTGAGTTTCTAACCGTCTTTATTATGGGGATGAAATTTTTTTCGCGTGGGTCAGTTTATCAGAGTTATCAGAGGAGTCAACGATTCGAACTTCTATATTCTTTAGAATAGGTACGGTCCAGAGAGTGAAGCTGGTACGAAACCCCTCCCCACAGAGAAGAACACAGTATGCCATGTGAAGCCAAACTTGCGCCTTATAAATACATTATATATATACAATAGTTTGATAATGTGAGGGAGAATTTACCTCCATGTACCTAAATACGTGGTAAATTGGAAAAACAGGCGCATAACAATGACAATGTCTCACAAATCAACCTTACTTGAAGTCTGGTGCATCAAGCCGGTACAGCTGAGTGATCTCGACGGCGACCACAGTGGCTATGCGTTTGCTGTCCTTCATCAGTAACGCCACTTCCCCGAAATGGTGACCGTCCTCCAAGTGACACACCTTTGAATAGGAGTTTTACTGTAGGTAATGAATGTGAACTAACTGATAAAAAGTTTGGAGATATATAAATCACCTCAACTCCCTTCAAAGAATACACAGCTACAGTTCCAGTGGCTATGAAGTACATGCAGTCGCCGATATCGCCAGCGCGGACCACTAGGTCGTTAGACAGGTAGACTTCGGGGCGCAGACAGCCCAGCACTGTGCCCACCACACTCGCTGACACGTCCTCGAACAACTTCACCTTGTGGACTAACGTGCGACACGTGTGCAGCTTAATTTCGTCACGTAACTCCTCTATAATAGGAAAAATCATTAAACATTTTTTTGTGAACTGAGGATTTCTTTAGGATCGTGGAAAAAGATCTACGTAGAACGGGACTCAACTGCACCATTAATCACTACAGTAGCTCAAGGCGGATTGGTGATTTTAAACTTAGTTATAATAAGTCCAGGTTTTTCCATGATGTTTCCTTTCACCGTTTGTAAGTTGTGTCTGTCACTTAAAAAGTAGGTCGGCACCGTAGACACAGAAAAGAGGTACATATAACTCAGAAAAAGTCACATTGATACTTGTCAGGTTTCGAAACCGCACCCTGAGAAGCCGGCCTACTACAACCGGCTTAAGCAAAGCATGTAATCAACTATGAAACAATTTTACCCGAAAGACAGTCGAGATCAGACTCTTCCTTAAAGTACCTCTCCTGATATCTGTACTGGTAGAATGCACGCACGCGCCTCTTAAGGGAAGGCGGGAACTGTCTATATTTCATGTACTCCTGGTAAATGAAAACAGAAGTAAATAGTCCTAGTAGTAACTGCTAAATTAAGTACCCATACTTTAACGATCAAAAGAGATTAAATAAAAGAAACTAAAAGAACCTTTATATTTTATAAATGGTAAGTAGAAGTTAGAACTTAAGTTTAGTAGTAACTTACCTCTACTTGATTCATAAGTCCCTGGTACCGCATACTAGATCCAAAGATTGTGAGATAACTTTTTATCAGGTAAACTAGGAAACAGTAACAGATTTTTTAAAAATGTATACGTACTACCAGCGTCGGCTAATAATATGAGAGTTACTCAGTATTACAAGTAGGTAGATAACTATCGGGGTCGCGTGTCTACAGGCTCCTAGGTGGAGGTTCCAGCAGCATCGAACAGGAGTTGGAACGAGGTGATTTTTGTTACTTTGTCTGCTAAAAACACTAACCCGTCTCAACTAGGGCGGCAATAGTCATTTAATAATAGTTTACATTCCAAAATTTCAAATTGCATTTTCCTAATTGTATAACTCTAATAATTTTAGATATTTTGAACACTTTAAAACTTATCATAGTACTTACCTAACGTAAACACCATAAACATGGCAGCGTAGACAATTATTACTGAATGAATCAAGATTTCGTCTGGTTCCGTTGAGCGAAACAAGGTAAATCCGGTACCTGAAAATAATAATACATATCATTCAGTTATTAAGATTGATTTGGCATTCAATTCAATTTTCGAAAAGAAATAGTATCTTAGTAAAGTAAAGAGCAAGCTAGAGGATGAGAATAAGATTGAAAATTGTCTTACCTGCTCCAAAGACAAAACAAGATATTGCAAAATATAATAGGTAGGTAGGATCTACAGTAAGAATGTAATTAAGGTGCGTACCAAAGAAGGCGGATAGAGCGATTATAATAGCTTTATTGAATCGGGTGGTCAGGTCGTATCCCATTAAGTCTTTCTTGCCGGGGCCTGTACGCATGTAGTAGTTGTAATGTGTTGGCATCTCACCCGACCCTGTAACGGAATTTAGAATTAAGGCAACGACCAGTAAGCACGATTCATCGGGACGTAGGGCGGTCAGGCACTCCCGATCGCCCGGTTTAGGGACACTAACAGACCAACAGCGATCATACTTGGGTATAAGCGGAAGAAACATGTAATCAAGATAAGGGAGGGAAAGCGGCCTCTCCTGGCACAAGTGTTTTCATACTTAAATGGAGAGGTTAACCTCAATTTTGTTTAACCTATTTAGTTATTATGTTTTCGGCTTACTCACGTAATAATTTGACGAGATACTCGACTAGTTTCAAGCCATGCTAGAGGCCCATATTCATGAGTAGCATTCCGCGACACGCGACGCGGCGATTATCGCGCTGCTACTAGCTATTCGAGTCTACGGCCCAACGCGCCCTCTGCCTATTTCTAATGCCTATTATTACGCGAGTAAGCCGAAAACATAATGATGAATATCGCACGAAATTTACATATAATAAAAACATACTTAGTTGTTTAATATTTTCATTCTCATTTTATTTCTCACTGTCACTCTCACTCTCACTCTCATTTTCATTCGCATTCTTATTTTTATTTATCATTTAATGTTAAGTACATTTTTGTTCATTCGTTGAGATTTTTCGACTTAGTGCACGATGAATCATGCCGTCTGATACACCTAACGTTAATGCTGATGCCATATAATTTGGGATACAAAAGGCCGAGATATCAAAAGTGACTTGGAGTCAAAAAGAAATTATTGCTACTATGTCTTCGTTTTCGTCTCTCCTATTAGAATCACATTATTTTCTTTTGGTATAATGTTGTGTATAGTTACATCTTTCCTAAACATTATGCGCATATTTAACATATTCTGCAGCACAGTTTTAAACGATTCCTAAGGTTTATTGAAGATAACTGCTTACGTGATTAACTGAGAAAAGTTCTATTATTTCCTAGTCAGAACGGGACTAAGTATTTTCTATAATAAATTTCGTATTTCACACGATAGTTACAGGTAGGGAAAATCATTAAAAGACCTCTCTCGCCCAGGAAAGGCGAGAGAGAGAGTATCGAACTATTACTGACTAAACCCCCCCTGTTCCTTCTCCTGCTCTGAGCCGAGGCCGCAGTGACTCATTGCGCTTAACCCGCAACCCCGGCTGAACATCAGCCCTATAGGGCCCCGTCTGTGGTGGTCTATTGGTTCTTTGAGGCACGCGAGGAACGCTACGCGCCGTGCGCTTTCCAAAATATTATTGAGGTTATAAAATAAGCAGTAGAACCACTGACAGTAGTATACGATGACAGCGGGGCAGTACATGAGGCAGCTGCACCAATGTGAGGACAGCACAAACATCACGGACAGACGGACCAGACCATGCACGATGTACGACTCCGTAAACAACTGAGGACAAAACACGTGACAACATTAAAACTAGGTACACTTTTAGCCAACATTTAGCTACATTAGGCATCTACAGCGTCTAGTTACCCATAGCGACATATAAATGAAATCTACAAATACCTATTATTCTAATCTCAAAAGTTAATATTGCGAAATTACTTTTGAATCCGCGGTGAAATCATGTTTATTTAAAGTTTCGTATTCTCAAATGGAGTGAAATCTACATTGGCGCCACCATGTGAATAACGAAGTGAAAGGAAATAAAACAAGTGACTATTTATTTTGACGTTTGTGTACAGGCGAGATGAAAAGAAAAGTGGTGTGTGACTTTTGAGATGAGATTAACCATTTACAGAATAGCAATACTATACTAATAAAGACCAGAAGTCGTATTACGATCTCTTAATTCCAGTCAATTTACACCTTAAAATGAACTGCCTTGTTTATCCGTATTATGACGTCTTATTGCCAGTCAGTTAGCAGTCACGTGACACTTGACCGATTTCTGCACGTATATTGGCTGGCAAACCCGTATTATGACCGCCAAACTGAAATTTCTTAGCTTGCTCAAATGTCAAAAATTGTGTCAAACAAACCAGTCAGTTTACGCCGGTGTCGAGTAGCTTTTACTGAATTGTTTTAAGTTTTTATCACATAATGTTTACTACAACATTAAATATGTGTGATGAGTTAATAATCTTCGAGTTTCTTGAAAGTGATGCGTCACAAGATAACCACCAAACAAACATTCAGAGGACGCGTCTTCGAGATCTTAGTGACCGTTTTGCGATTGGAGATGTTGAATTTATTAAGCGATACAGGCTTAATAAACAATTAGTCCACAACTTATGCGATGAACTGCGACCTCATGCAGCTACTGGGTCTACAAGGTCGTCGGATTTACCAATTGAAAGAAAGGTTGGTAATTTTAGAGTTTGTTCAAATTATAATAGATTTAGCCATTACTTAGTCTTAGATTCTGTATCTTGGGTATGTGTACTGTTAATGAAATCAATAAACTTACAAATTAATTATTCTTTCAGGTGTTAATTGCATTATCATTTTATGCTACGGGGTCGTATCAACGCCCTGTTGGTGATATATCTGCACACTCTGTAGCGCAGCCTACAGTGTCCGTGGTGATAAAGCAGATTACGAAATTATTGAATTCACCTCATATTCAAGCAAAGTATATAAAATAAATGGACTTCATTAGTTAAAAAACCCTTATTATAACAAAAAACTTTTATTTTTGCCGGGTGAGCTGTTATCACCTATCCTACCTACCATTACTTAGGTTCAGAAATGTAGCGTATGTCAAAAATTTATGTTGTGAGACAGTGCTGTATTTTCATATTTATGACATTGTACTTACGCATACAATACATAATTCGTTTTTGAACTCATTCTTAATCTCGATTCTGTTAGGAAATTACATTATATAATATATTACATTCAATTTTCAAAAACCGTAATATACCAGTAACCCTTTTAAGATGTTTTCGAACGCAATCTTTCAAGACGGTGCAAACCAACCACAGACAATCATCCAGGATGAAACCAGTCAGAAAAACGTACGTCATAATACGAAAAAGAACCATGCAGTTTACGGCCTTAAACTGACCTGCCAGGAAACAAACTGGATTTTAAAAAGGTTGTAATACGCGCCCTGGTCCCCCTTATTACAAAACAAGATTTATGTTTAGTCCAGGTTTAAACCATTGAGTCAGGTTTTGAATTTTGAATCTTATTGCCATCACACCTTCAATTCGAAATACAAAAACTGGCTCAATGGTTTAGTCCTAGACTAAAGTAAAACCTTGTTTTGTAGGTAATAAGGCCATTTTTGGCTAGCAAGTGGCTGCCGCGCAACGTGTGGGGGTCCGATTTCCGCACGGAACAACTATTTGTGTGATGCACAAATTGTTTTTCTGGTATGTGAATTTGCATGTTTGTAAACGCACCAAATTTTTTTTTATAAGCGTGACTGCGAAATTGTAGTTCTAAACTTATGTAAAACGACATACCTTCAAAAAAATCTTCAGATCAATAGCCACTTCATAAATTTTGGGGGTTCTGAGTAGAGCCATTATATGTGCTATCAGCTGCAACCGATTGCTAGCTTTCAGGTAAGTGACGACGTAGACTGCTGGCAGGCTGGATGCCAGATCCACAATGAACCATCGACGAAGGTAGTGGCTGAGAGAAATTTGTTATCTTGTAGTTCTTATATAAACCAGAGCAAAAGCATTAAGGATAGTTTAAAATTAATACAAAGTTTGCATATAGCAGAAACTACAGTGAAATTCATAGTTGCATATATTATCAATGTTTTATAGACAAGATTATAAGGCAAGAAGTTAGATTAGCTGGAAGCTGTAGGTACAGTCAGGGGTCAAAAATGCAATTGCACTCTACCAATTTTAAAATGACCAAAATATCTTTGTAGAATAGAGTCAATGGTTGAGGACTGCTTTAATTTATAGCATAGCATCTAAATTATTGAATAAACTGGCTGTGAACCATTGAACTTTTACTACTTACTAGAAGATGGATTTCTTGTTCATAACGATGTAGAAATTACTTTTGTTTAAATATCCCGTATTGAGCTTGATCAAGATGTCGATAAGACAGACGAGCTGCAGGCCTACCATCAACAGATCTAACCAATGTATCTCCGGGTCGTCGATTGGCTGTAGGATAAAAAACAGCCGAAAACTCGATACGACAATGTGCATTAGATTTACCATCATCATCACCGACATCCAAACTAGGCTGAAATAAGAAAATTCATTTTTGAGACACCAGTTACGCTATGATCAGTGGAATCAGCTAAGTGTGGGAGAGCCATGGTTAGGTACGAATGGTTCGGCTCAACCGGAAAGATATCACGGCCTCACAGAAAATCGGCGTGAGACAATCACAGCGTTGTGTTTCGCCGTGTGAGTGAGATTACCGGAGGCCTAATCATTCCCCTCCTACAACAACACTCCTAAAATCTAATTCCCAAAAGACCGGCAAGGCATTTGTAACTCCTGTGGCGTTACGGGTGTCCATGGGTGGCGCTGATTGCTTACCATCAGGAAGTTCGTAGGTACGTTCGTTTGCCGACCTATAACATAAAACGTCTGTTCAGGGCACAGACCAGCTCTTAGTGACTAGTAGGTAGCAGTTTTAGGAATACACAAGAGAGAATACACAATTTAATTACGTGCTTTGAAACTGTCTACCTCCTTCTTGTACAATAATGTCGCAGTGACGTAGTTGTTTACCATTTTGCTCTATCTAACATCATCTAATTATTAACAGATTCCTTGGCCACATCTAATTAATGATTAAAACAGCCTACATACAATAATATCTGTTGATTTGCACCTGAACAAACTAAGAGGGTGTATAACGTTTCCTTCTTCCTCCAGCAGTTGTCTCTGTCGTTCGGCGACCACAGCTGGGTAGCTTCGGAAATACTCGTAGGTCACCGGATGGTGTTTGGAGAGCTGCGCCGTCTTACGTAAAGTACGATACATGCGCCCGAGTAGCGTGGTCTTTTTGGGGAGCATACTGTCGGAACCTTGAAGGGGATTTATCGTTTTTATGGGTCATACTTTGCATGTAAAGATACCAGTGGCACTACCAGTACCACGGACGTAACTATCTTATGTTCTTTTCTTACATCTACAGCAACAGCAACAGTTGCTTAGTAATAATTACTACTGAAACAATTTATATTTTTATGTGAAAGTGCGAAATCGTTAAATGACATCAACCACTACACCAGTGTCAGATTCTTTTCTTACTCCCTAGCCGGAGTCATTGCGTAGGTATATTAGTAGCTATTTTTGTCCACGACCCAGAACCCTGAAATGGTTGGCAAAGAATTTTGCAACTCCTGTGGTATTTGCAGTCATATGTTTAGTAGGCCAATAGACGGCCAGATTGCAACACTATTGTTTTTTTTTTGAGGTAAAAAAATCATCATTTTTTGAGGGACTTTTCCCGCCCTGGGTGGGACGGATAAGGAGTGTCCAACTTTTGCTGATTAAAACCACCCCTTTCTTTATTACGCTTGCACCTGCAACTGGCTGAACATATTTCTATGTGTTGGTGGTCTAATGAAATTTCGGCGCGCACGCGGAACGCGACGCGCCTTACACTCGGAGGAGTGGGTAGAACTCTGTTGTTGTTGTTGTCGGTGTGTTACACGTGTCAAGTCATCTGATTGGTTGTTGATAATTCAGTCAACCAATCAGATGACTTGACAAGAGATTAAATTGATTTTAACATTGATCGGACTTTCGGAAACCGGGTGCGAGTGTGGGAAAGTCTAAGTCTTTTTAAGTGTGGGAGAGCCATGCTTCGGCACGAATGGATCGGCTCAACCGGAGTGATACCACGGCCTCATAGAAAACCGGCGGGAAACAACTACAGCATTGTGTTTCGCCGTGTGAGTGAGGTTACCGAAAGCACATCCTTCCCCTCCCCCAGGCCCTCCCCAATCCCTAAATCTCGAAATCCCTATTCTCCAAAAATTCCGCAAAGCACTCGTAACTCCTCTGTTGTTGCGAGTGTTCATGGGCGTTGTTGATTGCTTACCATCAGGTAATCCGCCTGCTCGTTTGCCGACCTATTACAAAAAAAAAAAATTAAAGTACGTTTCCTGGGGCCCATTAATTAAGTTTGCCAGTCACCCCCTGGCTCCTGCTTGTTTATCCGTATGTATCAATATTGGTCAGGGGCAGGGGCCATAGTATTTTCATAGTTATCATATCCATCAGACCATAGCATGAGCAACCCATACCTAATAACCCTTTCAATTATTACTACAATAGTCGCAATAGTCGCAATAGTCCTGCATCAACCGGGGATTATGCTTGGGTGCACTTTCATAGTATATACAGGGATAATTGCCGGCTGATGTCCCACTTTATTTATATAAAAGTTGTTCAACGGGCCTCTGCGAGTTGTGTTAGCAGAGAGTCCGGGATCCTGTGATCCCGTGAAAGGATACGAACTAAATTTATTATCTGCTTACCAAGATTTAAAACACAGTTATGTTTCTTGTGAGGCATTTTTCTAGTAATGCTGTTTCGGAAATAATCTTGAAAGAGCATGGTTTATCTATCTACTTCGAACTTGTTATTAAACAGTAAGTAAACTTAAGCTTTTTATTAAACCTCACTTATCTCCTTAATATTATTTTATCTTTTAGGCAACGCGCAACAGAATAAGTATTAAATGTACTCTGTGGTTATCAATGTATTTTTTACTTTTTTTCCTTCAATGACAACTAGTCTATATATAGACAACCTATCTTTATAAAGTTTCATGGAGGTTAGACAGAAGAAGAACAATCGCTACCAGCTAAAGCATTAGCCCGCTTGTCCCTGAAATTTTGTAGAATTAATTGTTTATTTTTGTATGTATCTACGAAGTTCGAGAGATGATCTCTGGCCACAGTAAGCGCGGATCTGCGAACGGAGTAAGGGTAGCTCGCCGCCCGATCAGAACCAGGCCCAAGCGTACTGCGCGCGCCTAAAAGAGTCAATAGACCCCCACAGACGGGGCCCTATAGGGCTGATGTTCAGCCGGAGTTGCGGGGTAAGCGCAATGAGGCACCGCGACTTCGGCCCAGAGCAGGAGAAGGAACGGGGGGGTTTTTAATCAGTAAGTCTTACACTCCCTCCCGCCCTAACCTGGGCGGGAGAAGTCCTTTGATGATTTGACCAACAATTTTTTTGTATATAAGTGCAAGTTGATTCGATTCTTGTCTCCCTCTCTAACCTCCATGTTAAGTTCGGTGTGTGACATTATAGTTTTTGGTGACATGATGTGTTAAAAATTATTTATGTCGATTCTTCTTTTTAAAGTATCTTCGTAGCATTGTCTCTTTGGCTTAGATATTAATCAAACCTCTATATCTTTGATTTGTTGATACATAAAGGTTTTTTTAAAAGTATTCCTAATTATTCTTTAAGAAATAAGCTGAAAAAAACTGAAACAGCCGGTGTCTGTGTTCCCCAAAGGGTATACCCAACTTACAGAAAACAGAAAAAGTCAACCTGAGTGTCGCTTATGGGTAGGCCTGTTCCATCGTAGGTCGCATCATCGCTTACCACCAGGCATTATGAAATAAAAAAGAAACTTTAGGTAAAAACATCTACCGGTAGTTTGTCTCCGCATCCGGCACACAGATTATCTAATAAAGACATCCGGCTGGCAGAGAATCTGATGTAAAAAATTCTCGTACAAAATTCATAGACAAGTAAGTTATAGTTTTTAACATTTCGATGATTGTATTTGATTTGATTCTCAAAGGTGATGTGCTTGAGTGCAACAATTATAGAGGAATAAAGCTAATGTCGTATACCATGAAAGTATGGGAGAAAGTTATTGAACGGCGGCCGAGAGAAGAGAGTGACATTTCACAGAACCAATTCGGTTTTATGCCTGGTCGTAGTACAACGGCTTTGATTATTAAGTACAACGGATGCCATATTTGCTATACGCCAGTTGTGCGAAAAATATAGAGGTGCACATAAAAACTTGCACATGGTATTCGTTGACCTCGAAAAGGCATACAACCGGGTACCTCGTGAGGTTCTGTGGTGGGCCCTTTAGGAGAAAGGTGTGCCTGGGAAGTATGTGCAGTTGATCCGATCAATGTATAGTCGCTGCAGTACACAAGTCCGGTCTGCAGCGGGCCCCACTAACAAGTTCAATGTGTCCGTCAGTTTATACCAAGGGTCGGCTCGCAGCCCTTACCTCTTCCTAATAATAATGGACGTTCTGACGTCGGACATTCAGGAAGAGGCGCCCTGGTGTATGCTGTTTGCCGATGATATTGTGCTGGTTGCCGAGAGTGCCCTAGAGGCCCAGAGCAGATTGGAGGTGTGGTGGCAAAGACTGGAGAGTGTTGGCCTAAAACAGAGTACCTGTTCTGCGATTTTGGCGGTCTCTCTAGTCCTGTGCCCATAGCTCTCGCCGGAACGCCCATACCAACCTGTTCCGATTTTCGGTACCTTGGGTCGCTTATCCAAGGAAATGGTGAGATAGACCGAGACGTGGCACATCGGATCAACTCAGGATGGATGAAATGGCGACAGGTCACTTGAATAACTTGCGACCCACGGATGCCCCTCAGGTTGAAGAGTAAAATCTACAAGTCAGTGATAAGGCCTGTCCTACTGTATGGGTCAGAATGTTAAGCTCTGAAAAAGACGGATGAAAAGCGATTGCATGTAGCAGAGATGGGAATGCTGAGATGGATGTGTGGTGTGACGAGAATGGATAATGTGAGAAATGAGTATATTAGAGGAAGTTTGAAATTGACGCCAGTGACTGAAAAGTTAAAAGGGAACCGTTTGTCTTGGTATGGCCACGTGAAAAGGAGGGATGAAGCGCATGTTACAAAAAAGCCATGAGAATTAATGTGGATGGCTGGAGAGGGAGAGGGAGACCAAAGAAAATATGGATGGATTGTGTGAGAAGTGATATGGAAGACAGAGGAGTTAGCGATAGCGTGACGGGTGACAGGACAGAATGGAAGAAAAAAACATATTGCGCCGACCCCAAATAAAACGGGACAAGGCCAGGAAGATGATGATGATGATGATGATTGTATTTGATTAGTTTAGGTAGTCGACTGCGTTACATTATTAAAGCTAAGCGTGGTGTTCCCGGTCACCCGGACTCAGAACTGGGTAGTTCTGACCGGGTTAAACTTCGGGGATCCGACGAAAACCGCTGTTTTCAACATGTTATAGACGTTGGTACAGATAAAATAGGGGTAAAATGAAAACATTAATCAAATATATATTAAATGTTTTTATTGCTATAAAAAATATTACACTTATAGGTACTTTACGAGTATATTATTTTGTACAATATATTGATATTAATGTACATTTTGTTAGATTTATAAATAAATGTATAATAGACTATGCAACTTATAAAGGTATAATAATTTATCTTCTAAACTGGGAGTTCGCGAACTCGGGGCTGAAGGGGGTTGAGTTCGAGCCGAAGTTGTTTTCTTGGTTCGCTATATGACGAGGTGAAAAATTCTGAAAAACAACATTTATTACCAATAAGCTTGTTAGCTAAAAACAGTGAAAAAGAAATGGCAGAGTTTATTATGTTTCGGTACAATGGGTCGGCTCGATCGGAGAGATCACTGCCTCTCAGAAAACCTTCGTGAAAGAACTACAGCGTTGTGTTTCGCCGTGTCAGTGAGGTTACTGGAGGCCCAATCCTTCTTCTCCTTCCAATCCCCTTCCAATCCAAATTTTTGAAACAATGATACCCCACTGTAACTCTTTTGGTGTTGCGGTTGTCTATGGGCGGCGCCGATCGCTTACCATAAGTCGGTAAACGAACAGACGGATTACCTGGTGGTAAGCAATCAACGCCACCCATGGACGCACGTAATACGAAAGGATAAGGAAGGATAAGAAGTATGTAATACAAGTGCGTTGCCGGCTTCTTGTGGGTTATTAAAGGATTTAAGGAAGGTTTACTCTGGTATCACTGTGTTCAAGCCAGGTAATTCGTGCCGAAGCATGGCTCTCCCACACTTAATAATCACATATTATGCTATGATTTATTGTCATATTTAAATTAAATTGGTTGAAATAAAATATTATATTTAGATAGATGTTTTATGTGTTCCCCCTTCCATGTTTTATGTCAAGCAATTTTATTTGACTACCAGCGGTCCGCCCCCGCTTCGCACAGGCCCAATCGCTAACAACAAGAGGGTAACTTTTCCCAATTTCCCCTCGACTTTTCTTATATTTTCTTGAACTGATAATAACATATACAACAACAAAAGGATTGGACAAGTTGGCTGTTGATGAGTTATGCGTGCACCAACACATTTTGCAATATTTTTTTTTATATTAAAGATTAGGTACCTACTTAATTATTGTCATATTTACAATTATAAAACCATTTTGAAAAAACATTTTGATCAAAAAGCTGCTGCTTTTTTTTTGCGTTTATCTTATCGAATGTATTGTAGATATTTATATCACAGCTTACCGGATTCGCAGCCTCGTTTGTGGGCGGGAAGTAGTCGTCTCTGAACTGCGGTAAATCTTCAATTCCGATCAGATCCGAGTCATTGGACATTTCGCTGTAAGATATACAGAAACATTTTATTCATCAAGTAGTTATAGCCTGCAAAATTGAGGCCAGTTAAAGTTTTAAAATGGTCTGGCCCTTTCAGATACTTTTTTTAACAAATCGTAGTCCCGCACTAGGGTTATCTCCTGTGTTATAAGTGCATTTACGAAACAAAAAACTTATTATTCATACCCAGACCCGAAGCAATAATTTGTTGATCACACACCGTGTTGTTCCGTGTACGCTTGCTCAAGGTAAGTAGTATATGTATCGTATGTAGTTAATTTAATAAATAAGAAATACAACCAACTAGCTTAATTAGGCATTTAACCAACGGCCTAAAAGACCCGCCGTGTGATTGTATGACTGAATTTTTAGTTCAGGCTGTAAGTTGAAGGGGATTGTCATGAAAACCGAGTTGCTACCAGGATGGTATTTGTGAGACCTGCGACCCGTACAGAAAATAAATCACCATCGCAAATAAATAGCTACTATTGATTGAACAGCTATTTTAACCAGTAGGTTGCGACGTATCTATTATTAATTATTATTCAAAAATAATATATATATATAAAGAAGTATACCTAATCGAGTCAAAGTCAGGTGCTTTGATATTCTCGTTCCAGATAGGATTGGAACCCTCTACCGCGTGTTTGTTGGTGTTTGGCGCGGCGACTGCAGCGTGGTTGAGGTCAGAGTCCATGGTCTGATCCTGGTTGGTCGTTGAAAGGGCTTCGATGCGCCGATTTAGTCTGATAACACAAATTCATTTGATGAATAAGAATAATTAATTACTATTGTATTATAAGGTACGATGGAACTACCATGTACGTACCTATGTACTATCAGTGTCATAAGTGCATGGAGGATTCCAAATCAAAATCGTTTGTACGGCGTTTCATCGCCGTAATTAAATATACCATTGACGACATAGATGGCGCTAGTATACTAGTGGTATTGAAAAATATACATTTATAGTTTTTATCAGATACAAAGTTATTAACTTAATAATTTTTTACACAAATTAATCCTACGATATTCCAAACCTTTTTAAAGCAAAGCACGCAATAACTAGGATTCGAACTCGGTAGCATAAAATTTACCGATGCCACTAGCCATTAGGCCATTGCGTAACCTTGAAGTAGATTGAAATTATCCTACTCTTTATTATATTGAAGTTGTTTAGCAACTTTAACCCGATCATAAATCTCAAAACAGTTGAGGGTAATTTAATATTAACTGTATAAAAATTAAACCTTTTTGTTCAATCATTACATTCTTTACTATCTTTGAGTGAGTTCAGTTCCGATTTGTTTAACAAGTTTTTAATATTTATTTTTATCATGAGTTTGCGTTCAAATGTTAATATGGCTACGAGGGCCCAAATAATAGCATTGCATAATCAAAGCTTAAATTATACTGGAATTTCGAGAGAAACTGGCTTAAACGTAAGTATTCTTTTAAAATGACCGTTCGTTATTTATTTTATTATCCATGGTTATCGATACATGAAAATAATAAATAATACACGTCCCTTACAGGTAAAGACTGCCACTTTATGGATATCTAAAGCTGTTTCAAGAAGAGTGTTCATTGGAGCACCGTAGTGGATCTGGCAGAAGACGTGATATTGACTCAGACCAGCTTCAACTTATGGGGCAAGGTTATGAGGAAAACTTCTGGAGCATTGTCATCTTCAGTGATGCAAACAGTGAAAACTACATAGATGTGCTGAATGACGCCATGAAGATGTGCTAGTGATAACGTTCGTGCAGGACAATTGTCCTATGTGTAATGTTCCATAATTGTGCAAGTGTTTAGTCAGCATTCAGACATACGGGTTATTCCTTGGCCAGCGAGAAAGGAGAAATAGGATCGATAAAAATGACGGCTACACGAGTTCTTAAAAGAAAAGATATTGTTGACTATAGGATTAAGCAATTACAAGACCGGGGTAGCTATAGTTTATTTAATGGATAAATGTTCAAACTTAATGTTAGTAGGATAAATTTATTGACTACTTTATAACCAGCAACTGTTATTTACAGTAATGCTTTTAATGTTTTACTAAATATGAGAAATAAAAATAAAAGCAATATTAATATCTACAGATGCGATTTCAATATAATTAATTATTTATTTATTATTACTATAAACAATTCGTCCCATATCTAATGACTGCTATATCCCGGTCTTACAAATGTTATTGATTTAAGGTCTAGCTTCAATTTCTTCCTTGTTCTGGAACGAATACTTAAGCTATGACCTTATATACCTTTGTCATAACACGATGCACAAAATGAATCACTTTAGTCAATACTTTAATTAAATTTTATGGGGAGGTAAAATAGTTACAGAAGTAAGGTTGCATATTATATAGAAACGTATTATAACATTGTGTTTAAAACTAACTAATAAATGACTAGCACAAAACAATTTTGATTTAAAATACTTACTATATTAATCTTATGAAAAGTGAATTGAATAATGTGTCAGTTACCTGAAAAGATATTAGGTATACACCTATATAAGAAAGAAATAAATATTATGTTTTAAGAAATAAATGTCTGAAATTATAATGTCACTAAAATAGTTTTATTTGTTATCCTTTATGAGAATTATACTTAGTATTAGTCTTAATCTGTAAGAAAATTATGTTACTTTTACATTAATAGTTAGCACATATTATAAAAGTTATTTATATATATTTATTAATATAATTTATTTCTAAAATAATATATATATTTATTTTTGTTGTCTTTTATAAATATTAAACGTCAAATATTTTATTTATTTATTATTATTATTGATTTTATGTAAAAAAATATAAAAAAAACCATTATTAAAAAACCTGAACTTAAAAATGATATCCCGGAATTGAACCGGAGCCCTTCGACTTTATAATTCTATCATCCTTATTCATCCGAGCTACCGATCGCATTTTTTATGATATTGAAAATGCGGGTTAGTTTATAACTTTTATTATTGTCTATTATTAATTATTGACGCCATCTTTTAGTTGGTTTGCTTGACTTGACTTAGATGGCGCTGTATTAAGTCCTCGGAAATCAGAAAATTAACATAATTTATGTGTTTTTAAAAAAAATATAAACATTACATTACATATTATTGTTTTTTTAATTATTATTTTAACCATTATACATTAAAAATTATAAAAACCTTATTGTGTGCCTCTGCGGTGTAAAGTATTCAAGCTTTGTAGGGTTATTTTCATTTAAAAGCAGCGCCATCTAGTTATCAATGGTAGCGTTATGCAAAACCTGTCAGTCAATAGTCGACCTTAAGCTCTCCATGCATTTTTGTCACCCTTAGTACAAAAAATCCTAAATAAATAAAGGGGGAAAAAATTCAGAATGTAATCACAAAATCCATAAAAAGAACACAGCCTTTTATAAGTAGTCGATTTATGTATGCACAAAAGGAGGTCAAAGAGTGAGGTCTATGAGGATTGAGGGTGCATATTTGTGATGTTTTTGCAGGAAAGCCTTCCCTTCTTGAGATAGATAAAATCGTTTTGACATTATTGAAAGATCGATTTATTTGTTACTGTCTTCGTTTTTGGTTCTTAATTTTTACTCAAAGTTTATTAACTCTTTGACCCAGGGACTTTGCCAGAAGTTTATTCCAAATAATGTTGGTTAAAACACACGATAAACTTTGACAATTATATATCTTAGTACAATAAAACTATTTGTAAATACTGCATCCGTTTTTAAAGTCAATCAATCAGTGATTTTACTAGACGTGGTACTCACGTTCGGTTCCTGATGAAGAAAGCGATGACGAGAGAGAGGCAGATGACGGCGAGGAAGGCCGCTATACCCGCGAGGATGTAGACCGCCAGGGCATACTCCCCTCCGGGCAGTACCGTTGTTCCTCCCGCCGCCAAATCCAGTAATGACAACTCCTGAGTTCTCAACACTTCCTGGATATCACGTATTCGGTTGATATCCGTAAACAATCTAAGGACATGAAATTCATTAATAATTCTCTTTTTAATTTTTGCTGTCTATATTTGTGAAGAGTTCAAAGTAAATCCTTTATTTAAAAAAATAACCAAAAATTCATTCAAAAAGGTCTTATAGTTACAATTTACTATAATCACGACCATATGCTTAAGTCTATCCCGATCCAATGATACAAGTATGTCCTGGCAACTTATTTGTACAAAATTACTGTCAATAAATACATTGATTTCATTTTATTAACTTGTTTATATATAAATTACACTGCACCTAGGTATTTGACGGTCGGCAGACCATTAAATGGATCAGAATAACAATAGCAGTGGCTTACTCGTCAATATATTCGACTGGCACCGGCAGATTGTCTCGTATGAAGTGAGCCTGGACTTCTGTGAATCCTTCTCGTATCACGCCGTTAGCCTCGGTAGCCGGCAGCACGCTGTCTATGTTACACGTCATACCGAAGCCGGTGGAGAGGGTTTGAGCGACCTGGTGCATATAATAGTAATTTGTAATTTTTAGTAATTTGATTTGAATTGATTTAATTTAATTTTGTGTTTTCGTGGTTCATGTTATTTTATTTTTATCCTAATCTTGATTCACGTTATTAAGTTGATATTTTTATTTAAATTTTAATGTTTTAGTAATTTTTCTTAGTTTAATGTTTATGTTTACATACGCTAAGTGATGTGTACATCTGTTAAAGATATACATATAAGAACTCTTTCTCAGTTATAAAATTAAGAAAACGATATTATGTATATTGTTGATGTACCTTATTAAATAAATAAATAAATAATAATAGTGTGTGAAAATAATAGTGTGGGTCAAAAACAAAGCTTTACTCCTATGTGAAAAAGCTGTGCCTCTAGTGCCAGGAAAGGCTAGTAACCTGGTATACTTACGAAATCCCTTCTCGCGTTAACTTCAGCCTCCGAGTTGTAGAACAGGAAGGCTACTCTAACGCGCGTTGATATCATGAAGATTGTCACTTCAGCTCGATCACTCGCTCCCTCTACAACACAAGTACTTAGTTTTAAATAAATCCTTTTCAAAATTTCTCCTACATTCTCAATCCCCAAGTCCCTTTTTTTTTCTTCAAAAGTTTTCTTTATTTCTACTCTCTCCACTATAATTATTTATTTCAATACATCTTTAAATTCCAAACAACCCCAATCCTTAAATCTACAAGTTACTTATCCCCAAAAGGTCGGCTACGCATTCTTAACTCCTCTGTTAATAGGAGTGTTCATGGCGGCGCTGATTGCTTACCATCAGGTAATTCGTTTGCTCGATTCCTACTACATAAAAAACAAAAAGGCTAGCAGCCGTAAACGCACTTGTATTAAATCCTTTAGTATTACAAGTATCCATATGCGGATCCGATTGCTTACCATCAGGTAACTCTTCAGCTCGTTTGCCGAAGAATCCCATAAAAGAATATAAAATGCGATCTTGGATTCGAAAATGATACTCATTCGTCGGAAAAGTCTCTCACATCAAAGAATTACTTACCTGTATCGGTAGCCACCACTTCGAAATGGAAATTGCCATGCATGGCTGATGTTGGCTGGAAGTTCAGCGATATCACTCCGGTCTCAGAGTTGATGTTGAAGGCATCCCCCTCCACATTCTGCAAGGACTCGTCCACTACCATGGTTTGCCAGTCTATTGAGAACGTTATGGGATGCCCTTCTGAGTGTGTTGCCTGCAAATTATTGCCGATTCATAAATGTTTACATTTCAATAAAAGAACATAAGTAATATTAAGTGTGGGAGAGCCAAGCTTCGCCACGAGTAGGTCGGCTCGACCGGTGTGATACCACGGCTTCACAGAAAACCGGAGTGAAACAACCACAGCGTTGTGTTTCGCCGTATGAGTTAGGTTACCGGAGGCCGATTGCCTTTGGTGTTGCAGGTGTAAATGGGCGGCCATGATTGCTTACCATCAGCTAATCCTTCTGCTCGTTTGTTGAACTATAGTATAAAAAAAGGATCCTTTTGAAGTTTTTTAAGTAGGCTTAACTATCAATGAAGAAGAATTTTGAGAATCCGACCAGCAGTTCTAAAGATTACCTCCTGCATGCGAACTTACAAATTTCGTAATATTAGTACAATAAGTAAGTAAGATTCCAGTAACGATTTTACTTTTATAATTCTTTTTTTTTCGTTGTTAAGGATCGAGTCTATTTGATCACAACAAAAATATCCATACTAGTTTGAAACGAATTATATTCATTCATAGAAAGAAACCTGCTATTTATTTAATTGTGATTGTTTTTAATTTTTGCCGTAAAACAATAGTTCAGTCCGAATAGTGGGGGGATGGGAGGAGGGGGTATTTTTAGGATGATACCAACCGACAGATAAACGAGTTCCCTGTTTATATTATCTGTGTTTAAGATGCCTGCTGTGTAAAGTTCTCTGCTGAAGACCGGTCTAGGGTTGGCTTCTCGTACCTGAAAATATTATTTGATACTTCAAATTGCGTGTCAATACATTGTAAGGGTTACTTTAAAAATTACGATAAGATTTATTAATGAACCCTTAAAATGCTCAACGTAAAACTAAGATTTTCCAAATCAGCAACAAGTAATGAAAATTGATTAATTTTGTTGGCTCCACGCTCATGAATAAGAGTCCCGCTGTGACTTGAAACTAGTAGAGCATTCCTCAGTTTGTTCTCGTAAGTCGTTATCTTCAATAAGTTGTATACATAATGAAAATTTGAAAATTTTCCTCTTGTGATTATTCAACGTGGAAACTAGCAGCACGAGAATTGTTGTTAAACGTTGCAACAGAAATGCTACTGACGTTGATGGTGACGGTGAGAAGTGAGGATGGCATGGCGTTGGTGACTCCAGGAGTGTTGGCAGCGGCCACCACTATTCTGTGCTGGTCGCGTTCGCTGCGGTCCAGCTCCTTCACCAAATAGATCTCGTTAGTTTCCGGGTCTACAGCGAAGTGGCCATCATCGTTACCGTCTGTAAAGGAATTAACAAAACTACATTATTGGACAAAGCCTCTCACCGCCATTTTTTTATGTTCATCATCATTATCGTAAGCCCAATGCTGAGCAAAGGCCTCATTTTACGCGAGAAGGTTTGAGCATTAATCACGCCGCTTATCCAAAGGCGGATTGGTGATTTAAAAATTATAATTAGAAATCATAAGTCCAGGTTTCTTCACTGTATGCCAGTGACGTCTAAAAATAAACATAGAAAGTACATATAGCTGGATGAAATCACATCGGTACTTGCCAGGTTTTGAACCCGCGCCCTCATGCATGAGAAGTGGGCGCCTTAACCTCCAGGCTTTTTTAATGTTATCAGACGTCAAACAAGCTAATGGGTTACAGGCACTTTTGATCGTCAAACAAAGCTTAAAGATAAAAAGGGTCAGTCTGTTCGTCAGTCCTTTTAGTGAAGCTGCTTGCTCGTTCCAAAGTGTAGATTCCAATGAATACAAAAAGGCTAGAAACTCCATGGTTGCTCTTTTAAATCATTTTCATATACAGATTCTTTGGTACATTATTAAGTTCTTAGAACAGTTTAACACTACTTTTGTTTTGCTCTTCTACTTCTGATTGCTTAGCATTGCTTAGCTAAGATCTTTTTCTTAAGATCCGAGTACTGTGGCTGCAGGAAGTGGATTACCTGATAACGAGACTAAGGTCTAAGCTTAGAATACAGAACAAACCAGAAGGCGTCATCGCGCTTCAAACAGAAGCAACTAAAACCATTCTCAACTAGAATAGTATGAAATTTCTACGATTAGTCAATTTTGGCACGTGGCATGTCGTGACGTATTTACGAGTATCAATTTTAATTTCATTATGCCGTCTTGTGTTATTACTACGAGAAAAAATGCGACTGGAATTACGAAAAAAGTGGATAAGATTACATTTCATCTGCAAGCATCGACTGTAATAGTATATTTAATTAATTATTGAATTTTTTTTATCGATTTATTTTTCTATGAAAATGATGCGGCCATTTTGTGAGTGTTGTCATTTTTGGTGAAAATTTTACCCACTTATTTATTTGTTGTGGGTTATATTTTTGTCCATTATGGAGCCTATGTCATATTAGTTTCCCTGACAAAAAAATAAATACAAATCATACAAAGGGAACGGTTAGATTAATTTTGGAAACCATCTAGCCAGAGCATAGTTTGCTCAATTCACTTTGAAGAGATATATTTATGACAAAGGTGGTTTGAAAACAGCATATCCTACTAAGATATATCTATACTAATTATAATGCTGAAGAGTTTGTTTGTTTGTTTGCTAGAATGCGCTAATCTCAGGAACTAAGTAAAGTAAGTAGACTTCTAATCTTTAGTTCCGAGTATAAAGACAATACCATATAAAAAACTAAACCAGCAAAAGGGAACGCAATAAAACCTTTGTACTTATTGAAGCTTTATTTGTTGTGTATAGTAGGTGTAACTAAAATAAACAAATCCAGAAATCGTCAACGTTATGATACCTCTATGAAATGTGTGAACAACTAGTCTGTTGCATTTATCGTCAGTTTACCTATTTTGTTGGGTTTACTCGTATCTTACCCTCCTGTTGTAAAATTACCCCAAACCAAGGGAATTGTTCCACTGTCGGCACGCGCACTACGCGGGTGGGAAGTGCGGCTGGCGGGGGGATTGACGTATTGTTTTTGGACACATTTGACGACATGTAATTATGAGTAATATGAGTGAACGCGGATTCTGGTTTGTTCTGTATTCTGAGGGTCTAAGAAAAGAGTTGCTTCGTGTTAATAATTCGCAAAAAGTACAAACGTGACTCACCAGTGATACTGTAGTAGACGTCATGGCAGTCTACCGTGCACTCGTAGTTTTTGGGGTCCACAGCTTCGGGCAGCTGGATCCTCTCAGCCATACCAGCATCCTTTTCTGTAGGTAACAACATTTTTAAATTAGGAACGTTTTAAGTTTAGGTCACGTGTTATTGTTGTTAACGTCACCGAAAAACAATTGAAAAAGTTTGTAATAAGAAGTGGGAGAGAGAGGTTGTATCACCATCTCTTTGCACGCGTATGCCAAATAAGGGGTACTTTATCTTAAGTAATATCACTTGTCAGATGTCACGGTGTCAGATGAAAATAATTAATCTTTTTATTTTTCCCGGTGGTAAGTAAAAATGCAGCCTAGGATGGAGTATGTTTGCCCATAAGCAATTAATTGTCTCGGTCTACATTTTATTTATAACAAGTGACCCATCCCGACTTCGAACGGGTACAATATTGATTAAAGGATGCTATTATACACATAAACTTTGCTCTTTAATGATTAAATCACTCTATTTATTAAAACACCGCATCAAAATCCGTTGCGTATTTTTAAAGATGAAGTATACTTAGGTTATAGTGACAAAAAAGCGTTTTTGTTTCATAACATGTAGTGAAATCCAACTGAAAAAAATGATCAGGAATTATCAATAGGTTGGTTGCTATTATTGGCTATGTGCGCAACGGTGGCGACGCGTAGCGTTTACAACATTTGCGGATGCTGTCAAATAATAATAAAAACCGACAGCTGATCATCCGCATTTGTTTCCAATTTCTGCCGTGTTGCGCGCTGCGGTCGTTATCTGTCCGTCACTACTCGCTTTGCACATAGCCAATAAGGGGTTCGTAACATAACCATAGATGCCTATCGTAGTAGACATTTCATTAATTTCGTGGTTCAATATTTAACAATGTCATTAAACTTACCTAAGAAACGGATAGTGACTGTGTTTTCCGAGAACACGGGTTCTCCCTGTGTCAACACAAACACCACAGTGACAGCGCAGTCGGTGAACCTGGGCCCTGGCTCCGTACCGCCATCAGTAGCTCGGATAACCAACTACAAAAATATAAAAAGAAAATATTACGCTTCGTTAAAGAATACTTGATTTGGATGGCCCTTTCTCATAGAATATAGCTAATGAAGAAGCTTAATGTAGTCTTTCTTTCACCTGTGGATTTGATTCAAAATTTTTAAGTATCCATACAACTTCTTACTAGTGGTTGAGAAAGTATGGCATTGCAAAGATGAACATAGGTATCATACAAAGTGTTTTAAATGAGCCTGCATCAGAAATAGTAACAAGCTTGTGCCGCAGTCAGCAAGCACCGACCTTCGTCATTATTAATAGACTTGCTATAAGTATTGTATGTTAATATATGAGGAACAATGGGTTTAAAATTTTAATAGCAAACACCCTAAATAAATGTAAATAAAAAAAACTTCTTACTAGAGTCGGAACACTACTATAACGACCACCAGTGTCTTTTTATACTCAGTACTTTAACTTAGCTTCTGACCTGCTACGTCGTAGCAGGACAGAAGCTACGCACGTAGCCGTGGATTACGTAGCCGTAGAGCTGAATCATTTAGTTTTATGTCCCGTTTCACACACTCTGAATAGCGAATATCTACATCATATAAAATGGAACAAAGAACTAGAACTATGTGCCAGTTTGAATAGGGTGCGTTATAAAAGTGATTAAACAAGCCCTTCATAAATTATATTTCTTGTTTATGATGTCCGTACTTCGGCACGAATGGGCCGGCTCGACTGAAGTGATACCACGGCCTCACAGAAAACCGGCGTAAAACACTTACGTTGTGTTTTGCCGTGACGGATGTTATCAGAGGCCCAATCCTTCCCCCCACATCCTCAATCTCTAAATGCCCTATCCTTATAAATGCTAATAACCCACAAGAGGCCGGAAACGCACTTGTAGTAACTCCTTTGGTTCCTCCATTATGAGTGTCTATGGGCGGCGCTGATTGCTTACCATCGGGTAATCCGTCAGCTCGTTTGCCGACTTATGACAAAATAAAGACATTGAATAATATACCGCACCTCATACTGCTGGACGCCATCGGGCAAAGCTTGCTTCAGCGTGAGCATCGCTGAATTGTCACCATCATTCACCACATGGAAGTACTGCTCTGCTTCATCTGGTGAAGTATAAAAGAGATTACAATAATTAAAAAAAACTTTATTTACCCTCTCAATAGTGGTTTCTTTTTTTATGTCATAGGTCGGCAAACGAGCAGACGGATTACCTGATGGTAAGCAATCGGCGCCGCTCATGGACACTCGCAACGAAGGATTTACGAGTGCGTTGCCGACTTTTTAGGGATTAGGGTTTTGGAGATAAGGGATTGGGGTAACCTCACTCACACGGCGAAACATAGCGCTTTGGTTATTTTACGTCTGACAATTCGAGACACAACAGAAGAATAATAAGGTCGCGAACATCGGCGTTTGCTTGTGGTCTGATGAATTAAAATCAATAAAAACAGATTCAATTGAAGCCGCTTGAAATTTTTCGATTGCCGTGTTTGTTGTACCTACCTAAGATATGAAATGATAAGGTTCTTACCGTTTCCAACTATAGAGAAAGTTACTTCGCCTGCGTGTAATCCATCTTCATCGGTGGCAGAGAGGCGGTCGAGGAACTCTCCGCTCGCGATATTTGCCAGAGCCAGCATACCATTGACTATAGCACGCTCCTGCGGATCAAATAAAAAGTGTTTGGAATTATAATGCTGCCCAAATACACAATTATATACTCCTAATCAGTCAATTCCGTACAGTTCGCCTCGGGGATCAAATCAATTGGGTAGTTTCCAAGGTCAACTATAAATTAATTCTTCGTAATTTCTATACAATAAATAAAATATTAAAAAATAACTATACAACTTTAATACATCAATCTGTCGGTACATAAAATTTTTGATACTTGTGAGCAAATTTTTAAGTAATAATTGGGAGTTTTACATTTTCCTAAGTACCTACTATCGTTTTTGACATTTGGATAAAAGTATCGCAGTTGTTACTCCTATGGTGTCGGAAGGAGGTGTACCTACACACCAGGCACTTAATTCGTCAACGCGATTGCCACCTAATAACTTACCCTGGCAAGCCTGATTTTTGAGTTAGCTGTTGGGAAGACAAACTCTGGTGAATGGAAGTTGTATGGTCTGACGGTTAGTTGATACGTCTCGTATGAACTGAGGCTCGGGACACCGTGGTCAAACGCCTGAAAAATAAACATTTTATTCGTGAATCATATATCTATAATGTACCTAATCATTATAGGATAAGATTGAAAATCTCTTAAAGATTTATTATGTTTGTTTTTTTTATTTAATTTAATTTTATGCAACGTGAAGTGTTAAATCTTTGGAATAATTTGAAATTGTAAGTTAAAATAAACCTTAAGTTATAACTTTATAGCTACAGTGTTATTATTCTTTTTTTTAAGCTAGATAAGTATATTCGTGTTTCGTAGAAAGTTTCTGTAATATCGCGGCACCTAAAACAATGTACGCTAATAATAAAAAAACAAAAAAGTAAAACCTTCTTGTAACAAAACACTCTTTAGTTAAAAAGATTGACTAGTCTAGTAGTTGGATGCTTTGAAGTTGCCTTATGTATATATTATGCATAAAAGCTAATACATTTTCAATGATGAAAATGGTGACAAATACAGGTTTATAACACCTATAGGTAGCGAAAAAATACAAAGTTAAGTTTTAAATTTTGGTATCTATTTATACTTATAATAAATTTGTGGAGAGTTCAATTCTGTAGATTTAATATATTTTCAAATAAGTACCAGGGGTGTGATTCTGTAAGACTTCATTCTAAACTTCGAATCTGAATCCGCGGTGAGTTTCTTGATTGGCATTCTAAAACTCGATTCCTAACTCGAATCTATGCTAGCGCTACACTTGCGAGTGTGTTTACGAGTTGAACTAAATTGACCGCAACATTTTGACAGATAAAGTATGAGATAACGTTGAAAATCGTATTCTATAATGTAATTGCCCCGTCACTTCGACGCTCACTTCAAACTAGAACAAGATTCAAAATGTCAAATTAAAAGTATCTATTTTACGAGTGAAAATGGAAGAAATAATAGTTAGATAGTGTTCAAATTAAGTTTTGAAAGTAACAAAGTGAATAAGTGCTTACCTATTAAAACGATAACGATGGCAAGAATGTTTTTGGTAAAATCTTTGTTAGAAGAAGCTCATGCTTTAGATAAACAAGAAATGCATCGACAATCTAGCACCATTCGAAGTTTGTGTTTATTAACCTGAGATGACGACTATGTGAGCGTGTATGTGCAATGGAGCTGATTGACCAACTGAAGGATGAGGTACTGCCTTTGATAAAACCCACAAAACGGCGAGGCAAAGGACTTTGGTATGGTATAGTTCATAATATGTATTACCTGGTTAGTTATGCCCCTACTTCAGAATATATAAGTCTAATTACTAGGTTTTATTTATATTTGATTGGTCGGAAACGGATTACCTGATGGAAAGGATTCAGCGCCGCCAATGGATACCCGCAACAACAGAGGGATTACGAGTGCGTTGCCGACCTTTTGGGGATTATGGATTTGGAGATTTTGACACACATTCACACGGCGAAACACAACGCTATGGTTGTTTCACGCCAGTTTTCTGTGAAGCCGTGGTATCACTCCGGTCGAGCCGACCCATTCGTGCCGAAACATGGCCTTCGCACACTTAAAATAGTATAAGTACTAGATAGTCATTCAATTTTTTTCAGGTGATTCAGGATATGCTCAACGTGCCTACTTTATGACACCATTAGTGGTGCTGAAGCCAATTCCCCAGAAGCATTTTAAAATAATATACATGCATATTACTGCTCGCAATTTTGAAGAGAGGACAATTAGAGACGAAATTATGTACAATTGCTGATGTTCAAAGGAGGCAAACTAGGAATTTGCCATCTAATACAGGTTTAAATCTAGGACGTAGGCAAAATATAGTGCCTCAAAGAGCCAATAGACCACCACAGACGGAGCCCTACAGGGCTGATGTTCAGCCACGGTGGAGGGGCAAGCGCAATGAGGTGCCACGGTCACGGCCTAAAGCAGGAGAAGGAACGGGGGGTTTTAGTCAGTAAGAGTCTGACACTATCTCGCCTTACCCTGGGCGGGAGAAGTGATATGATGATTTTCCCCTGACAAAAAAATATGATTATGATTTTATTTAATTTTATTTTGATTTTAATTCAATTAGGGTCTTGTATGATTTTATTTTTTCCACATTTTTTTATGCGTGTGATTTATTTGTTTTATTACATTTTTTTCTTTTAATTTAGCCTTACGAGCCTAATTGTTAGACCCTAGTTAATTTATTGTATCCCATAATTGTTTGAATATACAATTGAGTTAAAATCAAATAAATAAATAGTGATATGTGAGGATGGGTCTTTAACTAATAAAACTGCTAGTACTCGTTAAAATTGTTTAATTTAAATATAAAAAAAAAAATTTGGTTGAAACGTCTTAAACACTAAAACACAACTTCGTTGTTACACCCTATCTCGATGCATGGCCTCTGCCAATGCTCACAATCCATTCCAGATTGAAACTACAGATCCAGCTAAAATTTAATCATTCCCTAGACTTCTCTTCAGAAATGCTTGCAAGATCTGCGCATTTGATATTTGTAAATTCTTCCAATTGATTTGAAATCGTCTACTCTTCCACCTTCAGGAATCTCTCTGTGATGTTGGAGAATTCCGTTCGCCGTTGTGATGTTGGAGGAGCAGCAACTGAAGATGTGTGACGTGATACTGAAAAGAGAACACCGATTAATATGTGCATTGATAAAAACTCTTTAACAAATTGCAGCTTTTCGCTGTCGTTTGTTCCAAAAATTAAGTTCTTTCTTCAACCTCTGATAGCTCAACTTCATCTTCCACCACACCAGTCCTGTCCTGCGCCTAGCTGCTAAGCTTCTTATGGCGCTTTTTTCTCAGACCAATACTACAAGCAGACATTTATATTAATAAAGGAGTTATTAAAAAAAGCCTTACTTTTTATTATTATTAATAGTCAATGTAAAATTAAAATAAGATAAGTTATATAACCAAGGAGCACGCCAAGATTCATCGCTATTTTAAGTGGCTTGCATTAAGGAATATTAAATGGTTTTAACATGCCAAAGTAAGCACTACTTACTTCACCTTGGTCCTCTGTTTATAAGTTTTGAAAGTGCCATCTATACCATACAGGCACACGGCTAGTTCCTTCCACTAGCGCCGATTTCGCTCTCTGGCACCTTGAGTTCTCAAGAAACCCTTCGCCAGCCAGGTAAAACCTGTGATGACGACGGGTGTGAGGAACGTATCTCATTTGGACTGAAACATTATTGTTTGATTAGAAAACAAAATAAACACTCTATAATAAATATTATTTTTAAACTTTACAACCAGTAATAAAACTTACTTCATGTTTATGATCTCAATTTTTATCGGCAAACACGGAACAGAAAAAATATACGAATAAACCAAACGTGGACAAAATAATACAAAGCAAATGACAAAGAGTTTGTCAACAATGAATGAAGACATTATCCGTCAGTTTTTTTTTGGTAAACGAAGCACAGATTATATTCATCGCCTGAATTTACAGTTTTCTGTTTATTTTGTAATAATTTGCTGCCTAAAATTCCTTAAAATAAGAAATTTCAATTTATACGTCATAATATCTAAAATTCTGTGTCAAAAACTTGTTAAAATAAAAACCGATAAATCTCGACTTACATTTTGTGTAGTGTGGTACTACACTAGTACAGTATTGGCCGATTCGGAGCTCACTCCACTTCGCAAGTGCCTAGGTGATGCTTACAGAATGCAAAATCAACGCCATTTTGAACCTTATGCGAAGTGAGAGAGAATGTCGACTTGACATGCGAGTTCGTGTTAGAATTTTATAGAATCGACGTGCAGGGGTTGATAAGTGATCGATACTGATGCCAAAAATGCAATCAGTAAAATTTTTGTCTGTCTGTCTGTCTGTATGTTCCTTATAGAAACAAAAACTACTCGACAGATTTTAACGAAACTTGGTACAATTATTCTTTATACTCCTGGACAGGTTATAGAATACTTTTCATCACGCTACAAATAATAGGAGCAGAGCAGTGAAGGGAAATATTGGGGAAATGGGAGAAGTTACTCCCTTTTTTAAGTTTCCGTCGCGTGTGTAGCCATAACGGTTAAAGTTACATAGAAATTATGTATGCGAAAATGTTTAACTTAAAATTATCTAAAAAAATTGTTTTACAGTATATTTCTATCTTTCATGGTTAACTCACAGTAGCACGTGTAACTCCTGATAGCTTAGCAGTTCGGATAATAAGCCATCGCGTCGTCGCATGTGAACACCGAATCATGCTATAAGGATTATTTTTGTGTAACAGTTGCCGCGCTCGATGCGACGCGGTATAAAATATAATATAATAGGTTTTATGAAATATTTCTAATACTAACCTATTTTAACTAAAATTCGCGGGTTACTCACGTGTAAATGTTGAGAAAAGCTCTACTAGTCTCTCTATCAGTAGGCTGCGCGACGTCGCCGCGTCCGCGCACGCTGCTCATGAGGAAGAACCCCTCTGTGGTTCGAAATTAGTAGAGCTTTTCTCAACATTTACACGTGAGTAACCCGCGAATTTTAGTTAATTTAGTATGTCTCACGATAGTTATTATAAAAACTAACCTATTAAGTTAGATTCGTCATTTGTACCATTCTATCTAAGAACGGTTGGACAGCGGAGACTTAGTAAGCAATAGGGTATTTACCCATTGGAGATGTACCCATAAAAACGCGATGACGACAAATTTTATGTATACTTCGATTTTGTTCTATTGCTATAGGCTGCTTTTTATCAACATAGCACGCGGGCGAAGCCGCTGGCGGAAGCTAGTAACTTAATAAAAACGTAATTAAAACTGCATCTATAGGCTGATGATGATGGCATGATGATGATGATGATGATGATGGTGGTGATGGCAAGCAAAATCAGGTCTGTCACTGTTCGCTCAATTGCAAAAAGTACAATGTAACCAACATCTTTTACACGTCAGACGTAATTAACACATTCAGTGCCCCCGACGCGTATGTGCGTTTCCTCGCACGCACTTACGCGTCGGGGGCACTGAATGTGTTAAGAACTCGTGGACAAATGTTTTACGACTCTTATGTAAGTACCTACAATGTTATTTTGGAATACTTACATGTATTTCGACATCGTACGTGCCCCAGTATCCTCTAAGGTCCATCGTAGTCTCCAGCTCTCCAACAAATTTCCATTCTTCGAAATCATTAATTGTTATAATCTTGAATGGATCTTGGGGAAGTTCTACGTTCCTATTGGTCAATTTGATTGATTGGATAGCGTATTCGACACGAGAATTGTCATTGAACGGTTCGTCTCTGTCATGTGCGTGGATCTCGGGCGGAATACGACGACCCTGAAAATTAATAGTTTTTATTTAATTATAATATTAGGATTTCACTTATTTTGTATAATTATCTTTGTTCGTTCGGTTCCTTGCACGGGGCCACAAGAACCCGGACCTTTGGAAGGCGTATGAGAGGCCGAAGCCAACTCGTTGAACAATTATCCTTGAGTGCATTATGGAAATGCACGCAACTACAATGACCAGATGATGCAGGACTATTGTGAAACAACAGGGCAACATACGTGGAGCTGTTTCGAAAATCCCATGACTATCAGAGCAATCCCGGAAGTACGGTCAAGACCCCTACCAGCACCTTACTGAGATACATCCTTCCCCCGAGTCTCGTTCAACTCCTACTCTTGCGAATCTCAACTCAAGCTAGCCTATTAAGGTAAGAATGAGGTAGAAGGGCTTGTTCATCACCAGTGTTCACTCCAGTTTGTCACGAAGACTAACCGGAGATGAAGAATAAGACACGGGAGTCAGGTCCGTGGGGCCACCACTGCCCAACAGCTCGCCACTGCCCAACAGCTCGCCACAAGCTGCCTTGTAGATGTATTATTATTAGAAAGAAAGACAAAAAAACCATTTATTAACGCAAAAGCAACAAAACAAACAAGTAAAACTAACGATGACACAAACATATAAACATTTAAATACGCTGCAGTTGCGTTACCCTGCGAAAAAGGGACAGCGCTTAGCATATATGCTGTGCCTCGCGCACGCTGAAAACCAGCGCTGTTGTCTCATATTATTATATTATTATTTGTTCTAAAGATGTTTCGAGCATATTTACATTATAATAAACTGTGGGATTGAAGTCGTTATTATTACCTGTAGTTCACCCTCAGAAACGGTCCAGAATTCGCCAACAGAAGGTGGTAGTTCCGGCTTATTGTCATTTACATCAAGCAATATAATACGCACTTCCGTGGAGATCGTATTCTGATTGCCATCTAAAAAAAAACATGGATTATAAGCAAATGTATTGTTTAGAGGTTGCTTTAAAAAGTAGGATGTTTTTATAGCCATGGTCACATTGATATTTGTCTATCGCGTCGACGCTATCATTAAAATGTGGTCTTATTTATACTGGGATTTTCTCCTGCATCGTGAGTTTTGGATCTACGACATGTTGCCCAGCCACTGCACTGCAGCTATCTATACTAATATTATAAAGAGGTCAAATTTGTAAGTTTGTATGTAGGGGGTAATCTTTGGAAACACTGGTCGGATTGTAAAAAATCACTGATACATAGCTACAATGTTCGTGAGTGCTATAGGCTATAAAACATCACGCTACGATTAAATGGAGCCAAGCAGCAGGAGAAACCGCGCGGGAGTAGCTAGTTTTTTCCATATTCTCAATTGATGTTAAGCAGGCGTCAATTTTACAATCGACATCGTGACACAACACTTGCTTATATCGCTATAATAAAGCTCATGTTGATCTTGACAGTCAGCATTAGCTATAGGCGTGACTGTAAGTACAACCAACCTGAAAACTGCATGCTTTGCGAAATGAAAGCTTATTTTCTATGACATACTGAGTACCATTTTACCACGTCCATTGTAATGATTGTACGCGAATGTATAGAACAGATACAATAACGCATGAATTACATTTATTTTTTAACGTAGCCAACAACTGACATTCTGCTTTATATAACAATAGTTCGTTGTATAATTACTTACATCATCCCACTTAATACCATTTGTTTACCGTAGACATGATTTGTTTAAAGTAATAAACGTTTAAAAAGCGATGTACACTTCAAATTAAAACCACGATTAAAACCTTATTAGTTCAATAATGATTATAATGTCGGGCATACCTCCAGCGCCTTCCAAGTTGTCAACGATTGTGAAGATGATTCTATGCTCCGGTTCTTCGCCATCCCTGTCCAAGACTTCACTAGTTGTGAAGTGTACTCTCAGGATGCCAGTGTCAGGGTCCACTGCGAAGAAGTTCTCTAGCCTATGGTTGAATGCGTAGTTGATTCTGTACGTCACGACGTTGTTCGGCCCTGCAAAGGTCATAAAATCTTTAGTGTTTTTGGTTCGAAGACCCTGATTCGTCGATATCTGGTTGGATACTGAATACGATTGAAATAATAGTTAATATTCAATTGTGACGTTTCAAATTGTACTGTGTCATAGTATAAGTGATGAATGGTATTTGCAATGTGTATCCTTTATCAAGAAATTTCGGGTTAAGCTTACGATCCCTGTCCAGGTCGCTGGCTATGATCTTGGTGATTTCGGTGCCATTAATTGTATCCTCGGGAATCCGAATTTCAGTAGGAAATTGGTCAGTTTCCGCGTGTGGGATTTTGTTGTTCGTATCTGTTATCTGGATCGCTATCTGTAAATATAAAGATCGCTTTAATTCTTCTTGATGATCTCTATGTTTCGTTTTATACAAGATGTAACAGAATCAACTACAGACTTTGTAGCTCCTTGGTGAGGGTGTCACATTAAGATTATTTATTTAGTAAGTAGTACTGTTAAGAAAAACGTCACGTCGAGTTTTCTATTATTTCCATTATTATTATTTTTTTGTTGTGAAAATTTTACTAATTTAAAATGAACTTGATTAGAGTTACTGGTCATCTCACCTCTCCCTCGGTTTTCCAGAACATTGGGTCGTCCGGACATTGTGTGAAGAATTCGTCAAGAGAGCACTTGTCACTGGCGATGACCTTGTAATACAGATGGAAGCGTGGTGGAATGTCTGCATCAATTGCTTGCCCCTTGTTGACGGTCAGCTGACCGGTGATGTAGTCGATCGCCACCAGGTCGTCTGGTGTATCTTTTATGGGGCTAAGGTAAGAAATAACATACATATGTAGTTGTGTTTATTGGTAACTAGCAGACCGCCCCTGCTTCGCACGCATGTCTTACTACCTCGGTGTCAGTAATTTGTTTTGCAAGTGCACTGCTACGGCGCAGAAAGGGTTGTTGATTTCCGCTATTCTCCTTTATTTTTGCAAAGTATTCTTGCGTAAGAACCTTCTCCTTACAATAACGAACAAAACAAAAAAAGAATTAGCAAAGTTGGTCCAGGCGTTGTTAAGTAAGCTTACCAATAAATTTTGCGATTCATTTTTATATATATAAGATGTGGGTAAAGTTAATGTCAAATCTCTAATAATAAAAATAACATGTTCCTTTGTTTTTTGTACAGGAGGCAAACGTGCCAACGGTATATATCTGATGGTAAGCTACCAGTGCCACTCATGGGCACTTACAAAACCAAAGGAGTTGTGAGGTCGTTCTCGGCCTTTTGTGGGTTGGAGCATGATTTTTTGAGGATGTTGATCCTCCACCAAGGAGGAGGATTAGGCTTTCGGCAACCTCATTCAATTACCGAAATACAATGCATGTGCCGTTTCGCGCCAGTTTGCTGAGAGGCTAGTGCAAGCCGTTCGAGCCGGCCTATTCGAGGCTAAGCATGACTCTCATCATATTACTTTGGTATCGTTGTAGAGCATATCTTTTAGAGAAATGTAAATTCATATTGAAGAGAAATTAAGTACTTATAATGGTATGCTTTACTGTATCAGACCTTACCGTATATTAAGCTTATGGAATGGGATATCAGAAATATGAACTATAATTATAGTTTAATAACAAATCTCGGAATCGATTAAGGTTTAATATTTAACTATTTAAACAGGCAGACAGTTAAAACAAAAATTCAATGGAACTTGTAAAATATGATAAAGTATTAAATATGATAAAGTGTATTGTATATACTGACGTCATGGTGTAACGGACGCGGTTGTAGAGAGGGCCGTCGATATCAGTGGCCTGCAGTGAACCGATGACGACACCTTGGTCGGCCATCTCGCGCACTCGCAGTGTTTGCTCCAGCGTGCCCGCCACCCATAATGGCCGGTTGTCATTCATGTCAATTATTGTCACTGTCAACATTGCTGCAACCAATATTTTTTAATTTGTTGAATTTGGCTTTGCTTTAGTTTACATAAAGTGACCAGCTTGAATAGACTGCTCGGCGTTTGATGTACATTTTTACTTAATTCTCACGAGTGCTGGCTTTTCAATGGAAACTTTTAGTAAGGAAATTCATTAACACTGGTCTAATTGGACGAAGCCATTTAGGCTAGTGACTCTCGTATTACATACATTCTTGCCAATTTATAGAATGTTATGCTAGTATCATATTGTAGTCAATTTTATACAGAGTAGGCACATGCGGTAGTTGTCAAGAAGTCAAATTCAATACTTTTATGGAAATGTCAAAAATGATCGCAACTACAGCATGCTTATTAAGTAGTTAAAATTAGTTTGAAAAAACGAACATTACGTATTATTTAACAAACAATTATTTTTTTAATCCTCTTTTGTATCTAAGTGTAATCAAATTTTTAAATTTAATAAAATTTTACCCCACACTAGCATTTTCTTCTGTGTCGTGGGTGCGTTTACAAACATACAATTCCACATACAAATCACACCCAGGCCCGGGTGTGATTTGAACAACAATTTGTGGATCACACAAAGAGTTGTTCCTTGCGGGAATCGCGACACGTTGCGCGGCAGCCAGTTGCCCAGACACCGCGCCAACCGTGCAGTCAATTTAACCTCCATCTACGTTCATATTTTCACCAACCTTCATCATAGTCGTCCCCTATGACGGTGTTGCGATCTATGACCCTAACAACGAGGTACAGAACTTCAAACTCCTCGTAATCGATCGTCACGCCGTCTCTGATCTCACGTGCCACCAAGTGTCCCTCAGCGTACCCGCGATTGTCAGCATCTGGGTACACCGTCAGGATTTCTACGCAACTGAAATGTAATTAGTAGATACAGACCAATATTTTAAAGAAAATAAATATAAAATTGCTAGAACAAATGTTTATACAATTATTACAATATAAACAATTATTAGTAATACAGGTGCTTGTCCCGTATTGAATGCACTCAATGTTAGACTTAAGTTATTGCAGTGGAACGCACAAAGTTTGAGGCCTAAAATTAAAACTTTTGAAAACACATTATTAACAACTAAAATTCATATATGTATAATATCCGAGACCTGGCTTGAACCAGACAGTCATTTAAAAATAGGTAGTTACAATATTTTTAGACAAGACCGGGACGATTCATATGGAGGAGTCGCGATTGTAGTACATAACTCCATTAAAGCACAAATCACCAATTTTAGATTACGTAATCGAAGCATTGAAGTACTCCATATTAAATTATTTAACTGTAGTTTTTTGGAAAATATCATAGGAGTATATTGTCCACCTAATATTAACACTGCAGATGAGGATTGGAAAATGTTATTTTCTAGTTGGCCTAATAAAACTTTTATAGGAGGAGATTTTAATGGACATCACACAAACTGGTCATACAAATGTGATAGCAGGGGTTTACAGATTCATGATGCAGCGGATGAATGGCATTACGTGTCCCTTAATACTGGAGATAACACTAGACTTAAATTAGTTTCAAATCAGTTACAAAAAAGTTCGCCTGATATTTCATTTGCGTCATCAGACATTGCATTACGGTTTAACTGGAGTGTTCTAAATGAAAACCTAGGAAGCGACCACTTATTGATTCTTGTTACCACAGAATTATCATTTCAAAATTTAATAAAATCAAAACGTAATTTTAAAAAGAGTGATTGGCGAAAGTATTCAGATATAATTTCAAGTAGTAGTAACATTGATAGTGTAACCGGTAACACGCAACAAAGGTATGATAAAATTATAGAATTGATAAATTTAGCGTCCCAAGAATCAATACCAAATATTAAGATCTGTGAAGTCCCTTCTACAAAGTTTGTTCCAAAATCATACTGGTCTTCTGAGCTATCTAGGGCGGTAGCAGAGCGTAGATTGGCATTGGCTCAACTTAGAAAGAACCCTACCCCCACTAATTTCATAATTCTTAAACAAAAGGTTGCTAGGGCACAGAGATTAATACGTAGGGCAAGCGCTGAGTCTTTTCGACAGTTCTGCGACAGTCTGGGCGAGATGGTATCCAGTAGCGAGTTATGGAACAAAATGAGATGGCTCAAAGGATATCGAAGTAATAGAATTTGTTTGGGTACGGAGAGGGCTAATGAATTCTTGAGACAATTGACGCCAGATTACGTTGGCTCACCCTGTCCTACTTTTCGTTCAAATAACGTACAGTTGGAAGCCCAGATCTCGGAACAGGAACTATCAAATGTACTGAAGATGAAAGATACCGCCCCCGGAGAGGATGACATTTCATATTCAATGATTTATCACTTTCCAAACAAACACTTAATAGTTGACTTATTTAACAAATGTTTAGCTGATGGTGAGGTTCCCAGACAGTGGCGAAATGTTAGAGTTGTTCCTGTACCGAAACCTGGACGCGATCCAAATAACATCACATCTTTGAGACCTATTTCACTCATTTCTTGTCTTTGCAAAACTTTACATAATATTATAACTAGACGTCTTGAATGGTTTTTTGAAAGTAAGGGTCTATTTTCCAAAAATACAGTAGGATTTAGAAGATCTCAATCATGCCTGGATAATCTTGTACGTTTAGTATCACATATCCAAATAGGGTTTGCCACCAACAAAAAAACTTTAGGTTGTTTTGTTGATATAGATAATGCATATAACAATGTCAACATTTTAGAAGTGGTACGTAAGTTGGACGAAATGGGAGTAGGGTCCTCAATATGCAAATATATATGGGAGTACTTGAGAGAAAGACATTTAGCTGTTTCACAAGCGGAGAGTGATGCTTCGATTACAAGATGGACAGATAGAGGACTAGCCCAAGGAGATCCTATGTCTCCAATCTTGTTTAATATAGCAACTTTTGATATTTTCAAAGACATCATGGGAGTTTATGTATCTCAATACGCCGATGACTTTGTCCTCTATATTTCCGGACAAGATATGAGATTTATGACTACGTCTCTTCAAGAAGCAATAGATTGCTTGTCTCACTTGGTAGGCGTACTGGGCCTGGAATTATCCCCCACAAAAAGCAAAATTTGTTTATTCTCAAAGGGAAGGTCACTACAGCAGATAAATATAAATATTAATAATGTTCGTTTGGAAAGTGTTCCTGTTGTTAAGTATTTAGGATTTTGGCTTGATTCATCTTTGAGATGGCGTAAACAGATAAATGAAATATATGAAAAATGCATGAAATTTTTAAATGTTTTCAAAATATTAGCAGGTTCCTCATGGGGAGTCCACCCAGTGCATTTAAGACGATTGTATATCGCCATCATTCGCAGTCGATTAGATTATGGATGTTTCTTGTTTGATAATAGCGCCAAGACTAACATTTATAAGTTAGACAAAATTCAAAACCAAGCCATGAGGGTAGTTGGCGGTTTTTTGAAAAGTTGCCCAATCCACGCGATGGAATCGGAGTTGTGTCTGCCACCATTGTTCATTCGACGCAAATATTTAGCTGTAAAATTTTGCCTAAAAGCTAAGTCTATCGAAAGTGGTGACACCATAATAATGATATCAAAATTAACATCAATATGCGAACAGGAAATATATTGGCGTAATAAGAAAAAACCGTTGCTAACTATCGCATACAGTGAGATATCTGATCTACCTTTACATCGTTCTAAAATTTTAGAGATGTTCTCATTGTCAACATGGATGGCGAACATAGATATTAAATCTAATATAAACTTAAATATTACAAACATGATAGGACCTAAAAATCTTATACTTCAGGGACACTTCTTCAAAAATCAGTAGAAACTATTGCAGAAAAATATAATGGATTCTATCAGGTATATAGTGATGGGTCTAAAGTCGATAATGCAACAGGAGCAGCATTTTTTGATCCCCAATCTAATACAGCAGCGTGTTTCACATTGAACTGCAGATTTTCCGTTATGGCTGCAGAGTTATGTGCCATTTCAGAGTGTCTATCATATTTAACTTCATGCGAACAGACACAGTTTGTTGTTCTTTGCGATTCAAAAAGCGCTTTGCAACACATAGCTAGGTGCACCACGGGTACAAGAGGCCTACCTGTAGCTTATACAATATTAGAGTCGTACTTAAAGCTAAAGGAAATTGGCAAAACTGTTAAATTCCAATGGATTCCATCACATATAAACCTGATAGGAAACGAAATTGTAGACAAATTGGCAAAAACGGGAACATATGAAGGAACTTCTACCGGTCATCTACCTTTCTTTACAGATATACTTGGAGATGTTAAACTTAATTGCAGTGTATTATGGAAAGAGTACTTCGACAAAAGATCTGAAGAGAAGGGTATATGGTACAAGACAATTCAGTCGGAACCTCCAAGAATTCCTTGGTTTACTGAAACACTGATGAATAGACGGTTATTAGTAACAAGCATGCGTCTACGATCTGGGCACATTCCGTTGAATGCATTCGGTCATCTTATGAAAGTTGTTGACACCCCAAACTGTCTTACATGCAAGGTTAGGGAGGATACCTACCACGCTTTGGTGGAGTGTGCTCGGATTGATGCAGAACGCAGAGTATTCGAATTGGAAAATAAATTATGTTTAAGAGATGTAGGTACATGTAATTTGATTTTATCCAAACCTACGTCCAAACTAGCTGTTAAGTTATACTTTTTGTTCCTTAAGTTAATTAAGTTAAGATCATAGAATTAAACATTCTCCCATTTTTGTAAAACTACAAGGTTGGCATAATCGCCCTGCGATTAAAACCTTTTTTTCTAAATAAAGATTAAAAAAAAAAAAAAATGCACTCAAATAAAAAATAGGTATTAAAACAATAAGGTTGAAAATAAATTAGGGCTAGCTTGATGAGTTGGTTTCTGTTCTTTAAGTACAAATGTGCTCTTTATCGGAGATTAATGTAACGTTATAATGGTCGTTAAAGTTTTAACACTAGTCGTACTTATGGTACTCTTCAATGGGGGGTGCATTCATGCCTTGCTTCGTAGCGTACGAGGCGTCCCAATCGATCTCGAAAATTAAATCAGCCGTGGTGTCGGGATCGGACGCTGTTAGTCCTTGGGTTATCAAGTGTCCGTCTTTAACGTTCTCTTCTACACTTGGACTTTGACGAGGCTGAAAAAAAGAAAGGTTTTATTCGCCAGCAAAGAGGTTAAGGTAGGTTATCTATACTTTAATATAAACTCGTGGTATTTGAATAGACTTAAATTATTTCCTGATCTAATGATTAGTACAAATTGAACAATTCTATTGTGTTATATCGTCTATAAAATATCACGATGTGACTAATTATAATATACACTGATTTAACGTTAACAGCTAGTATTTAATTTTATAAGACAGTGTAACTGTTGTTTTACCAGTCGAAGTGTAGGTGGTGTGTTGTTGATGTCTTCTAAATGTATCACCAGCTGTGTTGTAGCCCTGTTTTGAGGTAAACCCAGTGTATCAACAGCTTCAATCTGAAATTAGATGTCGACATTCTTATACATTCGGTCTTGAAAAGCAATTACGCGTTCGCGCAGACGTCGTACACAAATTACGTGAGATGTATTTTTAATTTAATTTTCTCTCCCTTCCCCTCTAGTGAGATGTCGTGACATTTAATTCAACCCCCATCCCCCAATCTTACGTGAGATTTTTACACTGGCTATAAAAATCATGTGTTTTAACATTGGATTTTATTGTCAGACGAAATAAGCTATACTTTGCTGTAAATTGAGAATAAGAGGCCCGGATGAGCATCAACCCTAAAGGGCTCTGTCTGTGGTAGTGGTGGAACGCAACGCGCCGTACGTCGGGTCTGGTTCTGGTCGAGCTACGAGCTACCCTTACTCGCTGTCCGCAGACCCGTGCTAACGATGGCCGGAGATACTCTCTCGATCCCCGACGCCTGGAGTGTCGCCTACTGTGGCGGCTGGGGCGTGAGGAGGTGGATAGATCCCTCACGCGCCTCCTCCTTTGCGAGCATAACTGCTGCGCTACGCACCATGGCCTCGACTAAGACTGGGCGCGAGAGTTCACCGCCGCCGATCACTTCCCTGAGGACACGGCGGTACTCAGCCCAAGCATGGCACACCGCCACCGTATGCTCCACCGTGTCCTTAGGTCGATCCTCACAATGACGATACTCGGGCGTTTCTAACCGCCGGATTCGAACCAAGAACCTACGGTAAGGACGCCGTGGCGTCTCTCAAGCCACTCCTCAAAGACGGTTCTTACCGCTGCTAGAACAGCGTGGCCGGGCACTTATAGGCTGACGATGGGACTTTTTCACAGAAGAATATAAAAAAATTCCTATTCATACCTATTCTACAGTATAGTACTTTTATGGCTGATATTCATATTCGATGGTGATGATGTGGATGTGGTATTGTATTTACCTGTACAAAGATTTCATTCTGTCTGTGGTAATCAAAGCTATCGTTCTTTGTCACGAAGACGTCTCCAGAAAGCATATCAATCGTCAGGAAGTTTCCAGCATTGCCCAATATCCTGTGCCTAAACAACAACAATAGGGTGTCAACAAATTATTTAGGATTATCGACACTAACCAAGCCCAACACACCTGCAATACTGATGATTTATATCTGCTTTGCCAGCCTTTGAGGCTTTTTAGAGGGTAATGAGGTTTGGGGGATTTGCAGATAGCGGAGTTAGGTAGAGAATGGGTCTCCGGTAATCTCAAGCATGCGGCGAAAATTTACAACGCAATCGTTGTCTTTTACTAGTTTGTTGTGAGGACGTGGTATACTCCGGTTTTTTTTCTTTAATAAATCGTTGCCCCACATAAGAATTTTCTTCTGTACCGTGGGTGCGTTTACAAAGTACAAATTCACATACACAAAGTACACAAACCACCAATGCGTGAATCGAACCCGCGACACGCTGCACAGCAGCCAGTTGCCCTGTCACTACGCCAACCGTGCAGTCGGTAATAGATTCAAATCACTAAAAATAAAAGAGTTTTATTTTTATTACTTACTCGACTACGTCACCAATGTCATCGTCTGTAGCCAGGTATGTGCCAACGTGAAAGCCAGCTTTAACTGTCTCGGGAAATGTCGCATCGTAGCTATCTTTCTTAAATCCAGGTAGTTCATCATTCCAATTGATCAGATTTATGTTAATAATCGCTTCTCCAGTGTGTCTGTTATCATCTTTGTCAGTTGCTATTGCCTGTGAAAAAACCAAATTATTTTTAGTTAAGGAAAAGTTGTCATAACATTTAGGTGTTTGTCAATAAGGAAGATTTACTACTATAGCGTCAGTATTGTCGGCTTTTTGGCTACTTCATAACACTACACGCATTTAGTATATGATAAAATAAATTCAAACAGGATTAATTGTTATTATTTTTGATTTAATTAGCCATAATAACATACCCTCAGCTTTATTCCAGGTCTGTAGTTATCGTCTTCATAATCCAACATGTGATGGTGTACTGTACCTATGATAAACTCCTGCTCCTGGTAGCCTTCTGTAGGGGCGATGTAGAAGGCTGTATGAGCATTGTCTGGTTGTATGCTCTCTAAGCGAACTGAGTACTGTGCGTGGGGACCCTTGGTGAAAAAGGAAATCATTATATTATACTGTAGTAGACACCCATTGCGTACAACTAATACTTCAGACTAGCTGGACATGGCTATAGCGAAAAGTGACTGTTACAGTAGTGAAGATGTGAATGCGTGAAACAGTGTTTTGCAGCATAGCATATCGACAGAAAATACACACAGAATTGCCACAAATTAAAAGTTACTTACAATATCGCGGTCATGAAAACCAAAGTTTTCTAAACGCAGTGTCATAGCAGTTTCTTCCTCTATGGAAATGGTGTATTCCTTTTGGAAGGGGACTGGTCTTTGATCATTGATATCGTTAATTATAATCACGACATTTGCTGTGGTCTCGAATGATGGTTTACCTTCTTCGTCATTGTCGCCATACTTATATGCAATTATTGCAACATTGAACATGTCTCTTTTCAGTTCGTCTCTGTCTATAGCAGCTACGTGAAAGATGGCACCTTGTCTGCCTTCCCCTATAGTCTCAATACTGAAGAATTCTTTGTCTGTAAATATATTATTGAAAAGTGTTTAACTTAAAATACTAATTTACTATTTAGTCAGCATTGTCCATACATCCATTTGTCTAGTAAAACCCTGCATACTACGAACATTTATTGCGCTTGGGACATAAGTGCCTTTGCTACGCTACTCGCATGCACATCAATAATTATTCCGTATCGAAGAAGTACCGTTGATTACTAAGTTTTCTGAGTTATATGTTTTCTTACCTCTTTCTTCAGTCTCTATACGATAGAATATAGGTTTATTGATTCCCGTGTCACCATCTACAGCCCTGACTGTGAACGACATCTCTCGTTTCTCATCAAACTGTTGCACGGCAAAAATCTCCATCCACTCAGGGTTTCTGTGTTCCACATTCTCTACTTCAACCATCATGGTGACTGTACGTTTGTTTGGTAACGAGTCCTGTGAATGTAATATTATTTTTTATAAACGTTGCCCCACAATTGGATTTTCTGGGTGCTGTTCCAAACATACAATTTCACATACACATGACACCCAGACTTGGAACAACAGTTTGTGGATCCCACAAAGAGTTGTTCTGTACGGGCATCGAACTCACGATATGTAGCACGGCAACCAGGTGCCCAGCCACAGCACCAACCGTGCAGTCAATAAAAAATACTAGTCTTGAGCCACCGATCAGAAAACGAAGTCTATTGGTATTTTTTCGAAAATACTTTGTAGCAACACGGAGTTTTCGATGATCGCCTTCACTTACAAACGCATCTAGCTGCCCAAAGTAGGCAGTATATATTTGTGTCTATTTCTTCAAAATGTTTTGTAATTGTTGTTTAAAGTCTAACAAATATTTTACTTACCAAAGCCGTAACTCTGAATATGTGTAGAGGATTCGCTTTGTAATCAAGAGACTTTTTCACTTCAAGTACCATATACACCCACATCCACTCGCTTGGGATATTCTCTCTGATCAGTTCGAATGTGAGTTCATCACCTCTATCGCTTTCTATTTCAAATTTCATCACACTTGTACTAATCCTACCATCTGCATCCCTCACGACGTATTTGCACTGTGTAACACCTGGTTCACCAAGTTCCTGAAATGTTTTATTTGATTAATATATTTTTTTTAGAATAAAGTTCTAGGCCGCAGATTTGCTTATCCCCGATTGTGTCATTTGCTTCTTTATATACTCTTATGTACATATAACATGTGGGTTCCTTACCGGTATGCTGCAAGGCTCTAACATCTCAATGACAGGTGTGTTGTCATCGATGTTCACAATATGCAGAGTCACCCTTACAACCAGCGGCTCACCGTCCACTCTGACCTCGAACATGTATAGCTGCATTTCAGGAGTTTCATAGTCCTGCCTGTAAGAATTTAATACAGATTGCATACCATACTATACATACCACCCTCCTAATGCAGTGATAATAAAAAATCACAGTAAAATAGTTTTTACCTGACTGAGCGACGCAGAGAAATATGTTTCTACAATAACTATCATTAAACCGGCATCATCTAGATATTTTTATTTAATGTTGATGTGTTTTATTTTGTGAGGGGAAAATCATGAAGAAAATCATGAAATAGTTTTTCCTAACTCTTACTGAATAACCCCCCCCCCCCCCTCCTGCTCTGGGCCGAGGTCGTGCCTCATTGCGCTTACCCCGCAACCCCGGCTGAACATCAGCCCCATAGGGCCCCGTCTGTGATGGTCTATTGGCTCTATGAGGCGCGCGCGGAACACTATGCGCTATACGCTCGGGTCTGGTTCTGGTCGGGCGGTGAGCTACCCTTACTCGCCGTCCGACGCCCGGATGTCGCCTTCTGCGGCGGCTGGGGCGCGAGGAGGATAGTTTCCTCACGCGCTCCGCCTCTTCCTTTGCGAGTATAACTGCTTCGCAGAAGGAGGAGATAGCTTCCCAGTTCCTCTCGCTATGTGTTGATGTGTAAAAGTGCTGTTTAATGGCCTATTTATAAAAAATAATTTATTGTTTCAAAACTTAACCTTTCTAAGGTTTCACAATGCCAGCTTAAGACCCGATTTCCTACCTGTTGTTTTACTGTGCAAACCCTCTCGCCATTGGATTATGACTGACGTGAAGAAATTAATGCCTCTTTAATTTTTCTTACGCGGTATAGTTTAGAAGTTCTTCAGAATTGGAAACGTTTTGCGTTTCTTATAGGTATTCTCCAGATAACCTCTACCCTACTCTACCGACCCTATTCTACCTAACATACTCTACCTACCCTACTCTACATACCCTACTCTATCTAACCTACTCTACCTACTCTATCCTATCGTATGTTCTTCTCCTGGCTCTAAACTACCTCCATGCCAATTTTCAGCAAAATCGGTTCAGCCGTTCTTGAGTTATAAGTGGTGTAACTAACACGACTTTCTTTTATATATATATAGATATCGATTTGACGCTATAAAATCTTTTAAATCTAGGAGTGTTGCAGAGGCCGTATTGTGTTTTACCTTTGAGTAATAACAAGATGCCAGTCTCCATCATCATCAGGATATCTACGAATGACTGCACCTAGCATGTGGGCTGCACCGAAAATGAACGGCATTCTCACTTCAGGAACGTTGTTACCTAAAAGGAATTGACACAACGATTATTTTACTTAAACGATCTTATTCTTCCTTCCTTATACATTATCATCAATATTCTATTGAATATTTTGTGCAAATTAAAACTGTCATTAGTGTGTTTGGTTTCATTGGGAGTAAACCAGCGACCAAAACCTGTCTGACCTCGATAGTTAAGTTTGGCAATGGCCACGTGCTCTTCGATCTCCTCCTCCATGTAGATAGTCTGGTGACCAATGTTAGGATTGAAGACATCAGGTGAATACTCGTTGAGGCACACTTCTTCGCGATCTTCAGCTGGTAACAGTGGCCGTTGAGCCCATGTCAATCCTATTAAAATATTTGTTTGATTAGAAAATTATTTTACAAGCATATATGTAGATACTGTAAAACAGCGATGGTTTAAAGAAACTGGTGGTATTTAATGAAACAAATCTGTATTTCGCTCGTGAGCGTAGTCGGTTAAGGCTATAAGCTGTATGACTCCTCGTCATCCTGGTCTTTGTGCGATTGCGGGTAAGGTCAAGCACATTGATCACCGCTGTCTTTTGTCTTCTTCCATACTGAAAACCTGGCTTTCTGATGGTGAGTGATGATGACTTGCAAGTAGTCTTTGTTATGCATGCTCACCGTCAAAACTTTGTGGTGGGAAGTCAGGCCTCGGTGGCCTGGGTATTTCAACCATATAGCCACATCGATCTGAAAATATATATCGAAGTTTTAGTATAAAATTAGTAAATCGTATTAGATATACCTACACCTATATGTATACATATGCATTTCAAATTTTACATTCGATCTCCGCTGGTTATTGTTAATCTCGAGTAGTGTAGGGTAGCTCTTGATGCTCTCTCGGGCCGGTGTTCAGCCATATATAGATGTATGTTGCACAATAACATACTGCGGCCCGGCCAAGAGGAGGAACGAAGTAAGTTAATACACAATCCCCGTCGCCCCACCAAAATTGGTTTGATGATTTCTCCTACTTAAAAAAGTTCCTAGTTGTGTGTACATTTAATGGAATGTTACGCGACTATTAAACATTAATGGTCGCCATCCTTGCTGGTACTTATGGCTAGTTTCATAGGTAGATACACTGTTCTTGCGTACACGGTATATATTAATGTCATTCTATAACGAATGCTTAGAATTCAGATATCAATGTAAATAAGTTTCAAGTAATTAATTTTGCACTAACAGCCACTTTGACGTAAGAAGAAAGAAGAAATAAAACTATAGAGGTACCTAATTGGGTTAGTTCCTAAAAAAGAATAAAGTGATAGTCTTTAGCTTGATTTTTAAAAATTACTCAGCGATATGAAAATATTCGTCATTATAAGTAGTTAAATTATAACCTCAAATAATTATTCTTTTTTTGAGATGTCTATTTCTGCAGCTAGCCTGTTATAAAAATAAGATCGTATAAAAATTTACTTGATAGATACTGAGGTTGTAATATAATTTTCCGATGCTCTTGGCTCCAGAGAGACATGTCTTTAGTTAGTATTGGTATTTTGTTATTATTTGGTAGCTTGACGTACTAGCTTATGTATATAACGTACATAATTTGTGTAAATACATATACGTATGGTATACCTTGTTGTCCGGTTGTGGCCGCGGCGAGTAGTAGCAATGTCGCCGTCAGTATTCGCACGTCGACCGCCATCTCATGATCTTATTTCGCTAGTAACGATGATATGAGAAGAATTGGAGTCTGTGGAAATATTTCATGGTTATTTGTGGACTATCTTTCTCAGTTTATATGTATCTATTAAAGACATGAGAGTGAATATGCTGAATGACTTTCAAGCGCCATTATATGCACTTGAAATACCTTCAAAAGCAAAAATTACTTAGTTATTTTCCTGTTTTTTTATGTAAGAACAAAGAAAGAAAGAAAACACATTTATTCGATAAATAGGCACACAAATACAAGTATATAAAAATACATAATAAGTATACAGATATTTATAAATACAACAATAATATAATAAACAAAACAAGAATAATACAAAAAAAAAACGGGTATAAAGTAACATGAAAATGTCACATTGGTACTTATGGCAAGTACCTACGCGACATTTTTTAAGTTCATTAAAATACGAATACCACGATGATACCTATCGTATCTATGCTAAAAGACATCGTTTAGTCTTCTATTACGTCTAATTTAGAGAAATTAAACGTAGTTCTATATTTTTTATTCAAAGTTAGGTAAATGATAAATAATGAACTGGCTGCCGGGCAACGTGTCGCGGTTTCGATTTCCGCTCAACTGTTTGTGTGATCCACAAAGTGTTGTTCCAGGTATAGGTGTGATGTGTATGTGAAATTGTATGTTTGTAAACGCACCCACGACACAGGAGAAAATCCTAGTGTGATGCAACGTTTTTTTTTAAATGTGTTGGTATTATAATAACCGCTACCACGACATAATCTTGTCGGGTTGGTTCGTTTCGGAGGTTATTGAATCTTGAATCCCACTGTACCTAGATATACGTCTATAACCTAATAAAAACATATACAGCGCTCATTATTAAACTTGTGACAATTTATCCAAAATCTGAGAATGCAATATTAACATAAAGCTTTGAAACTCTGTTCCGACTACCGGAATGTGGTTCAAGCGACCTACTACAGCCTAAGCCTGGGGGAGAAAAAGGAACGGCGGAAGTTTCCCACCTAGGGCGGCTAAAACAGACTCCAAACATTTAGTAGAATTTTAGACCACGTAGAAAACAGGGTTGGAATAAGCTTGCGTTATGTTTCGTCTCAGCGTGTGTGTCTCTGAGTGAGGTTACTGGAGGCCCAATCATTCTGACCTATCTTACTAAATCCCAACACATCAAATACCTATCGAACAATTCCCAAAATGCTGGAAACGTCAAAAGTCAAAAATCAAAATCATTTATTTCAATTAAACCACAGTAGGCACTTTTGAACATCAAGCAAAAAAAATAATAAAAGGGTTTGAAGAGCTTTAACTTTAGGCGTGTCAGTCTGTCCGTCTGTCCTCTAGTGAAGCTATTAGCTAATTCCAAAATGTAGATTCCTATGGAGGAAAACGAGCAAGAAACTCCATGGTTACTCTATGTACAACGTATCATATTTATGTATTTGTAACAACTCCAGGCCACGAGGTCTGGTGTCTGTGACGCTGATTGTTACCATCAGAATCCGTTTCTTTTTCTGTGGCCCTAACCTAACGAACGTACCTGCTAAGATGATAAGGTCGTGATTCGTATGCGGCTATCCAAACTTAATATTATGTATGCGGAAGTAACTCTGTCTGTCTGTCTTTTTCTTCACGCCAAAACTACTGAACCCATTTGTGTGAAATTTGGTACAGAAATATTTTGGAACTCGAGAAAGGACATGATAGTTTTTTAATCAAAAATCTGCAGGAAGTCACTATTCCATCCGTACGGAGTCGCGGGCAAAAGCTAGTTTTAAATAAAGCAACTTGCATTCTATGCAAAGGTGTTTTGGATACTAACTTAAACTATTGAATGAGCATTGTCGCCGTGTCATATACAAGGTACATCTTAATTGCTAAATCGAATGAACAGTACCCTAAAATAAAGTGACAACATTACGAACAAACAATTATTTTCGTAATACATGTGATTGTGAAATGTGATGCCATTTAATCATCTTGCGCCCTTTATGCCTGGTCAAGATTCGAAAATCAAATAGGATCATGGAAAGTTATCAAAAGTATTGGTTCTTTTTTGAGCTATGCCTTTTATCTTAAGATAATTGTCTTTTTGTTCCATTCCTCGTAATATCAGACTTTTTTTTACGACCCAATTTTCTTTTTTGATATGTATTACACCTTACTTCTTTGGCTCCTTTGACTTGTTTTCTTTTAGGTATCTAATACGCTTTATGTTACTCAATAATAGTGAGTATTGAAAAAAAAAAGAAAATCGAATATGATTCGTAATTCGAATTTTAAGAATTCTTATCATTCTAAGTTTAAAAAATAATGTTTTGCAATATGTAGTAGCCAGCAATATTGCGATTGGATTCCGGCCATTTTACTTTTATAAGATAGGTCGGCAAACGAGCAGATTTATTACCTGATGGTAATTAAGTGCGTTGAAATTTGGGGATTGGGGAGAGATGGGAGGAGGGGAGGGTATCCAATAACAGCACTCACACGGACACAAAACCATATAAATAAACATAATAATTAATTATTTTGTTTGGCATGTATCTACGACCCGTATAGCTAAGTAATTTGCTACCAATTAAAATAGTGCAGCCACATCTTGTTCTTTTAGAAGAACTTATAAGAACAGTTTTTTATTATTGATGGTCAGTTTTAGTATTGATGGTGGTAATGTGGCAAGCACCTCATGGTAAGCAATCGACGTCGACCATGCACACTACAGAATGGTCATAAGTGTTTTGCCGCCTTTTTTACGGGGTGTTTCTTGGGATTTGACGATTGGGGTCACTGAGGAAAGGACGGTCTCGGCTAATAAGATTTTAATAACTCTGCGTTTATGTATTCAATTAACTAGATTCATGTATTTCAAGGAAATAAAAGTATCATCTATCTATCAGCTGAAGATGTGGCAGTTAGCCAGTGGGTAACCAGTATTAATTTTGCTATAATTTTATATTTATCTGACGAATAATAGACACTCAAAATAGACTGTGAAACCAGCTGTTAATGTCACAATGCTTACTCACCTGTCAATATTCAAGAGTACTTTAACAATGTTCCGAAATGTATGCACTAAACACAAAATCCACAACAAAAACGAGACAAATAAAAGAAGATCTAATAAAATACACTCAAGTACACGTAACTTTGTTTCACTATATTTAATGCGACTATATATTTTTTGTCAAAATCGTCGGATATTGATAAGATTGTGCGATAATTACGTATTTTACATATCGATTAAGGCGAACGATAGCCTCCGATAGCAGATTGCGATTAATATTTGTATCCTGAAAGTATTTAATCTTTCAATGTCTTAACAGGAAAGTTTTTAGGTGTAATAGTCTGATTGCCTTTGTGGACAATTGCTATGTCTTTCTTCATTAGATGTTCAGCCTACTGGAAAACTTCCACGGAACGGTCTGTGTAATGAATTAAATACATTTTAAGTTTGTTGTTATTTTGATACACAAATTTTATCTTTGATATTGCTTCTGTTGCTTGATAATTTGCGATTTATTAATGTGATTAAATACTTTTTTCGTCCAACAATAAGAAATTTAAAGCGTTAAGTATTAAGTACTTCAATTTCGGCATGAATGTCAATCTCAGATGTAAGAACATCAATACGAGTATATTAAAATAAGAAGAACAGTCTCAAGCTGAGTCTCAAAACAGCATCTTCGTCGTTTATTATAAGGTTCTCAATTGTCAACACAAGTACGGTGGAGCATACGATGACGGTGTGCCTTGCTTGGGCTGAGCACTGCAGTATCCTAAAAGAAGAGATTGGTAGTCGCGCTTCGCGTTCGTCAAGGTGTGGAGCGACAGGAACTGAACTTGTCTTTCTACGAAGCAGTCACACTCAAAGGAACTATCCTTCTCCCGCCCAGCCAACGCACGAGCGGGGGAGTTGGGGATCACACGGCGATCTAACATAAATGGGACCCACTAGGGCCGATGTGCAAGCGAGGGTTGCTGGTACTGCAGACCCAGCCCGATGCAGAACAAGGAAGGCGGCAGTTATTGGTTCTCTCCTCTCGTTTGATAATTTTTCCACTACAAAAAACAGTCATTATTTCCTGATCAGCCACTTGAAAGCAACCGGTGTCATGTGGTTTGACCCGATTGAATAAAGGGATAGTAAGTATTAGTTTTTAAATGTAAGAAATTTCTTGTTCCAAGGAACATATTTTTTTTTTTTATGTAATAGCTCGGCAAACGAGCAGACGGATTACCTGATGGTAAGCAATCAGCGCCACCCATGGACACTCGCAACGGAGGAGTTACGAGTGCGTTGCCGACCTTTTAGGGATTAGGGATTTGGAGATTTAGGGATTGAGGAGGGATTGGGGAAGGGGAAGGATTGGGCCTCCGGTAACCTCACTCACATGGCGAAACACAACGCAGTGGTTATTTCACGCCGGTCTTCTGTGAGGCCGTGGTATCACTCCGGTCGAGCCGACCCATTCGTGCCGAAGCATGGCTCTCCCACACTTATGTATTATGTTTTGAGTTGGTATTTTTTGAGACTTGGAAATCATCAAATTACTTCTCGCACCCTGGGCGGGGCAAGAGGAAGTGTCTGACTCTAAATTATAAAAAACACCCAGTTTATTCTTCTGCTCAAGGCCGAGGTCGCGGTACCTCATTGCGATTGGCCCATACGGACCGGGTCACCTTGGCAATTGCATACTTTGTGTATTGGCGTCCTGCGCGCTTGTCACTTGTTTCCTTTTAACCTATCGGTTTCATCTGTGGGTTTCATGATGTTGAAAGGTATATTCTTTGTCATGTTTAGCGATACTAAAGACTACGATGTGCTTAAATCAGAACCTGGCGAAAACACTGACAACTGACGTGTAAAGTGAGAGGGACCTGACGCCGATGCTTATCAAATCACGTTGTATATATCACACTATTAATATCAATTGACGAAACTAAGACGCCACGTACGCACAACTTTGATCTCTGACCCTTTCCAACCACGTGCTTACTGAACCAGTGACGTAGCTCCGTAAGAGCCCATTCAACTATTAATAATAACAATAAGTATATATCCTACTCTTTTTGCTGTGTTGGGGGTATTCAGATGAGAAAAACAAATATGTTGTGCCTGCCTCCAGGCATATAATCAAAATAATATACATAGGCAGGATATTCAAAATTTGAGCCTCAATAAATTTAAAAGTGTAATAAAGGGTACCTAAACTTTAATGTAAATATATATATTTTTTTTGGTGTGAAAGTCATCTAATGACTTCTCTCGTCCAGGGTATGGCGAGACTGCGAGAGGGAGTGTCAGACTCTTACTGACTAAAAACAAGTTCCTTCTCCTGCTTCAGGCCGAAGCGGAAGCTTCTTGCGATTGACACGCGACCCCAGTCAGCATTGGCCATATTGGACACCATCTGAGTTTTAGTATTGTAATTCAACTCTACAGTTTCGATATACAGTAGAAAATCTAAAAAAATTGATAAAGTTTGTCGACCTAGCAATTTAAAGACGCCATCTTTAAATTGTTAATGATTCCTGAAAAGTCCTTCATTTGTCTGAAGGACAATCAGCACAGACATACATCTCGCATTTACTAATCAAATACGTATTTAGGTAGCTGTTCAAAGAGCGTCACAAAAGTCGCAATATTTGTGACCATTTGTGACGTATTTTCTTACACAAGAATTTGCAATTTCTCTTGTTTTGGTAAATAATAATCAAGGAAACGATTTGGTATAATATAATGCGCATTATACTATACTATGGACCGTCGAGAATTATAAGAATCAATTGCTCGCCGTGCATTCATTTTGATTTAGTAAATAGTTTGATAGCCAAATTATGCCAATTTGTTCTATAAAAAGATCTTCTAAATCAATATACAAACATAGAATGCAAAAATGGGGAACATTAAAGAAATAAAATCTTTCGTAAATCCGAGCCAATCATAGAGGGATTCTACAGCCATACATTAGGAGGTAGGAGGATTGTAAACAAGATGTAGTTTAGTTAGTGCCTAAGCTGCCATGGTCACCTGATGGTAAGCAATCAGCGCCAACCATCGAAGAGCTACAGGTGCGTTTAGTAGCTTGTAAGAGATTTGAGGATTGAGGAATGGGGTTGGGGTGGGAAGGATTCTTCTACGGTAACCTCACTCACACGACGAGACGCAACACTGGTTTCACGGAATCCTATGAGATGGTGATATCACACCGGTCGTGCAGGCTTGTTTTTGTGTTATAGATTCCTCAGACCTTGTTTACTTGTATTCTTGTACTTACGGGGAATATCTTGGGAAAATCAAAAGAAAGAAAAAGTCTTTTATTTGACACCGGGCCTCGGACCGGCCCCCCAACGTTTGTTTTGAATTAATGCTACCTATTTACTTTAAATTGCTACCTACCTGTGTTTTGATTTAAAGTGTCTCAAAACAAAAACTCGAAAATGTGAACAGCATATCAATCTAAAGTATTTTATCCTTATCAAGTAAATAAAAAGTAATAAGCGATATTAATAATAAGTGATACAATTTTGTATGATTTACGATTAGTATACAACTATTATATGTATACACACGTATTATATTATACCTATACATACATATATGAACAGTGTTCGACGCTTAAAACCTAAGATAACGGGGCTCCCCGATATTTTGCATTTAAGCTGACAAAAGCATTCTAAAATATATTTGTGTTATCAAAACGTCGATGGGAATGAATCGGTCTTTTCATATTTACCTTAGTTATGGAGGAAGAAGATTAGTAGCCACCATCAGCACCTATAAGGTAGCACGGAATCATCAAGAATTTTAAATGGAACAGCGGCAGCGTCCCAACCGACGACGGTTGTTATTTATTTAAGCTTTTGCACAAATATTTCTGTACAAGTTGGACTTAATGCCATAGGCATTATCTGCCAGTCGAACCTTTGGGTTATGTAGATGTAGAAAGGCGTCAACGGTGGATGCAAAAATATATTAAATACTAGCTTTTGCCCGCGACTCCGTTCGCGTGGAATAGTGATTTCTTGCAGATTTTTTGTATAAAAACTCCTTTTGTATAAAATGTCCTTTCTCGAGTTCTAAATTATGTCTGTGCCAAATTTCACAGAAATCAGTTCAGTAGTTTAGGCGTGAAGAAAAGAAAGACAGACAGAGTTACTTTCGCATTTATAATATTAGTTTGGATATTTTGCTTACTTACATTCAAAAAGAAATAAATATATCGTACGGCACATGCCTTCAAAGACATGTACGTCTCTGACCTCCGTAGTTAATGCCTATATGGCATTAAGAATATTTTAAAGTAATTATTATAAGTTACATATACCTACATAGTTTAGATAGCAAATACTATACACTTGTTCGAAAATTTAAAGTACTACAAACTATAGTATCTCTAATAAAACATTTTAAGTTCTTTCAAAATATTCATTAACTAACTTAGCTTGATGATTTCCATCTCGAAGGGATACAGAAAGGCACTACATATAAGGGTCAATTAACAAAAAATACCTATAGACATATTTACCTACAATAGTTCAACAATTTCTTCTAACCTTAATAATTTTAAAACGTACCTAACCTCTTGTAAATAAATCAATCACGTCTAATGTCAGTGTGTGACCCGCGATAAGGCACAGTTTGGAGCACGGTACGCGGGCCCTGCGCCGGCGCATATATCTCAGTTGAGAGCTGTTCGTCCAAGTATCAACGTACCCTTATCATTACAAGTGAGTTTGTTTTAACTTTCATAGTATTATAACTTTTTTCAATTATGTTTGAGAGAGTAATTACTATTTGTTGTGTTTTTTTTAAACAAAATGGCTTTTTGTTGTCGTCGTCGCGTTTTAAATTAGTTTAGAATAGTTATATAGTGAAATATGTATGTGATATGTACCTACTATTAACCTATTTGGTATCCAGTATGTATTATAATGTGTCTATTAGTTTTCTGCAGTCTAATGATCACGTTTACTCCTTAAAAGATCGTAAACCAAGCGAATAATCTATTGAAATTGCGAATTTCAAATTGTTTGGACTAGCTCACACAGACATGTTAAATAATAATTAAACGAATCTGTTATCAGAAATCAGTTCTGGTTAAAATTTAATATTTACGAGTACATGTTATGCTAATTAACTTTTAACTCATTTCTTTCTACACAATATAAAAACACATAGTTTGTATTCTTTCATTCTGAGCATTACAATAACAAAAGATTGTGAGGGTAATCATTTATTTTTAGCCTTTGTATGAATATCAATAAAATAGAACAAAATGAGACCGACATTTATAATGTTTATAAAGTAAGTTTGCAATAAACATAACATTTACAATAAAATTGACAATATTTTATTATATTGGTCATCCGTCAAGAATGTTGTTGTTTATTGAGATGTTTTCTAACTACTAAGCTAAACTACTAGGTATTAGTGCTAAAATATTGATAACTGAAATGTAAGGGTCTCAACAACTCGGAGTTAACGCACCCACTTCTTATATAAATATGAAGTTGCGTAGTTCGAAACCTGGCTAGTACTAATGTGAGTTAAATGAACAGTCTCAGAATATTTAAATACCACTTTTAAGCTATTAATGCATAATTAAACATGGCTGACCGATGTTGGAAGAAAACATCGTAAGGAAATCTGGTCTTATAATTTCTTATATAGGTATGAAATCACCAATCCGTCTTAAGCAAGCGTATACCTATGATCATTCCTTCTTTGCGCGAGGTGTTTCTTCAGCAGTGGGCACTTAAATACTGATGATTTGATGATTGTGATGTGGGATGATGTGAAAAACCTATGGTAATTCCCATCATAAGTCGAAATTGGAATCAATATTTGCTATAAAATATTTTTGTATCATTTACACAGAAATGTTGGATTGATGTGTGTTTTTCGATCAAGATTATTCATTAATTTTATTGTTTTAAAACGGACTTGGTCGTAGAAATACATCAGTGACTAATAAAAAACACAAAATAAGAACACTTTTATCTGTGTTGACCACACAGTGTTATCTATCTAACTCTCATGTCTACTTTTATAAAGTTAAAGAGTTTGTTTATTTGTAAATTGTATGTTTGCTTGAACGCGCTTTTCTCTGAAAATACTGGTCCGAATTGAACATTTTTCATATTCATATTCATATTTTTTGTTGGATAGTCCATTTGTTGAGGAAGGCTGTAGTAACAGCACACTACTTTAATAGGAGCCGAGCAGTGCCAACCGCTTAGGTGTAGTGAAAAAACGAAAACTGAAATTCAGAGCGCCCCAGGGTCATGAACTGCAACAAACAAAAAAAACAAAATAGTTTCCACTTCCCTCCGCTAATTTAGGACTGTCTCCTTAGGCAGGAGACAGAATGACTTACGCCTTAAATGCATAAAAGAGACTGTACAGGCACGAATCAGTATGGCAAATATATTAATTTAATTTATTTTCTAGTCCTACGGGCCTACCATGACCTTTTATAGCTCCACCCCTCTTTCTCGCCCGGAAGATTGGCGCTTTAACATGACATGGTAGGCCTTCTGATCTCACGGCACCCGCCAGATAGTTCCGCTGACTTAACGCGTGCATTCATGACTGCTTGTGAGCAACCCAAGGGGCAAGGTCCAGATGACCACCATTCCTTCTGATAAGGAAAGTGATGACTCGTGACTTTATCATTATTTATTTTATTATTATTAGAGGCCTACGAATCATGACATTGTTTATTTTCGTGAAATTAGTTTTAGTTTTGCAATTGTTTTTTTTTTAAATCGATTGCGATAAAAGTATTGAGATGGGATTTAAAATATAAAATAATTTTATTGCACTTTTTACGCGGTGGTTGCTAGGCAACGGGTGATAGTTGTATTTATGTTTCAAAAATGGAACGTACCTAGTTCCGGGTTTGGGTTCAAATCAAATCAAATGGACAAAAACAGTATTGTTATAAGTAGATAATTCCTTTGATTTAACGAGTGCATTCATGGCTCCAGTGTGTGTAGGGCGCAAGGTCCGTGTGCACTCTTGAACTAATGATAGTGGATCCATCTCCTCTGATAAGGGATGGGATGAATCATAATCATACATTATTTACCCATTACATTTATAAACCACACGACGTGACACAACGTTATTTTTTTTAAAGGAACGTTTGTTCCGCTCTATTGTTTACTCCTGTGTCGTGAGTGTGTTTACAAAAATATAATTTCACTTACACACACAACAACAATTTGTGGATCACACAAAAAGAATCGAAACCGATACAAGTTGCGCGGCAGCCTGTTGCTCAGCCACCGCGCCAACCGTGCAGTCGAAATGTCATGATTTAAGATTAACTGAAATACCTAAAGAATAATAAGTAAAATAATGACTACGGAACCCTAAAAATGGGCAAATTATGTGGTTAGTTAACTATGTAAATTATGTAGTTAAGTGTAGGTTTAGTATTTTTATTGAAAAAGATATTAGGTAACCCAGTGTATTTAACCCTACTAAATTAATACATGACAGCAGATACATTGTATCTACAATTTTCCATATCTTAGTAGCTTTGCTTAAAGGACATGTACATATGACAGTAAAAGTTTTCACATACTGATTTGTTTTTTGATATTGGCTGTACAAAGTTTGTAGATAACAGAGATTCCGATACCAAAGGGTTGTGAAGTTAAGTAGAAAGTTTTATTTTTTTGTTACATCAAAAAATTAAGTTCATAAAAGTTTCATTTAGTTGGTAAAGTGTGGGAGAACCATGCTTCGGCACGAATGGGTCGGCTCGACCGGAGTGATACCACGGCCTCATAGAAAACCGGCGTGAAACAACCACAGCGTTGCGTTTCGCCGTGTGACTGAGGTTACCGGAGGCCAAATCCTTCCCCTCCCCCTATACCTACTCAATCCCTAAATCTCCAAATCCCTAATCCCTAAAAGGTCGGAAACGCACTCGTAACTCTTCCGTTGCGGGTGTCCATGAGCGGCGCTGATTACATACCATCAGGTAATCCGTCTGCTCATTTACCGAACTATTATATAAAAAAAACAAGTTACATACGGAAGCAGTAGGTATCATCAGATATCGCTGTTTTTTTGTCCCAGGTTTGGTAAGATTTAGGGTTGTCAGAGCCTAGATTCGGCGTTGATATACTTAATTGTGATCTTCGGATGTGCCCCCGAACCTGTTGGTTTCAGCTAAAATCCCCGCTCCTAACCCAGCTATAGGCCTGCACTACGGTAACCGCGATGTAGTCAGTGTATTCCAGCTGTACCATTCTGTACCTCAAAACGTTAAAATATAAATAACTGTGTAAGTTGAAGTCTGTTTGTTTTATAACTGCTGTGTTACTCTCTTACATTAGGGTTTGTCAAGTGTAAATGTAGCAATTGGATTGATGTAATGAGTTAATCAGCAAGATCACCCCTCCTAAAATGGTTCAAAGTTCATAGAAGTGCCACAGCTAGTCCCCTCAATGAATCAGCTCCTCTTAATGGAGATTTTCCTCTACAGGCCTTGCAAATAAGTATTAATAATAGTAATAAAGAGCAAAACATCACGCGATTCCTACTCTCACTCACATGTTCCAGCAATATCACACGTTATTCGTGCAATCAACCGTATTAAGATGTTTACAATCAGACAATCACTAATTACGATATGCAGATACTTGTCTACTTCACAGAGTAACATGAAACCAAAGTTTTCACAATCGTATTTAGTAATGTAGATCTGTATATCATGCACATGTTTAATGACACTTGTCCTTGCGATTGATGACTAATTTAATCATTTCCATTAATAAATATGATCTTATTCTTATTACAGTCATATGTAACATCTCATTACCAATAGACTGGAATTATTTTAAAACTCGCCGATAACCTTTGCAATAAAATAAACATTACCTATCATTATTCTGTAAAGTCCAATCTTAATCGAACAGTTGGTGCCGTGAAAAATCACAAACAACATCTTTTCGTGTAACAAGTTACAAAATTTCAAATAAAAAAATAAAAAATAAAAAGAAAACAATTTGACGTTCGAATGTCATACGAATATACCGCGAAAATTACGGTGACAAAGATGGCGGAAAATGGTGACGTTTATAAAAAAAGTTTTAACGGTACATGTACTTTGGGTGTGAATAAAAGGACGACTGGTTCCATTGCTAGGAAAGCTGAAGCATACTTGAACGCAGTAAAAGAAAGTTTAGGAACACCACCAGGTTTGTTAATTACTTTGCCTGATATGAAAAACATCCAATTTAGATTATTCTAGAACATGATACTTTATTCATGAACATCTTTTTTGTAAGTTAGTAAAACCTATAAATACAATCAACACGGTTGGTTACACACACAACGGTTTCTAGGTATTTTATGGGCTGAAGAAATTGGAACAGATTAACTAAAAATGTGTGCGATACAACACTGTTATCCAAAGTACCTGCACAAATAAAGCGCAAGAATAAATTACCTATATACTTAACTATTAACTAGCTAAACTAAATATTACTACTATTACCTACTTACGTTCAAATTCACAACTTTAAATTTTTTTGGTTCTAAAACCAGTCTGTAGTTTTGTTAAAACAATAAGCACGATAAGATTACAGTAGGTTATTCTTTCAGAGTTATATTTATGTAACATTTTAGCAATAGTACATATATTTTATTGATTTAAAAATATAATAATAGGTCTTTATCTATGAAAAAATTTTAACGAATTTTTTGATTTGAAATGCGATGAAAATGTAACACTAAGCAATAAACAAATGACTACTTTTGGAAAAAGAATCCCATGTTTTTAAAACAAAATTAATTAGCCTTAGCCTAACAAAAACTATTTTGATTTGAAATGGCCAGTACTGCAGAACGGCAATTTCATAGGTAAAGACCTATTATAATAGTATTTGAAATTATAATTATAATTGCGGTTTCGCACGGCTTCGACCGCATCCTGAAGGACTACTTCCTGTACACGAATAAAATATAGCCTATAACATTCAGGAAAGTTGTAGCTATCTATCAGTGGAGGAATTTTGTAAATCCGACCAGGCAGCGGTTCCAAATGTTACCCCTACATACAAACTTAGAAATTTGACCTCTTTATAATATTAACATCGATTAGTCAAAGTACCGAAAAAGTCATGTCAGCAGAGCTACGGTTGATTGCTACGAGTCTACGATGCTACGGCCTACGGGCTACAGACAGACGAACAATACAATACATTTTTTTACGTAATTTTTAACTGTCTCCAAAAATGAATATGGTTTTACTTAGGTTATGCTAATGACTTTGACGAGTTATTTTTTAAACATTTAAAGCTGTTTGTTTTTTTTATTTATTAGTGTCTTTTGAGACTATTTATCTGGATAAGTACCTACATTACTTGCATTGTAATTTAACTTTGATATGTATTTTGACTGTCACGGTGGATTGAGTATTATAAATCTACACTAATATAATAAAGAGGTAAAATTTGTAAGTTTGTATTTTGCGGGTAATTTTTGGAACCGCTCGCTGGTCGGATTGCCAAAATTCTTTCACTGATAAGTAGCTACGATATTCCTGCGTGCTAAAGGCTATAAAACATCACGCTACGAACAAATGGAGCCAAGCAGCGGGTGAAACCGCGCGAGTTTATCTAGTAGGGTCATAGTAGCTTCAGTTTCTGCCTAGCCCTATGGGACCAAGGCGGGTGGGTTTTATTATTGCCGTCCAAACAAAAAAAAGTTTTGCACAAAAACGTTTTACATTCTCAGGGCAATCCCCGATAAAATATTTAAACAAAAGAAATGCATATAGCGATAAGGTCGTGTCTTCATGTTCGGTAGTTGGTAGATATTATCATGTACCGGTGTATTGAACATTGTTCTTTATGTAGGTATATATTAAATTGATAACCTACATTGTTAAAAGTCTGTGAAATTGGTTTTTGTTTCTGCCTCTGACGGAACTGTACCTATAAATAAATAACTGAGATGTAGAACTTGCAAGATTTGATGGACGCTTTAGGGGTTAGTTCAGTCTCGAGAGATGATCTCCGGCCGCTGTAAGCGGCGAGTAAGGGCAACTTGCCGCCCGACTAGAACCAGACCCGAGCGTACGGAGCGTAGCGTTCCGCGCGCGCCACAAAGATCCAATTGACCACCACAGACGGGGCCCTATAGGGCTGATGTTCAGCCGGGGTTGCGGGTTAAGCGCAATGAGTCACCGCGGCCTCGGCCCAGAGCAGAAATAGGAACGGGGGGGGGGAGGGTTAGTCAGTAAGAGTCTGACATTCTCTCTCGCCTTACCCTGGGCGGCAGAAGTCATTTCATGATTTTACCCTGACAAAAAAGGGGACAGTTAACTCTAAGACACGACGCTGCGCGAAAATTTTAAAAGATCTATTCAAAAAAGCAACTTTATATTGCACGCGACGAGGTACACATTCCATGCGTCATGTCTAGCGGCGGACGCTTCACTGTCCTCTTACAATATCGTCTTAGCGTGTCGCGTTCTCCGTGTGAATTGACCCTTAGGCAAGCCATCACCTCATAGGCATCCATTTTTTATGTTTTCCTCTTCCTGACTTTCGCTCCGCGCCTTGTGCGCCTTGTATGGACACACGCGCCTCTTAGGCCTCTCTCCGCAACCAGACACCTTAGATTTTTACCTAGTTTGCCTAATTCTTGGAATAGGTAATATTGTTCTCAGGACTTAGAAGTATTTTCATTTTTAGTGTATGAGCCACTCGTAGATCAGCCATATTAAGGTGTTTTTTTTAAATTGATTGTTTTTTGTAAACAGTGGCAAAAGTTCAGAGACCCAGTATACCGAAGTTGGAGGTAGTGCAGAGGGTGGCTGCTATACCCATCGTGGGATCTGGCATTGAAGTCACCGAGAAAGTTTACCACAAGATCAGGGTAAGGAAATATATAAAACATATGAATTATCTTTACCTGAATCACACGAAAATGATTCGATATATTTTTTTAAAGGAAATGGTGTCCTTTTTGACATTAAACCTTTTTTAAACCAACCTTGTGGCACATTTACGTATGGACGAAAAAAAAAGTATTACCAAATATTTCGAAAATATTAATAATAAATAACGTTATCATTTCCACCAGGAGTCAAACCCGCTGATCCGTTGGTATTTGTCACTGGGTGAGAAGTCTTTGGCAACAGGCGTGCAGTTGGCACTACCAGCAGTTCTCTTGTTTGAGACTCCCATCCATCAGCTCGACAAGTTCCTCTGCATGTCGCTAGATGTCGTTGAGAAGACGGTGCCGTCTATCAATCTACCGCCACAAGCTGTAAGTAACCCTACAGATACAAAAAAGGTTTTACACCATATTATGGATTGGAATGGATTAGGATCAATTTTTGACATACAGTTCTAGTCAAGTTCTGTCAAAAGCAAGATAAAAGGAGTGCTTCGACTACAACCTCCACTTTGAAAAAATTATAGAATTGCCCTGCTCTTAGCAAGCACAATATAAAAGCATTATCTGAATTGGTTTAGCCGTTCATGCGTAATCAATGCCATGACCAAAAGAAATTGGAATAGTTATTTTTAATAAATACAAATTATGTTGCACATTATTAAGAGTCCCTTGCTTGACTTGAAACTAGACGAGACTAGTATGCGTCTTACAAATGTCACCCACAGTTACAAAAAATATTATATGGTTTAAATCCTGGATAAATACAAAAAAGTTAAAGTGTCAACTTGAGTCACCCAGTTAAAACGACAGTTGAACTAACTTTCGATTAAGTAGTGAACGAATTGGAATAAAATAAGATTTTTCTAAGTTAATATTCTTGTTATTATTATTTAACAATTAAGTATGAATTAATTTAAAAAAAAACCTCAACAAAATTGGAACAATGTGGTGTTCAATAAAAAATAGAAAGACGAAACGAAAGTAACTTGCTTGCTTTCCAAGAAAGAGAGAGAAGATTTCTTGTTATTTTTTTATCCGTCTGGCCCCCTTTCGCAACGCACGATAAGGAAGTTCGTTCCAAAACTCGGATTAAAAGATTTCTGGAAGAATCGCACCAAAATAATGCATGTTGTTTAAGTCTTTAAAATTCTTCATAACGTTTATCAGCTCTGCATATCATATCGGAAACATGCAGCCGCAACTATTGGTAGAAACTTCCATTCCACAGCGATAGCTAATCAATGAACGGTGATGATGATTCACGATAAATAATTGCTTTTAAGAAGGACAATTTACATTCTCTAAATACGTAGACAAAATTACTTACAAAAGTAAATTAAGACACAAAGTTATTTTTAATTCAACTAATATGCAGGTACTTATAAGAAGTAATATCTAATAATAATTATATATTGATAATTGATTGATAATAATTATATATATAATAATAATTATTGACTGCACGGTTGGTGCGGTGGCTGGGAAACTGGCTGCCGTGCAACGTGTCGCGGGTTCGATTCCCGCACGGAACGACACTTTGTGTGATCTACAAAATGTTGTTTCGGGCCTGGGTGTCATGTGTATGTGACATTGTATGTTTGTAAAAGCACCCACAACACAGGAGAATATCCTAAAGTGGGGCAAAGTTTAAAAAAAAATATATATATATATATATATATTTTGGAAAATGATGTAAATTGTCTAGTATTGCTAATAGAAGAAAATAACAAATGTCTCGCCATTTCATCTGCAAAGCAAAGGAATTATATTTTTTTATTTCAATATCATCCAGCCTAATTTAGACAATATACAGCCCATAAATCAGAAATCCATTTTTTCCTGTACAAAGCATTAAATGATATGTTTTTAATCTAATTCTTTGTTGTTTCTGGCTTGTTGCTCGCTGACCACGCTGGCGAGATCATTTAGGCATATTTTCTTTTAGGTTGGCAAACGAGCTGACGGATGACCTGATGGTAAGCAAAAGGCGCCGCCCATGGATAAAGGTTTCGGATATTTAAGGATAGGGAAGGGGTGGGGGGAGGGGGAGGGTTTGGGTGGGCCTGTGGTAACCTTACTCACTCGACGACACACAACGCTATGGTTGTTTCACGCCGGTTTTTTTGTAAGGCCGTGGTATACTCCGGTCGTCCCGACTGAAGCTTGGCTCTCCCACACTTGGACAAATTAGGGCAAGTTGTTACATAATAAATGGTTGTATGTCCGGTTAGGTGTGCATTTGTTGATGTTTTCATAACAACGCTGATACAAAAGTTATCATCTCCGGTTTAGGTCATATTGTAATTATCTCGCGGTATTACTTCACAGATTATTTTAAACAAGCCAACCTATACTTAATTAACTATTTAGGTACTTATAAATTGAAGATGTACATTATTGAAATATTGAACATTAAAGTTGGTTTCCGTTTAGGCAAAATTTTTGTGAATTTTTCTATTTTAAAATTCGAACGTTTTCGAACTGCTCTAAATAATATTTTTAATTTTCTTCTTTATTTTAAATATATGCTATAATGCCAGCTCTATCCACCTACCAAACAAATAATAAATTGTAACTAACAAAACTATATTTTATTTTCATTTTATTTCCATCAACTACCCCAATAAGTAACAATGCAATAACATTTTATCATTAATTGTACCGTAACAGATGTACTCCGAGACTCGCCGATTTGTAGTACGTCGCGCAGACTCTGTGAAGCAGCTGGGGACAGCTGTACTGGACTCCCGGGTCACTGCCGTCACCGCCACGGCATTAGACCGTGCGCTGACCACAGCGGACAAATACGTCGACAAGTATCTTCCCCCTGACCAACAAGATGCTTCTGATGGTAAGTGGATATGAAATAGAAGAAGGCAGAAGCTTAATCTCCCTATCCCCAAATCGCAAATTCCGAATCCTCAAATCCCTAACTCTCGACGCACTAGTAATTCTTCTGGTGTTATGGGTGTTTTATGTATACTAATATTATAGAGAAGTAAAATTTGTATAAGTTTGTATTAGGGGGTAACTTTTGGAACTGCTGGTCGGATTTCCAAAACTCTTTCACTGATAAATAGCTACAATATTCCTGAGTACTAAAGGCTATAAAACATCACGCTACGATTAAATGGAGCCGGGCAGCGGGTGAAACCGCGCGAGAGCAGTTAGTGTGATATAAACTAGAGGAACCCACTTGCCTATATTTAATTAGTTCGAAAATTCGAATCGTTTAATTAAAAAAAATCGAAATATTATGCTGAATCTTCATGTAAGTACCTTAAGTATAAACTTGATCCAGGTACCTTTACGGCATGAATTCTAATTTTGAATAAGTATTATACTCGAATATCATAAAAAGTACAAAAATGTAAATTATGTGTTTACCTAGACATATTAAATGACACGTCTAACTAATCTTTCAGCCGATACTTGATAAATTTCGTATCAAAACGTCACGATTTGATTGAGATTATAAGAAATTGCTTTTAAAAATAACAATAAATACCTACAGCAAATGTTTTGTTTTTGCACGTAACACTATATTATTATAGTCTTTATGTTTATAGTCTTTATTTCCAAACATTTTTTATCTGTGTAGAATATTCTAAAAATATTGTATTATTTTAAGGTAATGAATAGACAAACTCCATAAATATGAAACTTACAAGTGTCGATAGTTTTTTTTTTTTCAATTTCAGGCGGACCCTTTTGTTATTCTTTTTTTAAACGCAATAGGACGAAAATAAATATTATTCATTGTTCGTATATTCAGTAAATCCTCTTTTTATCATTCATAATAATGAGCACTTTGTATGATTAGATTAGTACAAACGATACAGAATGAGATCTTAACGATAGCCTCAAAACGATAATATTTTTATTTAATAAGTAGTTTAAGTACCTCATAATTTTCTTTGTTATTAATATTTTTTTTGTTGTCAAAATATTATATTATAATATATTATTTAGGTATTTATTTTCTGGCGTCTAAGTAAATTTGTGCTAATTACTACATAGTATAAAACAGAGTCGCTTTCTCTGTCCCTATATCAATTTAATATCGGCATTGCACCCGTACATAGCCGCAGTAGGTCGCTAGTAGTTGTATTAAAAACGATAATCTAGTTATCATAAATTGTAAAACCATCGTATTAAACCGCTCCGTTTCCAATTCGACGCATTGACAGTCTCCAGACAGTTCTAAACGGTCGGTCGCAAGGTTACACGATAACTCCAGTCTGAACCCTGTCTGGCCGACTTAACGGAAGCACTTATATCACCTATTGTCCTATAAATATACCGTATTCAAAAGCAATAAAGACTACTTTATCGCTTGACACCCTAATTAACGAACCAATTACTGTTACTTTTAACTGATATCTGTGTAGAACTGCTGACAAATTAGATGCGATATCGTATTGGACTCTGCGCCCATTCGGTTGCCGGTATGATTAATTGCAGCTATTACATGTCGTCTGCTTATTTTCGGGACAGTGAACTGAGTAGTACTTGTAGATAATATCTATCACTAGTGGCCCGCACCCTTCGCACGGTTATCCAAACTACCTAATGTTTTGTCAGAGAACCGCCACCAGCTCCAAAAGAGTTTTTATTTCTCGAATCTTCCGGACTATTTTTGTATTTTAATTTATGTTTCAAGAAGGATGACTGGCAGAAAATGATTATAAAATTAAGTCCTCCGTATATGCAATTGTTTATAAAGAATAAATAAGTAAAACATAATTATTAATTACGTTTCACGCGTGATGCTACGAGATATAGCAAGGGAAGTTGGAATCAATTGATATGTATCTACCTACTTTGTTAAGCAAAATCATAAACAGGTATTGGGATATTCAGGTAGATTGTTGACTCATCGATATTTAACTATGTATTTTAGATTATTATCTGGTTTTAAAAGGTCGCCGACACCTATGGTATTTGTCTGTTTGTGAACACACTTAGGACTTTTCATATGTTAATTGTACTGTAGAATAATTTAGTTCCTATAAAATACCATGGGTGTGGGTAGAATCCTAACCTAGTGTCCTTATCATAGTGGTGATCATAGTGACGAGTGCGGATGCAGTGGACAGCGGCGACAGTGGACGCGCACGCGCAGCGCAGGCCGTGCAACATGGCGCCCGTCTTGGAAGGAAGCTGCAGCGCCGCCTCACCAGGCAGGCACTCGCTGAGGCCAAGGCCATCAAGGAACAGATCCATGTCCTCGTTTATGTTGCTGAATTGGTAAGAAAGACCTTACTTGGCTTTAAAATAGCTGACATTTAGCGTTTTGGAGGCCAGTTTCATCGCTGTATGAATGTAAAAAAATTGTACATTATGGTACAAGTGTGTAGTGTTGATGATTACCACTGAGTACATGTGTTGGTATCCTACGACGTTTTTCAACATACTTCTGAATAAAATAATTCTTAAATAAAAAACTTGAAAAGAGAAAATGAGAAGACTTGTGAAAAATGTTTCGTAATGGCGGGAAAAATTAATCAATTATCCTATGCGCGCGCATCGGCCATAGACTAAAAATAAGGTTTACTTTTTTTTGCTTTTCGCGGATAGATAGGATTTTAGCGCAAGTGTGTCTAAGCGAAACCAATAGGTAAGAAGTATAAAAAAACTCTATTACTCACTCGTGAATAAAAGTAATAAAAAGTCACAGTTTGATTATAGTTGTCATTATGTGTGTAATTGCCATTGGATTAGATGAAGAAGTGTGTTGTTGTGTGAGGGAAAGAGAGAGAAACATAGGCTGTTACAACTTTTGGTAGATTCATATAGTTTTACATTCTACGTTCAATAACCATAAGAAAAGAATGCATGCAGGGATTGATAAAATTAAGCTTTTAACTACCTTTAGAGCAGGAATAAGGAGGAGTTTCTTGCTTATTCTTCTCCATCTATCTATAGGACTAATACTGAGACTGACTGACACATTTTATCTTTAAGTTTACTTTGATTTTCAAAGTGCCTGTAACAATGATTTTATAAGTAAAATGGTATAGATAGGATACATAAACAAAATTCGATTTTCAAAAACGGCAAACCTATGCACACATGTATAAATCTTATGATACACATTAAAGTGGGATAGCATGATTCAATAATCGCGAGTGAAAAAGAGACAAATATGAAAAAGTGTGGCTAGTTAGCCACATTTTAATGTATTACTTGCTGAGCGCTTGTAACCTATCTACACCTTTTTACTTATAATAACAATGCTCCGCGGTAACCAAAAATCACAAAAGCCTATATCAAGCCTAATCCCCGATACTAACCCATGTAACTTCTTCCCTCAGGTCGCCACAGATCCAGTCTTGGCCTGGCAGAAGGCTAAAGAGCTATTTGCAGAGCTAAGTCAGCCGGAGCCAGAGAACCAAGCCCGTCCCGCCACGTTGGAGGAACTAGTAGTACTGCTGACCAGAGAGACTGCAAGGAAGATGGTGCATCTTATCCACTACACACACACTGATTTACCCAAGTATGTAAACTTTTTCGTTAGTAAATCCTGGCTTACAGGATTGGCAGCGGTTTTCAGAGGATATCCCAATAAAAAAAAACATTTTCGTTATTATTATTGAATAGTAACTATCGTGGTATATAAGATTATTGACAATAATGACTCACTTACTGACTTACGCCCAGTTTCCGAAAGGCCGATCAATTTTAAAATCAATTTAATCTCTTGTCAAGTCATCTGATTGGTTGACTGAATTATCAACAACCAACCAAATGACTTGACAAGAGATTTAACAGGAGATTAGTTAATTTTAGCGTTGACAAGCCTTTCAGAAACCGGGTGTTACCGGCTAAGCGACGTAGCCACGACGCGCACGCTGTTCATGATTAAGAGCCCCGTTTTGACTTGAAACTAGTAGATCGTGAAGTTTCAATAGATTTTCATTGATGACTTGATGTAGGTAGTTAATATGTGATTGATGCAACATTTCACTTTCCTGTTGTTGCTGTATGGTGTGTCTCTTTTAGGTACGTTTTATATACTCAAAAACATTTGAAACAATTCCTTAGTAAGTAACTATTTCGTTCTAAAAACAACTGCTCAGGACTTGATGTAGTGAACATTACATGACTCGTAGTATGGACGGCGGATAAATCGATGTATCTATTGTGACGAATAATGTTTTTGAAAGAAATTGAAAGATACTATTAATTATATTATCAGTACTATGTATTTTATTAATTGTCTGAGTATTTTTAGAGGAATGTCTGATAAAATAGAACGTATATGTAAGTGTTTCGTTGTTTCAGGAACGTCCGCCAAGGCATGGCACTGATTACGAAAACCTTGAACACCGCTACCGATGCGCTTATGAAGGTAATTTAAACAATACTACCTACATCTTTATGCACAAGACACCACATTTTTCTACGATATGTACGATATTAATGACTATCAGATCAAATAGCCTGTTACATTACCTTTGTTAGACCTAAGTCGATGTGTACATCATCAGCCTAAAAGTGCCCACTGTTGATCAAAGGCCTCTTCTAACACGGAGAAGGTTTGAGCATTAATTACCTCGCTTGCTAAACTTATAATTAGAAATTATTATAAGTCCAGATTTCTTCACGCACGTTGAGAGATGTCTTTTTTCTCTCGTTCTTTTTTATTGGAATTAATTTATCCAATGATTTCTCCGAGTGAATTGGGAGTGTCATAGTACATATTACTATACTGACTTAAAACATCCCGTTTTTCTCCTTCTTCGAGCTTGGCTGCATGACATTGTGCCCAATGCATTATTAACTATACCGGTCTAGTATTAACCGCTATAGTTGTATAATTCGCAGACCATGCCCGTGGAGACAGCGATGTCTGAAGTGAAGGAATGGCGCAGCAAGCTGGAGACACTCCTGCAACACCTGCAAAGTGCTTCTAAGACCTACCTGGTAAGTGCAACCTGTAGTGAGGACTTCATTCAAGGATACAACAGTTCGAATAGTAGCTGAGGACTGCTGTACTTGGGGGCTAAAAGACTTTTTTTAGTTATTTAGATATTCATAAGTATTTAGCGTTGGGGTAGATACATAGGTACTTGAAATTAGGCAGTATTTTTTTTATATAATTGCTCGGCAAACGAGCTGACGGATTACCTGATGGTAAGCAATCAGCACCGCCCATGGACACCCGCAACGGAGGAGTTACGAGTGCGTTGCCGACCTTTTAGGGATTTGGGGATTGAGGAGGGATTGGGGCGGGGAATGATTGGGCCTCCGGTAACCTCACTCACACGGCGAAACACAACGCTGTGGTTGTTTCATGCCGGTCTTCTATGAGGCTGTGGATTCACTCCGGTCGAGCCGACCTATTCGTGCCGAAGCATGGCTCTCCCACACTTACTTTACGTAACCGTACCGTACCGTACGTATTTCGCCATTACCTATGCCGTTTTTTTCTAAAGCGAAGATTACGGTGGTCATTCAAACATTTATCTCTGTCTGTCGTTGTAGATAGTCAAAAAGTGATGCAATTAGCTGAAAACGTTGTGGAAGGCAGATGCCAATATACTAATCATCAAGTAGTTAGTCAACTTCGGCAAGCAAGTTGACAACTAGGCAGACAAAAATACCATCTCAGCAATGAGTGACAAAATATTGGTCTTGGATGACCAAATGCCTCACTAGCGCCAACTGTTAAGCAAAAACGATCTAATAAAATTAAATCTATTCAACAGGAACACCTGGCGATCTTCCTAGCTGGCAACGAAGAACGCGAGAAGATCGCGCCACGGTCAACGTACGAGCAACGAGATGACTTAGCCCTGAACGGCCTCAACTGATTAATTATTACATTATTTTAAATTAGTTATTAAAATCCAGTGCCGAATTGGGCATACACGGGACCCGTAGGAAAGTAGAAGGGCCCTATATCTGATTTAATTTTACAAAAAAGTGTTTTTTAATTTTTATATGGACCCTCTTTTGCACGGTACCCGTGGCATTTGCTACTCTTTTATCTAGTTAATTGGTTTAGCTTGCACTGTTAATTTCTATTGTCTATATAAGGTAAACATGCTCGGGGCCCGTAGCAAAGCAGAGAGGCCCTCGATTATACTTCTTTTAAACAAAAAAATATGCTAAAGCGAAGATTTTTGCCTTACGGGGCTTCCTTTTGCGTGGACCCCGTAGCATTTGCTACTGTTTAAATGTGTTATTTTTTTAATTCGGCACTGGAACTCTTTATTGTCTATGTACCATATTTATAACTGTAGATTATCATCTTCATAAAAAATACGTAATTTTATGTAAGTTTTCCTTAGAGAAGTTACCGAACTTATTTTTCCACAGAGAACTGAAAACATACATAATTATTCTTAGTTTTCCCTTTAAATCCATAATCGATTTGACGAAATCATCTCTAACAAATCGAATATTAATTAAGTAATAATATTTAATCAAATTGATACCGATTATGTTAATTTTAAGTTTAATATACTGATGAAAACAAATTAATTTTAAAATAACTGTAAGTCATTTCATGGGCTTGATGGAAATTTTAAAATAAACGTTAAATTAAATTAATATTTCAACAGTTTTGTAGTTTTTATTCTTATTTCAACAGACTTCATATAAGACTTCTTGAACTTCTTTCATAATTAAAAATGCTGGTGTCATAAACATCTGTGACTTCTATATATCTGTCATATCGACAAGATCTATCAATTTCAATTTTGTATTTTCCTTTAAAATATGATGTAAACTGTATATAAATCATTTCGTTAACAAATTTTCTAAGTAACTGTTATTTTCAAAGTCGAACAATAAACAAAATGCATTGTAATGGTTTATTCAAAGACCCTCCACATGACTATTTTGTAAGTAACATTAAAAGTACACCGTAGGTAGGTATACTCTTTTATAAGTAAGTAACAAGTGGTAGATCATATGGCGTTATATTTCGAAAAACCACTGACCGTTTTATGATCTATTGCGCCATATTAATGTAGGTATCTAATTATGGTCTGATTATGGAGATTGTTCTGGACGGATTCCGAAATCCATCTACGTATGTCAACCCCGAGATCCCTTGTCCCCAGGTTGAACGGATATAATACATGAACTTATAAATTTCAGCCCAAAGATTATTCTGAAGAACTAGGATTGATTGAACCCGATCCAAATGAAGTTCGGCTTTCAGGAAAAGAGTTGAAGACACAAGCGACTTTTTTGATGTTAGCATTTGCTTTAGTGGTGTGGATATTCACATATCTGTTGATGACGACCATTACTATGTGCTTTGACAAAAACTTTCGATCTGCTGAACGTCTTCCCGCAACATTTTTATAATGCCTGATTGTTTCCCAAATAAAAATAAAAATAAAATAAAAAATCATTACAGTTATTTCCTGTAGCTGCTGTGTTATGACATATCGGGAAATAAATTTGCAATTCGTTTTACATGTACGAGATGTTCTTATTTACTTATTCCTATTTCATGTGTGCCACCACCTATACTTCTGGAGCCGTAGGTGGTATTAAATTACTATAATTACTTGTACCTTTTTTCTGGTATCGCCACACACAATATGTTTTGCCTGTGCAGCACTAATGTCATCAAATATTTGATGGCTTAAAGGACTTGTACCCAGGCCATAAACTCCAAAAAAAAAAACAAATATTTGACATTGACACTATTGACACAACGTCGCCATTTGCTTTGCGCGTCAGTTGCAGTTTCTTGTTTGTTGTCGTACAAAATTGTGATTTGAGTATAATAATTATTTATTTCACGGAAGAAGAGTTTCCAAGGCAGGCCATGCCTTCAATAGATGTGCTTCCCCCTCCGGGGATGCCGATGGAGCCGCCGATAGAGGAGCCTCAAGCTCCTTCTGCACCCGTCATTGGCATTATTTATCCTCCGCCAGAAGTGAGGAGTATCCTTTGAAATAATGAATACTACACATTTAATATCATTTCCTTTTTATTATTTTATTATAATAAGTTTAATTTACCATCAAGATCCTATGTTGTACATCATAACCTAAAAATAAAAATTGCTTGTTAATTACACTTTAACAGCAGAAATCAACGTTATTCGAGAATCAATAGACTTAAATGTCGTTAAAATGTTTAAAAATCTAAATTGGTGCTTACGATTGTCTTCTGGCTATCTATAACATCATCTGCTAAAATGAAACATTTATTAAACCGAATTTCAATTTCAGCTACATTCCCGAATACGGCAATTGGAAGAAGTTTGTTTGTTTGATAGGAATGTACAATCTACACAGGTTACGGTTACTTCCTGAATGAATAGGTATCTGTCATTTTTATTAATCTAATTCATTTACAGCCATACACAAAATGATCTCCTTAACCAACCTCCTTAGATATTGTGGACAAAACCGCCAGCTTCGTAGCTCGAAATGGACCCGAGTTTGAGGCCCGTATTCGACAGAATGAACTCGGAAACCCAAAGTTCAATTTCCTCAACTCTGGAGACCCTTACCATGCATACTATCAACACAAGGTTAAAGAAATCAGAGAAGGAAAGGGTAAGTACATCCTTTTTCATAAGTCCTACTAAGTTCGATGTGATATTTCTGTAAAAATTTTTTTAAAGAGTAATGTTTGTGGCTCGTTGTCGTTGCTTGTTTAAAGAGTATTGTTGTGTTTGTCTTGAAACAAGAACTTAACTTTGCTGACAGTTAAAGTTAGATTTTTCATTCAGGATCAATTGAAATAAATGCTTTACTTAACCGTAACTAGTGAAAATTAAAATACTTAATCTTTAATAGGTCCAGACCCAGGTGCACCTGCGATGATGGGTATGCCTGCGATCCATCGACCTGGTCTAGCGCCCGCCACTGCAGCTCGGCAGCAGGAGTTGTTGAAAGCTGCAGCTCCAGCCGAGCCCCCACCACCACGTGACCCTCCACCAGAGTTTGAATTCATTGCAGACCCTCCATCTATCTCTGCACTTGAACTTGATATTGTTAAACTGACTGCACAATTCGTGGCTAGGAATGGGCGTCAGTTCCTTACAGACTTGATGAAGAAGGAAGAAAGGAACCATCAGTTTGATTTTCTTCGCCCGCAACACTCACTGTTTCAGTATTTTACTCGGTTACTGGAGCAGTATACAAAGGTTTTGCTGCCACCAAAAGAACTAGTATCGAAGCTAGCTGCTGAAGTACGAAGTGGAGTGTTGGAGCAAGCTCGCAGCCGAGCTGCCTGGCATTCTCATCAAGCGCGTCGTAAGGCGGCTGATGAAGCCAAAATTGAGAAGGAACGCCTTGCATATGCTTCCATTGATTGGCATGACTTTGTTGTAGTAGAAACTGTTGACTACCCAGCTGGTGAGCCTGGAGAATTTCCACCTCCAACAACACCTTTAGAGGTGGGTGCTAGAGTTCTGGCACAGGAGAGAGGTGAAGACATCACGCATGGAAATGAAGACGACGATACAGAGATGCAGCTGGAATCCGAGTCGGAGTCTGAGACAGATGATGAGTTAGCAGAGATGGAAGACCGCACACAACAACAGCAGCGACCTGATGATAACCGCGTGCAGGATATGGAGGAAGAGAGCTCGTCATCTGATGATGAAGGACCTCCGGAGAGTGGGCCCCGGGCACCCGGAGATGAGGCTCCACTACCGCCACGGCCAGACCGCGTGGTTGTCAAGAAATACGATCCCAAACGAGCTAGACCTCAACCTACTCCTGCTTCAGAAGAATGGCTGGTATCTCCTATTACTGGTGAGAAGATCCCAGCGAATAAAGTGGCTGACCACGTGCGCATTGGTTTGTTAGACCCGCGCTGGTTGGAGCAGCGTGACCGTGCGGCCGCGGAGCGTACTGACAGGGACGAGGCCCTCGCACCTGGAGCTGCCATCGAAGCTTCACTTAAACAGGTAAATAAAATCACATTAGTATACAATAGGACTATAACGTTTATAGTGCTAAATATGTAATTTTGTTTACGCAAAGTTGATTTAAAAAGTTGCTTGATCATTAAGTGCAACACGATTTTTTGTTTTGAAATAAAAGTATTGTGCACTTGTTATTGATCCCTAAAGAAATCACGAAACAATAGTTTTAATTCCCTGTCTTGATGCCTATAGCTTGCTGAGCGTCGTACGGACATCTTCGGTGTGGGTGACGAAGAAACTGCCATCGGTAAGAAGATCGGAGAGGAAGAGCGGAGAAGGGACGACCGGGTCACGTGGGACGGACACACCTCTAGTGTGGAAGCTGCCACAAGAGCTGCGCGGGCGCATATCACACTCGAAGACCAAATTCAACAGATACACAAGGTAACATTTAATATTATATTTGTTTTCCTTTAAATATTAACCTTTTAATCGTGGTTATTCGATACATATCACCGCTTAGCGAATCGCCGGCGTTCACATTGGGTTTGATTAATGCCCCATTTGGCAAAACAGAATTTTTTGTTTGTAGCTATGAAAAAAAATCCAATAACTTTTGCTATTCAGGTCAGGAACATTAAGAAATCACAATGATTTTATTGGAATTTCATTAAGTCATTTCACTAACATTATAATATTATTATTGAACAGGTCAAGGGTCTACTCCCTGATGAAGAAAAGGAGAAGATTGGTCCGAAACCTGTCGGTCCGCCGGGCGTTACCCGCGTGGCCCCGCCCCGGGCGGCCCCAGCGCCTCCGCCCCGGCCGCCGGCCGCGGCGCCCGCGCCCCCGGCCCCGCAGCCTGTACTGCTGCAGCCGCTGCCGTCACTGATGGTGCTGCCGCCGATGGCTCCCCGACCACCGCTTATTCCCACACCTGTTGGAGCTGTCACTGCGGTTGGTCCTGTTGGCGCTGTAGGTTAGTAACTAAAACCTTGCCTTACTATTGTCTTAATAGACAAGATAAATAGCCCATGATAAGTCCACTGCTGGAGTATGTACCATTTTCTACTTTAGCTTCTTTCGTGCGGTTTCACTCGCTGCTCGGCTACTGTAGACCTATATAACCTATAGCACTCAGGAACATTGTGGCTATCTGCTATTGACAGATCTTTTTCAAATCCGACCAACGGTTCCAAAGATTATGCCCTACATAATAACTTATAATTTACAAATTTTACCTCCCTCTAAAAATAGTATAGATATAGTTTTGCTATGAACTCTACACCTAGCAAATCGCATTTTATTAGTTCAGTGAATGTACTATCTACTGATAACTTTTTAATAATATAACTAACAGGGTTTACAACTTCAACAGCTGCCGTGAGCGCTGGCGGGTTCCCATTTGGTGCTGTGGCCCCAGTGGAAGAGGAGGAGGGTCCCGCTGCCAAGAGACCTCGCACTGAGGATGCACTCGAACCCGAGCACTCCTGGATGGCCAGGCACCCTGGACCAGTACCACTGCAGGTCTGTATAGCATCAACCCTCTTACTTTGTATAGCTTTTCCTATGGCTATTGGTTATTATTATTCTGATTTAAACTTAAAAACGCTTTAAAAGTTAAATTATAACTACAATTTTTAAGTCAATAAGTTATAAGTTTTGGACACTGGTGAACATTTATATTATTTAACTATTTCTACGTACAGGTGGCACTACCATCGCTACCCGAGCGTACAGAATGGCGACTGGACGGGCGCGCCCTGCCGCTGAGCGTGGCGCTGTCCACTACCGTGGCCGAGCTCAAGAACATATTGCAGCGCTCCACCAACATGCCCACTGCCAAGCAGAAGCTGCAGTATGAGGTAAGCCGGTCACAATATTATATCTTGTTGTTACTAGTTTATAAGCCAAAAGTAGCGTAGTTCTCCAGCTACGTGAAGGCTTTGGGTTTCGAGACAGTTGGAGCTCAGTAGCATGCAATCCGGTATCTTCCACCTAGTTAAAAACGACACTTTGAATTTTGTATGAACTCGCAACACACGACATTTTATTGTATGGACGTCATAAAACAAACTTATTTCGTAAAAATTGCTAGAAAAAATTAAATTTAAGTATATAGTCAAATCTATGAATTAAAGTATGATTATGTTTTAATAATTCATTGCACTGAACAGTCAAAATAAATATTACATCCGTAAAAGACCGCTAATGCACTAAACTTTATTGTAGCTAGTGTCCATTAGTGGCGCTGATTGCTTACCATCAAATAATTCGTGGGCTCGTTACTAACCGTGCATCATGTTGCAGGGCCTGTTCTTCAAGGATACAAACACGCTAGCATTCTACAACGTCCCGCCTGGAGCCATCCTACATCTGCAAGTTAAGGAGAGAGGTGGACGGAAGAAGTAGACAATTATCATTATATAAATGAACATCATATTTTCTTCTATACCATATTCTTGATTTCAAAATACCATGTTAAATGGGAATAACATGTCGTTTGTTTCAAAGAAAGGGCAAATTTAACTTTATTGTTAAATAAATAAATAAATGAATTTATGACAAGTGTTTTATTTTTTCGGGCGCAACCCTTCATTCCAAATATTCATTCAGCATCCATCCAGTAGTTGCATTGAACCGTCAGTCGTGAAGGGCAGCAGGATCCTAGCCATGGTGCAACGCTAACAACATATACATATTTACGCGAAAAATTATTATTTGAATACCTTGGTAGTCTTGACGTTTCGACCTGGTTGCACAGGTCGTGGTCACAAGCAGACTGAAGACGCCATGTCACAGCTCCCTGCATTCGGGTATGAAGATTCATCGCCCGAATGCAGGGATCTGTGATATCACTACAACAACAATATATGTTGTTAATATGAAACGCGAAAGTTTAAAAGTTAGTATGGTGCAACGCTGGCCGCCTGCAGATAGTTGGGGGTCAGTCATTAGCGTGCTAGCCACAAGTGAAAGGCTGTCCCGCCCTCTGTCGAAAAATCCCATGAATATGCCATCGTTTTGGTTGGCAAGCAGAGTAGAGGGCTCGATGGTTAGCCGTGAGGTGGGACTCAGGCGTTCCTGCGGTTTCTAGGCTGGCCTCCCACTAAATGTGGTGCGCGTCTAGGAGTTGTCTGTGTGGAAAGCTACTTCACTGCCATCCTCTTAGCAACCTTCCCCCACTCATAATGCCAAAGTGACACTATCGAAACACTTTTCTTTGCTGGCTTTCATTGTGATACCACGTCGATACATTTCCCACCGGATCCTGCCCTAGAGGAATTCGGCGCATGTGGCCATACACGTCTGCAGATTGGGTAGGGATGCGATCATTTTTGCACGCATCCTATCCTTGGCGGTCTTTTGCTTCTCGTCTAGTTATCCATCAGTCTGTACCGTGGTCTGTACGGAACCTTAGTTTAGCTAAGTTTATTCCATTACCTGCTGCGTCGTACGCAGCCTCTCGGTGGTGCCATGGTTCAATGCAAACTGTAGACGCGCTGAGACATTAAAGCACGCAGTAAACCGTGGTTCTTGGCATCCACCCATGCTAACTGGCATGGGAGAATACCAGGAACCGTGAGACTCCAGGACGGTCAATTTAGACTCGTCAGAACAATTCGATAAACGCCAGAGTTCCTCAGGAGCCAGTACTTTCAGCAATGCTCTTTTTGGTACGTCACATTAATGACCTGCTTAGGCCCGGTATCTTTGCGTATGCAGATGACAACACAGTTGTTGAAAAGTAAGTAGGGTAGGTGTGTCCAAAGCGCGGACAAGCGGAACATAAATCCGGTCTCTAAGCAAAATCTATAGTTAAACGTCTACGACAGGAGTGACGCCAGGTTGGTCGAGTTTAACGTTAGCAAAACCTAGGCGTGTCTGTTCTCTGACAAACGGAGTCCATTTCCGCTGACTGGCTGGCACTTTCAGAAATGTGTCCGTTCCGTTGACTGTCTTGAGTTTCTTGGCTTAAGTCTGTCGCCCAGCCTTAACTTCGGCTCCTACATAGAAACATAAGCACAAATAGCTAGTGGGAAGTTAAGCGTCTTGTCAAGGGTTAAAAAGGCGGTACTGCACGCCGCAACAACTGCTTAACTTTTTCCAAGCGCAAGTTTGCCTGTACTATTCTCATCTTTGGAAGGGCTTGGCTAAACACCAGCTAGACACATGAAAGGTATGCCAAGAGGCACAATAATGACGATGCAAACTAGCGTATCACGCCTTCTAGTGGAGGTAGTTGAAGTTGGGTCTCGAACATACGCCGAAAGTTGCAGGCCTTTCGGTATTTTGTCGGATACATTTAAGAGAATGTTCGGGGGAGCTGCACGACTTGGTTCCCGCTAGTACTTTCCATCATAACCTCGTACCGCCAGACAAAACGTCATAGCTTCATGTTGTGATAACCCACAGGCGTGCTCCAACGTGGGTCGCATTATTGCTTACCATCAGGTGTTTTTATTGAGTTATGCTATATGGACATTAAGCCGGTCTAAATGCCTGCCCATAAATTAATAAAAAAATAAGTATTTCGTCATTTCTTAGTATTACGGCTTCAATACTCACAACAGAATAAAACAAATTGATAATAGCAAACGTTTATTTATAAAAATGTATAAAAAATAACAAAAATATCATTATAAGGTAAATAACAAAAGCATTAACAGTTTTAAAACAATTGCAGATTAGTTTTCAATAGCACACCAATGCACTGCTTACAATAAAATTATGCAGTAACATGATTTATTAAATAACTGTAAACACGATTATGCTTATAATATAAAGGAATGTGTATTGGAATATTGCACAGCAAAGCACCATGAGATTGTCAAAAAAAAAATATAAAAATGTCTATATATAAATACATTGCTTATCCCTACGATCACAAACATCAAGATTCTGAAATATTTTAATAAAAAAATCAACAACAATAAAAGTATCAACAAGTGTATGAATAAAATGGAATGTTCAATGATATCATGCCTTGGGTAATGTTAGGTGCACTTTTCACTAATAATGACACCCAAAAAGAATGTTATGAAATACTTCCATGGGCGCCAGCTGTGGGGGGCAAGGGCGCCAAGTGCTTAGCTGAACTATTATACCTCTCTACAATATTGTACACCCTTAGAAACGGACAGAATAGGAGTGACCATTACCTGATATTGGAAAAAGTCGTACTCTCTGTCTACCTATGTTTAACGAATAAATTATTGTGATTCTAATTCTGACTCTATGTCAAATGCCTTCCCGATAAAGACCATGTTTTCCCTGATTGAGGGGTAACGCGATAGAGAACCCAATAAAGGTTTCATCTGAAAGTAATTGCGATGAGCAACACAAAACTTTTGGAAGACTAGGATTGAGGCTCAAATTAATAAGTGTATTGAAATGGAGGAGTCTTGAAATACTTTTACAAATTTTATCTACATTACAATATGTGTAACTTATTAGTAATAATCCTGGCGGCGCCCTTGTTAAGTACCCCATACTTCGGCAGTTAGGAAATTATTATATGTCTCAGCTTATCAATAGCGGAATGTTTAGCACTGGAAATGTTATTATTAACTTAAAAAAATCTAGTAAGTAAGGTTTTATATGAGCATTAAAAATATTAGCTAATAAATGCAACCCTACAGATCCTTTTTTAGTATACAGGCACTTCATTTAGCACCAAGTTAAAATTACTATGTTTTTGTACCCCAAAAGGGGTCAGCAGAGGTTTACATTTTATGTAGCACCTATGTATCGACAGCTTCGAGACCCATGTAATGTAAAATTTGCGTATAAAAACGTGATATGTATATGTGTTATGTTAAGTATGAAGACCAAGCGATGTCTAGCGGTAGCCGTTATTCTGTTCGTGTATTACTCGAGTTTGGGTATAGTTTCAATGATCTGCCTGTAGCGAGCTAGCATTGGAGTGTAGATCTTATCGTGGTCCGGGTATGGAGTCGCCACTGGAGTCACTTTAAGCTCTGAACCTAGAATATTTAAAAGGATATTTCTTTAAAAAAGGGGCGAACAATCATAAGATTTTCGGAACAACATTTTTAAGTTGTAACGAAATATTCGACGTTTTTGTGTATTTCTAGGTTATATTAAGTCTTTACAAAGACCTACATAATAATCGAGCGATCATGGTCGCCTCGTGAAAGAGTTTGAGGAGTGGGGGAGGAAGACCCGTCGTCGTTGAGCCGCTGCGTGTGGTCGTTAACACAAGCCCATATTTATTATACTCACAATATTATAAAGAAAAATGTTTCATTGCTAATTTGTATTGAATAGTCTCTTACAATAAGAAAACTTTACTTCATAAATATAGCAACAAAAAGTGTACTAACCAGGTAAGGCTACGCCAGTCTCCTTGCTCCATACCTCGGCGGCGCGTATGGCTGCTCCCAGCAGCGCAGCGTTAGCGTGCTGATCCTATAACACATATGCATCATCATCAGCCTTATGCTCAAAGCGCATTTAGAATTTATAAGTCTATGTTTCCCTAAAATGTTTTCTACTTCACAGGTTACTGTGGAGACTGTGAAGGAAAGACTAAATTATTTTTTATAGTAAATATGACTTAGAAAAAGGCACATTGCATAGGTGCTTGCCAAGTTAAGTTTAGCACCCTGATGAAGAAGAAGGTGCTCATTTATTATTAAAAAAATAATCTTTATCTATACTAATATTATAAAGAAGTAAAATTTGTAAGTTTGTATGTAGGGGGTAATCTTTGGAACCACTGGGTGGATTTCCAAAATTCTTTCACTGATAGATAGCTACAATGTTCCTGAGTGCTATAGGCTATAAAACATCACGCTACGAATAAATGGAGCCGAGCAGCGGGTGAAACCGCGCGAGAGTAGCTAGTTTGATATATAGATCTAACATAATAGATCTTTATATACTTACCTACGGAGAATAATTGGGACATTGTTTTAGGGAAAAATCATCAAATGACCCCGGAACCCCAGCTGAACATCAGTAATAGGGCCCCGTCTGTGGTGGTCTATTGGCTAGTAACGTCAAGCCTACCGCTAATAAAGCAATCACAAATGAAAATACTTTTGTGACGACATGGCAACGCACAAGATAACAAAGTAGGATATCCCATTACCTGGACGTAGACGGGAGTGTCGAAGACATCGGCGAATATCTGCAGCAGCTCCTTGTTGACTGAAGCACCGCCTGTAGCTATCACACGGGAAGACTTGTCTGAAAACAGAAATAAGTTATTATCAGCTGAATGACATAAAATTATGAAAATTTGACGTTTCAAAAATGGTTCATGGTTTACTTGGATTAAATGATTTTGACTATGACTTTGAATTCCCTCGAGCTTGATGGGTAGCTTGGCTTTACCTATTTTTATTACTTTATTCTAATTGCGCATAATACAAGGCAGAGAATACCCATAAGACTATTATACAATCATGTTACAGTATACTATTTTCTGAATCGTTACCCCATTTTCGATATTATAGGACAATAGCTTTGAGTAGGCCGTGTTTTCATCATGAGCGAAATACTCTATTAAAAATATACTAATATTATATGTATTCACATCCTAAAACTACTATAAGTAAATGTTATAAACGCCAAAGTTGGTGAGTTTGGATGCCAGGATATTTGTTATTCTTTCAGCTAAAACTACTTAATGGATTTTGATAAAAATTTAAACAAAGGTATAATAGATTTTGATAAGTTATAATCTGGAATTACGCTTAGGCTTAATTTTTCTGTTGGCAGCAGCTATTGTAAACTTATCTATATAGGATACAGTAACTTGCCTAGTTTGAAGCCCATGTCCTCAGCATGCGCCCTGCGAGCGAGCGCCTGTCCCTCGAGCAGGGCGCGCGCCTCGAACTGCGGCGCGGCCCGCTCCACGCCGCGCCCCGCCCCGTCCTGCAGCCAGCGTCCCGCGCCCGCGCGGGGGACTATCTCTGCGGTGTCGTAGTATATACCTGCGAAAACAAAGTTTATGGAGATAAAGAGAAAATTTAACACACACATCTGACAGATATTGACTGAAAAAACAAATAATATGGCAGATCTGTTATTACTTATCAGTCATATTACTGAGAGATTCAAAAGTTTTTAAATCTAGGTTGAAATCAGAAATTGATGTAGGTATTTGTTGAACTGGAACCCTTTTGGTAACCAGAATTTCTAAGAGCCCACAAAAGGCCGGCAAAGCAATTGTGTAAACGCTTCTAGTGTGAAGAATGTCCATAGGCGAAGGACATTTTAGAGTGACATGGACATTGATGAGGTGAACCATCTGCTCGTTGACCGACCTATACCATAAAAAAGCACTAGTAACTCACCCATGTATCCCATATTTCCTCTAACAGTAGCACGAAGCAGTTCATTGAAGGCGTCCCAGCTGTTGCCAGCCAATCTGTCGCGGTGGTTCTGTCTGGTGAGGGAACCGTTGGCAAAGCACAGGAGCGCCATGTAGGGCGCGTCGGGAGTCGGGCCCACCAGCACGTGGCCCGCGGGAGGCGCCGCGGGGGCCTGCAGGCCTAGTAGCAGGGTGTCACTCGTGCCCAGGGACAGACCCACCCAACCAGAGCGGAGGCGGAGACCTGACCAACATAATTATGACCTTTATTACAAGATGTGTTTAAAGTTGAATCTTTAATAAATATAAAATTAGGTATTATTTTATTATTGTCGTGTCATCATATTTATCATCATCACATCAGCCACGAGAATATATTTTCTGCCTCTAGTCTTGTGGATTAATCTACCCTAAGAAAGAGATCGAGATAAGGCCGCGCCTTCCACAACATATTATTAATGTGTTAGGGACAGCCAAGCTTCGGCACGAATAGCCTCGACCGGGGTGATACCACGGCCTCACGGAAAACCGGCGTGAAACCACATACATACATATATGAGTGAGGTTACCATAGAAAGACCTCCACCTCGCTCCATCACTTCCCAATCCTTAAATATCCGAAACCCTTATTCCTAAAAGTCCGGCAACGCACTCGTACCTGATTCATTTGGTGTCATGGGGTTTCATGAGCGGCGCAGATTGCTTACCATCAGGTAATCTAGCTGCTCCTTTGCCGTGTTATCACATAAAAAAAGGCTAACAAAACTTAATAAACTGCATATTTCTATTACGCACATTTGGGAACATTCTCTTGGCATAAAGTACCTACATAACAAGATTACCTTAGACACAAAATCTCCATTAGGAATGTTACAAAACAATTTGCCAGATTGTAAATACAGTAATAACTATATGATAAGTTATCTCAGCTGGATAAACTATACATTAAACTGTAGTTACTGCTGTTACTGATAACAGCGTCCTATCTATACCTTGAGAACTGCTGATAACTTTGGCGTTCTTATCTTTTTATAGTTAAGTAATATGAGATTTGTTTACCTGTCTGTTTGTTGCGTGGTTTAAAAAAGATGTTTGCGCTTTGGCTCGTGGTTTAATGTAAGTACGCTATTTAGTTAGATAGATATGTAATTCAGATTCGGCAATTGATACGAGTAAATCTGATAATCATCGCATTTTTTGAAAGTAAATAATTGAATGTTAGTTTTCAAACATAAGCAATAAATTGGGTAGTTTCCTAGGTCAGAAATAAATTAATTCGACGTTTCAATACAATAAAATATTGAAAAATAACTACTTATACTTTCATTCACTAAATTTAAGATATTTTCTATCTATTTTTAAGAAATAAGTAAGCAGTCATACGAATTTCATAGAAAAGTATAGTTTTTGACATATGGATAAAAGTATTGAATTTGACTAGTTGGAAACTACCGTAGTAACAGAATTTTACTAAATAACAGAACTTTTGAATATGTCATAATTTAATTAAGTAAGTATTTAATCTGATACTCAGTACTTTAAAGTCAATAACTAGTACAGTTTAAACAAATTACTTTCACAAAGCTGTAAAGTATTATAAAACTGTAAAGTTTGTTTGTTTGATTTAGGGCTGATTTTTCAATGGTTAGATAAAAGTTACCTGGCGAATAATTATGATGCTGTCGCGTCAGAATGTTTGTACAAGACAGTGATAGCAACAATTTTATTCCTCAGATAACACTGATTTCACTATTGAAAAAATAGCACTTAACGAGCTAATCTCCGTACCTTCTGGTTCGAATTGAACAATTATTTTGGTGCTTATAGGCTATAAAACATGACGCTAAGACCTCAGAAAGTGCCGAGCAGCGAGTGAAACTGCGCGAGAGTAACTAGTCTTCAATACGACTTTACCTGCTAGAGCTGAACAGTTGTCCCCGGTGAAGGCGACCACTTTGCAGTCAGATTTGAACCCGTAGCGGCCCACGAAGTAAGGACTGATAGAGCCTACGACCGTGGCAGTGGGCACTGGGGTACCCAACTTTGTAGAGAGAGATTCATCACCACATGCCTGGAAACAAAGAAAGAATAAAAAAAGTAGTACGAACCGAGAGTAGGGAACCGATACCTACAGCTTACAAGGATTATTATACTTACAAGTTACAACGCCAAAATAGGATTACTTCAGACTAAAGTATTAGTCATTTTAATTTTGAACTTGTTTTTCTTTTTTTTATTATAACTTTCGTGAGACATTCTAAATTATTTATTATGTTTTCGGCTTACTCACGTAATAATTTGACAAGATACTCGACTAGTTTCAAGCCGACACGCGACTCGGCGACTGTCGCGCTGCTACAGTAGCAGTCTCAGACTGTCGCGTGTCGCGGAATGCTGCTCATGAATATGGGCCTCTAGCATGGCTTGAAACTAATCGAGTATCTCGTCAAATTATTACGTGAGAAAGCCGAAAACATAATAAATAATTGTTTTTCTTTACCAAATAAACATTTTTTCTTGAGTAGGATTAATGTATTAGGTACAAAACATTTAATTTTTTTGTGATAAAGAAATTAGATTTAGGTAGGTGATTGTCTAGGCTTAGACCTTTCTGTGTGTGTTAGGTTCTTGATGATAGGAGCTTAAATGAATTACTCGAACACGAACTGTACTTGAGGTTTATTTGCCTTAACTTGGCACTTTACAACAGTTCCTTAACTTTGGTATGACTCTAATTTATATAATACAATACTTAATTCAAAATTCAGGCGTAGACGTCGACGACCCCGGTGCACTCGCTTATATAGGGTACCGGTAGGTACCTACACGGTAAAGTGGGAGGTGGCGGCCGTGGTGGCGGTAGTGCGTCCCGCACCCCGCACTCGTGCGCGTTAACATACTCCCCCCGTTGAAGGTCGCACCTTCAACTTTCCATCCTCAGGCTTCTTAAACTGTTCGTCTTCAGGCTCGAACAAAGGGCACAGGCGATTGATCGCTCGCCGCACTGTGCCACTAGCTGTCCTCACATCCGCTACTCTGGAGACACCATCGTTGCCCATGTGAAGGTCATGTATACGACCGATCTTCCATCTCAAGGGTGGCAAATTGCTTTCCTTGATGATTACCATGTCTCCAATACGTAAATTAATATCGGGTTTACGCCATTTGGTACGGTGCTGAAGCTCACTTATATACTCGTGTTGCCATCTCATCCAGAAATGCTGCCTCATCTGTTCCAATTGTTCATATCTGTTGAGTCGATTACAGTTAGATTCTGTCAATACTGGTGAGGGAAGAGCTATCAAGGGTTTACCAACGAGAAAGTGCCCGGGAGTTAGGGGTTGGAAATCATTGGGGTCGGATGACATAGGACCTAAAGGTCTGGAATTTAGTATCGCTTCTACCTGGCAAAATAAAGTAGAAAGCTCCTCATATGTCAAGTGCCGGTTCCCTAATATTCTTTGTAAATGGAACTTGGCGGATTTTACCCCGGCCTCCCATAACCCTCCAAAATTCGGAGCATAAGGCGGAATAAATGCAAACTTCATGCCTTCATTAGAACAATATTCACTTATTTTATCTTTATTTTCTAACAAATATTTACTAAGTTCATTGCTAGCACCTAAAAAATTGGTCGCATTATCACAACAAATCAAACACGGTTTAGAACGACGAGAAATAAATCTCCTGAGAGACAATAGAAATGCTTCAGTACTTAGGTCGCTCACAACTTCTAAGTGCAGCGCCTTTGTAGTAAAACAAACAAATAAACACATATAACATTTACTTATTTTACAACCGCGACCCTTCCGGTCAGTAATGAAATAGGGCCCAGCCAAATCAACCCCGGTAGTTTCAAAGGGCGTTCCAGGATTCAGTCGCTGCTTAGGTAAGTTGCCCATAATTGGGACTATTGACTTAAATTTAAAGCGCTTACACACTATGCAATTCTTAACTACACTCCTAGCCACCTTTCTTGCATTTACAATCCAATATTTTTCCCTAACCGCTGCTAATAGTAACTGAGGACCTGCATGAAACAACTCATTATGTTTATTTTCAAAGATAAGCCTAGTTAATCTATGTTTATAATCTAAAATTAAAGGATGTTTTCTTTCATACAAAACAGGTGCGTTGCTAAGGCGACCTCCTACACGTATTACATTAAAGTTCGAATCCAAGAAAGGGCTAAGTGATAAAATTCTACTCTTATTATGTAACGGCTTATGACTCAATAAACTATAATATTCGTCCTTAAATGCATCCAGCTGAGCAAACTTTACTAAATACAATAAACTTTCATTCAATTCATCAGCCGTTAAATAATTACAGGTAAGTCTATTTTTTATTTCTTTAGTTTTGCAATTCTTAACAAATCTAAGTATGTAGGCCATTGTACGTTGTACCTTATTTAGTTTAGAATAACGCTCAAATTCAATTAACACGTTGTTGTTTACATTAACATAATTCACTAATGAGCCTACCTGCTTCATTTCTGGTAATGTTAAACTATTTAATTTATGTTCACCCACATTAGGCCAATGACATTCAGCTAAAGATAAGAATTGAGGGCCATTCCACCACATGGTTTGTACTTTATTATTCATCTGATCCACCCCGCGAGAAATATAATCGGCGGGATTGTGTTCGGTTGGTACATATCGCCATTCACAATTCTGAGTTAAGTTATTAATTTTATTTACGCGATTTGCAACAAATACTTTTAATTGTTTAGGCGTATTGCGTGACGTATGCAACCAACCAAGCACAATCATCGAATCAGTCCAGTAAACATAACGAGAAATAGTACATCGCAATGAGTGAGTCACCTTATTTCCTAACTCGGCGGACAACAACGCGCCGCATAACTCGAGCTTAGGAATTGTTAAACCTTTTAGGGGCGCGATCCTAGATTTGGAACAAAGCAACTGTACATGATTATCTCCCCTCCCACTCACAGAACGTACATAAACACATGACCCATACGCACTGGCAGACGCATCACAAAAAATATGAATTTCGATACTCAATGCATCCTTAAGCATCACATGTCTAGGTACTTCTATACAACTAAGGGAATTCATATTTCTTATGAAGTTATACCACAATTTCTTAATTTCATCATCTACGGGATCGTCCCATTCTAATTTACATAACCATAACCTTTGTAAGATTAATTTAGCCTTGACAACGAATATACTTAAAAGACCTAATGGGTCAAATATTTTTGCAATAGAAGACAATATATTACGTTTGGTAATTTTTTCGTGTTTATCTACTTGTACCGAGAATTTAAACATATCAGGTTGAGGTGACCATGTTAACCCTAAAGTACTGGTGACTGTTTTAAATTCTTTAAGTTCTTGTACTTCATTTAATTTATTTTCCACAAACAACTGATTTGCATTTGATCGGAACTTTCGCAAATTAAAACCAGCTGAACTTAAGATTTTAGTAATTGATCTACATATACTATTTAATCCTTCCTCTGTCTGATGACCTGTTAATAAATCGTCCATGAAAAAATCATGTTCAATGATCTTACCAATATCGGGATCTTCACACTCATGTGCTAGTTGCAAAAGGCAACGAGTACTTAAGTATGGCGCCGACGCGGTCCCATAGGTGATTGTATTTAATTTTAAATGTTTTACTGGTTCATGCTCGTTCTCCCTCCATAATATCATTTGCAAATGTCTTTGACTCTCAGAGATTAAAATTTGCCTATACATTTTTTCAATGTCTGAGGTCATTACATAATTATGTTGTCTAAACCTGAGCAAAATACTAAATAAGTCGTCCTGGATTACAGGTCCCACCATTTGTATGTCATTTAACGAATACCCGGTGCTAGATTTTTCTGAGGCATTAAATACAACCCGAAGCTTGGTTGTCTCACTCTTTTCTCGGATAACCGGGTGATGAGGTAAATAACATGCAAACGGGGGTTTGCCGCTTTCAGATAGGTGATTTAACTCTTCATATTCATTTATAAAATCTACATACATATCCTTTATGCCAGGCTGTTTCTTAAACCTTTTTTCCAAATTAATTAAACGCGATTTAGCTTTTACAAAGGTGTCTCCTAGTACAGAAGGCGAAGTATGGAAGGGCATTTTTATACAAAATCTACCATTCTCTGTTCTATACATATTCTTTACAAAGTGTTTTTCACAAAAATCTTCTTCGGTACTACTCGGAATTTTATCTATACTTATAACTTCTTCCACCTTCCAAAATTTCTCCAACTGGTCACTTACACCTCTCGCTAAATTACATTTTGCTTCAATTTTCGGTATACATAATATATCCACGGGACCCGTAACAAGCCAACCCAACTTAGAGCTCTGCAATGTGGGAAGACCCTTACCTAATTTTACTTGTTGACTGGTTACAAGTTCCCAAAACAAATCTGCTCCTATCAATATATCTACCTCAGAGGGCTCATAAAATCTGCTATCTGCTAAATCCACTAATATGTCGCCTGGAATATTCAATTTATCTACATTTACCCTTACACTTGGCAACATATTAGTAATTCTAGGTAAGATCATGCAATTAATTTCTACAGAAAAATTATTATGCATTGACTTTATTACAAAGTTACTACTTTCTACTAATTGCAATTTACTATTACCTATTCCGTTAATATTAAAATTATGATCAATTCGTTTGCAAGACAATCCTAATTTCTTACAAAAACTTTCCGTTACTAATGATAATTGACTTCCAGAATCTAACAATACGCGTGCGACATAATATTTATTCTTATTTTTGCTAAAAACTTTAACAAGCGCGGTCGACAAAAGAACATATTGACTCGCTACAGTTGATAAGGAAACCGGTTCCGCGCTCGGCGGCACATACCGCGTAGGCACAGCGCAGCTCGAGGCGACCGCCAATTCAGTTGGTGGCGGTTCGCATCCAGCGACTACTCCGACGGATGACGTCGAGTGTGACGTAACCTTAGTGACGGCTTGGGTAGAACTCACCTTCGCACTACTGTCTTCCGATTGAGGTCTATTTCTATGCAATAATGCGTTATGTTTATATTTACAAATCTTACAACCAAATGATTTGCAGTTATAGGCCCGGTGGCCTGGTTTAAAACAGTTGATACATAATTTATACTTAGAAACAACATCATTTCTTTCATCTAAACTCATAGAAATAAACCTCGTACATTCAAATAGGCGGTGTTCTTGATTACAAATAACGCAGTTATTATTAAAATTACGGTTGATATGCGGTTGTGAAGAAGCGACAAAAGTAGCGGCCCTCTCAGCTTTAATATTCAATTTACTTGGCCTCGACGCTTCTAGAACATCTGCTCGATCGCGTATAAACTTAAAAAACTCATCGAGGGTAGGAACCTCTCCTAATGAACTTTTGTGTTCCTCCCACCTTCTACTCGTTGCATGATCTAATTTATTCACTGCCAAATGGATAATAATTGTATCCCAATAATCTATGGGTTGGTCTAACGCCTTTAAACCTCTTAAATTTCTTGTTACATCATCAATCATTAAACGTAATGATTTATCAGACTCTTTACTTATGCTTTCTATATTAAATAATGACTTCATGTGATTGCTTATAAGAAGACGCTTATTATTATACCTATCGCATAATAAGTCCCACGCTACACGATAGTTATCAGAACTAAATGTTAAAGATTTTATAATCAAAGCGGAGCTACCCTCTAATGACGATCGCAAGTAATGGAACTTATTTATTGTTTCAATACAATCATTTTTATGAATTAATGCCTCGAAAGTGTCTCTGTACTCTAACCAATGACTATAATTTCCATCGAATGTTGGTAATTTAATTGTGGGTAATTTAATTGAACCAGAAAATGAACTTGCACTTTCGAAACTACCACTCTGCTTCATAGTTGGATGGGCCAGACTTTTCCTTCTAAGGTTGCTTTCTTCTATTTTCTCTAAAATACACTGGCCTTGCGAAATTAATGAATAAAATTGACCTTCAATCTCGGAACGTACTTTCATCTGTTCGTCCGGATTTTCCGATTCAATTTCAATTTCAGATTGTAAGTCATCGAAAGTGGAAAAACATGCTTCTAATTTGGATATTCTTAGCCTTAATTCGGAAATTTGCTGATCCGTTAATTTCTCTAAATTTTCTATATTATCGATGTATGTTTTAAACATCGTCAATCTACCCTTAATGTAGCTCCTCTTCTTGATCGGATCTGCAAGTTTCCTGGAGGCTTGAGACATTTTTAATTATACGACCTACGTTGTGTTAAATGCAGTTGGTTATGAGGAACTTTAACAATATTCTGCCAAATATTCGCAACACACGGCTCAAAGTAGTGGGTAGGAAGGAAAAAATGGAACGGGCTCACCTCGCTATGGAAATTTCCTTTAGCTACTCTTTCTTTCCTGTGTCCTTGTACTTATTCCTTTCCTTTTTGCAATTTCCTTTTGTCTTTCAATTCCTCAATATTCCAAAATCCTGGTCACGGCACCATAATGTCTAGGCTTAGACCTTTCTGTGTGTGTTAGGTTCTTGATGATAGGAGCTTAAATGAATTACTCGAACACGAACTGTACTTGAGGTTTATTTGCCTTAACTTGGCACTTTACAACAGTTCCTTAACTTTGGTATGACTCTAATTTATATAATACAATACTTAATTCAAAATTCAGGCGTAGACGTCGACGACCCCGGTGCACTCGCTTATATAGGGTACCGGTAGGTACCTACACGGTAAAGTGGGAGGTGGCGGCCGTGGTGGCGGTAGTGCGTCCCGCACCCCGCACTCGTGCGCGTTAACAGTGATAAAAAATATTTGTATTTTCAGTATACTTACCTACAATCGAACTAGTAAAAAAAACAAGTAAATTTAAAATCTACTAACCTGCAAACACTTCTCATCCCACTGCATAGTTCGGATATCAAGGAGGTTCATGCCAGAGCCATCAGCAAGGTCTATGGGAGCTATCTTGCCAGCCAGTAGCGAGCAAGCGAAGGACGAAACTAAGGAGATCCTGGCGGCCGCCTGGTACACCCGCGGCCGCTTCCTAAACATCTTACGGATCTGAGGACCTGTGAACCTTTCGTAGGCGCGCGATCCCGTGATCTTTGAGAGCTCCTGAAGAAATTTAAAGTGGTCTCTTAATATACGAAGTAGGTACGGGTAGGTAGGTAGGTACACTACAAGTCTAAAACCTTTGAAAAGAAGGTTGAGTTTCTCAATTCGACCTTATTTTATTTCTTTATAATTATTAGGTAGCACTCGATTGAGATTTCTTATGCATTAAATTAAAGTAAAAAGGTGCTATAAAGGGTTTGCACACAGTAGGTACTCAATATGGTAAATCTCATCAAATCTTATTTAATATTGTAAAGTTCAAATGCCAGAAAAAAAACTAGTTGATTTTTAAAAGCCAATACCTATAAAAAAGTAAATAATGTATAATAGCAGTATTTAGGTACTAAACGGGATTCAGTCACGAAATCTAAGTCGATATCGCGTTGTAATATACATCAAGCTTTACAATTTGCGCAAAAAGAAATGATTTTCTGTCTCTTTCTTTTCTCACCTCTGCTCCTACAGCCTCCTCAAGAGCCTTACAATCTGCAGTAGTGCTGGAATCCATCCACACAGGAGAATCAGACACAAAGGCTGTAGCCAGCTGGGTGTGTAGGAATTCATCTGGAGACAGTTTGCCAAGCTTTGCCTCCGCATCCTTAGACCACCATACTGAGCCATGTTGCTAGGAAATTTATAAAATTTATAGTTTCAAAACTAAAACAGCCTACGCTTATGTTAAAAAAGTCTTTAAACTATGTATATTTATCATAAGATGTGTTTCATTTGCTTAATACTTTTTATATTTAATTGTCTATTATGATAAATTCTTGGAATTATGCTATTGTCTTATTTTCTCAGGGTTTTTAAATTCAACTATTTTATGGCTGACAATTCCACAGCATATCATGTGAAAAATGTTGATGTTAATTAATATAATAACTGCATTTTGACATATGAGTCCCATCTAACAGAATTGTCTCTTTATGCATTCTAGACATCATTCTATCATTTTAACTATAAAAAAAAAACCAAAAAGAGTCCAGTTAAAATTACCTGCCCTGCTCCAGAAACTGCCTCAATGATAGAGAAGTCAACTCCAGCCACAACAAGGCGGTCCATAACCATGTCTAATGCTTTTACCCATAGTAATGGAGGGGCAATCACCTCCCCACGGTCTGTTCCACGTACCACACCTCCGGCCGTCCTAGAAGAACAAAACAAGTGTAAAATTGTACTTGAAAGAATATCTATAAAACCCTATTCACTTATGTTATTTGGTTGATTACAACTCATTAAATATTACTACAGTCATGAATAATGGATTTATTAAATGTTAATAAGTATGTGTGTACAAAAGGCTAACTGGTTTTGTTCATTTTTAAAATAGTCATCAATTATTTATGCTTATTTTATGTGAAAATTGCTGAGGTTGTTGAAGGCATGTTGCTTAAAATAAAGTTGGTTACCTATTTATTTTAGACCAAATGTGAATAATACTTTTAATTAATATTATAAGAATGTCAATTTTTTTAGTGTAAATGTTGAACTTTAAATATGAGATCACCTAAATTCAGGGAGGTCCACATCAAATTCCACATCAGCCTCATGTAGTACACTAAAGTCTTCACCAATAACTATGGCTTTAAGCTGAAACACACATAAATAAGAAAAAAAGTTATAATAAAAGGAGAAAAAAATATTTTTAAATTATTTGAAAATTGTTGGATTTTATTATTTATTTAATAGCTTATTCACAAAATTAAGTACATTGTACTTAATTGGACTTGATGCTACAGGCCTTGTCAGACGACCAATTCAGATTTTTGTTTGGTGCAGAGCGGAGAGTTGATTTGTGCAAGAAGTAATCGAAACCAAGTATACCAATATAATAAATACAAGTATAGTATACTATTATGATTTTTTTAATTTTGAGTGATATTTTATTTTGTATTTAAATTAAAAAATTAGGTACTTGATTGGTTGCATTTTAATAGTTAGGTAGGTACATATTTTCTGAATATATTTTTAATAAATTATTTTTAATGTACTTATATTTTTTATTTAAATTACCTAATGTATTATTTCAATTGTTTAATTTACGTGAAATGCTCGTTCATTTGTTTACTTTTCAGTCAAATAAAAACCACCAATCAATGACGAGATATAAAATAACCAACTTGATTAATTAAAATGTTATCACCAATGACGTATTTTATACATCATTGGTTATCACCTTGTTTATCTAATTTTACTGAATTAATTAGCGTATATATAAAATGGGTGAGGCAAAGACATTATCTGATAAAGACACTTAGAACAATACAAACTACACGACATTCAAAAATAGTTTAAAAAGTTTACATACCCTTTGTGTACTAAAATCAAATCCCAAAAAAGTTCTTTTTCTTGAATCCTCAGTCATTTTTATATTTTGACAGCACGGCCGGACAGTGACACAGCTCTGCGTTGCGTTCAGGAACGCGATATCGACTTAGCTTTCGTGACTGAATGCCGTTTTGTTAAATTCCGTCGCGATTTCACGATATCATTATAGTATTTTATTAGTCTCAGCACACAAATTAATCGCTTAGTCGTATGTTTGTTACAATTCGATAAAGAAGCGTCAGTAGTATCGCCCACTTTTGCTTGTTTTGGTGATCATTATATTATGTGTAGGTACCTTTTTACGTATTGATGTATTTTATATTCTATCTGGCTATATTTTTATTACGATCCATTTTTATCATATATACTTTTTTCAAAGCGCTACAATAAACAGAGCAGTAAAATGATAACTTCAATAGTTTCCAAGTTGCTTTCTTTCTTAATTTATTCAGTCTTTAAATGGCAAAACCCGAAGTCTTCTTTTATTTCTTACAACTATCATATTTTTTTCATAAAATAACTTAGGCATGACCGCCTCCTCATAAACTCGTCGAACAAACGCAAAACTACAATAACTGATATCAAAGCGCATAGAACAACGTTGAATACGAGAATGTAACGAGTTAGAGTTCAAACAATAATATCTTCGATTCGATAAAATTACCGTAGATTAGCAATTAACTACAAATAAAGAAACTTCTACATTAAATGAAAAACCAAAAAAACTTTATATCAGAGGAAAGTACGATTCGTGAACCTGATTTCATATTTTAACAAGCTAAACAGAAGAGCAGCGAAGCACATCAACACACAATAAAACAGTTATGTTGCATTGTTGGCCTTTTTAAGCAAAATGGCTAGTATGAATCATAGCGCGGTGGCCATGGAGGCTTACCTCACAGGTAGGTAGAGCGGGTTCACTGACCTATATAGCTTCACACTAATGACCGGCGTGTGGGTACACATGCTTAATTGAACAAAGCGCCTAATATTAGCTTATGTATATATTTTTTAAATTACCTGGTAGTCAGCTAGGGCTACAGGTAGCTACAGGTCCAAGTAGTCAGCTAGTTTACCTGTAGCCAAAGTAGGTTAACCTTTTTTGTGAGTATAACATAATAGTTGTTAAGCTCCAACTTATGCTTGAACTGGACTGTACTACACTAGTATTCAAAGAATTTTATAATAAGAACTTAAGTAGATACAATTTACCTAATTTACCTTAATTGTTATGCAGTTTGCAGTAAAATCCATTTTATACTTTCATAATTTCAGTTTACCTGCATCGTTAGTTAAATGGTCAAACTGCGGCTGCCGAGCTTCGGGTTTGAATCTCGAGTCGAGCCAAGGATTACTAGAGAAAAAATTTGTAAAAACACGGAGTCTTTGATACGTGGTACCTAATAATATTGTGATATTACGCAAAAGACCCACACTGAATAGCGCCTATGATTTTTAATAACTGCTATTTATTATAGTACCTTGCTATTATTATTTCAATAGGCACTGTTTGTGGGTACATACCTTACATTCTGGCCACAAAATTAATAAAATTCACTAAGTAACCACAAAATTGCTCATTAGGATATATTGTAAAATGAGGTTTTATATCTTTCTTAAAAAAATATCGGTCCAAGTAGTCGCTATTCCAAGTTTAAATTAGTGGTAAAATATTCAATGTGCAAATACTGGCTTGTAAGAACTAACGTGTTAACGTACCCACCCCTCTTAATGCAAACAAGCTTTCATGTGATGTTGTAATACATAGTTATTCCTATACACAGAAAGATATATCTATGTCATACCATTAGAACTTCCTTCTTGCTTCTTATCGCCTCCAGGTAAGAGCCTACTACTGAACAAAAATAAAATAAGTATGAGTTATGACCTTTAATCACCACACTTCCTCAAGCCGAAATAAAAGTTTTAAGTTCAGATATCCTTGCAATATTTTCCTTCAGTCATACATATCTTAATAATTTGAGAGAGTACCTACGTAGTTAACATTTGGGCGTTTTAATCTCCGGGCCACGACGACTATATTCTTTAACCTCCATCACATTGACTGAATGCGTGTTTTTGAAACCGCTTCGAAACAAGTGAAATATCAGCCTTACAAAAAAAAAAAACGATTGCGTTGTGTTTCTTATAAGAGTGAGGTTATCAAAAGCCCGTCCTTTCCCTACTCCTCATACCTAATACCTAATTCAATTTCAATAAATTACTAATAACCTTCTTAAGGCGGCAAAGTAGGAACCTGCTTGTAGCTCTAGTGGTGCGAGTGTCCATTGGCGGCGCCGTTTGCTTACCACCAGGTGATCCATGAGCACGTTTATCGCCTTAACTATACTAAAAAAAAAAACTAATTTTGTTCAAGCTACATTCATTTCAAAGTATATATGTATCTACGATAACATACGTATATATTAATAAGGCAAGTAATCCAATATCGTTAGTGTATCGTCTGTTTTAAAACATAAACACGCATAACTAGCTATAATCTAAGTAGGTTCCTATTCTTACAGGCAGGATGGAGAACAGAGAATATAATTTCCATCTTTTGCAACAAACTACGTTTCTTTAAAAATGTTCCCCAACGTAGCTAACTGACCAAAAAGGTAGCACCCACACATAAATAGACAAACTCACACAGGTTTCCGTGTGTGCTTACAAAGGTGGCATGTAACGAAACTAATCGCATGGAAAACCTACACGGGTGGCGAGGCGCGCTTTCGACGTCTATATTTATCTGTGCCACCCCACTGGGGACTGCTTGGACGCGGTGGGACGAACGTTTACGCCTTTAAACTTCAAATACGTGTCACTTTGCGAACGTTTGATCAAGATAATATTAGTGGAACGCAGCCTTTTGGTGGCGTTCTTTTTTTAAACCGCTGTCAAAATCAAACGATGATGGCGTACCTAACTAAGTTTTTGGGATACGGTTTTGGCCCAAATTCCTTTGTTTTACCTAAATAGCCAATAGCATATACTATAACCTGCTTTCAACATAATCAAATTCAGAATAGAGAAGAAGTTAAAAGTATGTTAGGTACCACGTGTACTTATTATATACTTACAAATGATAACTAACATGTGATCACAGCCTGGGAAAATATAAAAAAAATGTTTGTATGAGATTCCAATAGTACCTGTTTATAGTCTACTTGAAATAAATGACTTTGTTATACCTAATCGATCATAGGAATACCTAACCTACCTTTAAATCTATACTATAACCTACGTTAACGTTATTATACATTTTTTAGGTCCTCCCCTAATAAAACAAAAGGTAAAATGTTAAAAAGATAGGAAAAAGACGTGCAATTTACAAATAGTTGGAGATTATTCAGTATGCTGAACATTTATTTGGCAGCGCTTGTAATCTGCCGTTAGTTCGTGCCAAACGCAACAGGTGGCGCTAATCGAGCGCTGCTCGCGTTATTTCGCGTTCTTTTTTGTTTTTCTCAATTTCCAGCATCTGTGTGCACTATTCAATGTTCACAGAGAACTTTTACTTTGATTTTGAACGCAATTTAAAAAAGGAACTATGATTTTCTTTGTTCTGTAACAATAACTACAATATTTTTTTAAAAGCTAGAATCTTTGTTTCGTACATAGGGCCAGTGCCAATGTTTTTAAGAAATGTAATTGAAAAATAAAGACTAATTCTACTTACCTTCTTGAGTGTTTACACAAGAGTAAATAAAGAAAACTTGCAACTTGCTACGGTGTAGCAACGTCGTAGGCTCGTAGCATACTTTTCACAGACCCGTGCTACGTACGAGCCTTCGAAATCTTACAATTTTATTTCCTAGAAAAAGAAGAACAATCCTATATCTGATCACAAGGTTCTGGCATCCAACTTGTAAAACTAATCAAAGATTGATTGTAAGATAAAACCTTGTATCATCATCATCCGACGCTGACCATTGTTGAACAAAAGCTTCTTCTCACACGAAGTAGGTTTGACCATTAATCACCACATTTATTCTCAAACTATTTCTGGCATTCAAACTTAAATATGAAATTATAAGTCCAGGTTTTCTCATGTTTAAGATGTCTGAACTATCTTATAAAGCACATATAACTCGGGAAAAATACACATTGGTAATTGTCAGGCTGGCGCATTTACACCCAGGTTACCACAGTAATAGAACGAATCTTGTATAAAGTTCTGGATTCAAAAATATGAGATTCCCAATCAGACATGGCTTCACACTTGATCGAAGCAGAACACGGAGTTTTATGACAAACCTAAATCTTTTTAAATGGGCGCTTCTATCCACGTTGTCATCTTCAAGCAAGGAGGTTATTACAAAACATCTTATGAAGAGGAGGTTCAACACTAGAAATAGGCTACTTACTGTATTTTTTTCTGTGTCAAAGGTTAGCAAACGAGCAGACGTATTACCTGATGGTAAGCTTTCAGTGCGGCCTATGGACACTCGTAGCGTATATAGTTAACATCCGATTCAGTCCAGGTTTCCTCACGACGTTTGCCTTCACCGTATGTCAGTGGTGTCTAAATAATCATAGAAACTACATATTATTCGGAAAAAGTCACATTGGTACTTGCCAGGAACCTACACCCTCATGCATGAGAAGCGGGCGGCAGGTAATACGTCTGATTCTGCTCAATCGCCGATCTATCCCATAAAAAACGGCTAAGACTGCCTAGTTTACTGTCCTTGGCTAAGGTTTTAAATAAAATTACGCAAAAGCTTTAAAGAATCAAAAAACTAATGTAAATAATATCACATTATATAGTTATAATTAAAATGTAATAATTTCATCGAAGTAGAAAGTAGAACTGTTAGCACTAACATTCGTCAACTTATAGTGTAGGAACCTTATAAGAAGTTATCTAATTCGGTACCTTACTCCTATAGTTAATAACAAACGTATTTTACAATATATGAACATATTATAGTACTAGCGATCCTCCCCGGCCTTGCACGGGTGCAATGGTCAATTAATTTCTCCTATATCTAATGGATATTATTATACATATAAACCTTCCTCTTCAATCTCTACGGAGTATCTCGCTCGTTCTCGTCGAACAGACTGACAGACTAGGTACTTATGCGTTTCATAATATTCTATTTATGCGTTTCAAAAGTACCTATTTATGGTAAAGTTATTGAATCTCTATCTACAAAAGAAACAAAACATCAAAATCCGTTGCGCTTTTTTAAAGATTTAAGCATACATATAAGCTATAGGGACAGAGAAAGCGACTTTGTTTTATACTATGCAGTGATACCTAAAATGCGGGATTCTATTTATTTAGTTTTTTGACTTCCTTTATTAATATGTATCCACTACTAAATCCAAACGATCCAAGCTTAATATTATAAATGCGAAAGTAACTCTGTCTGTCTGTCTTTTCTTCATGCCTAAACTACTGAACCGATTTCTGTATAATTTAATACAGACATAGTTTGGAACTCGAGAAAGGACATAGGATAGTTTTTATCCCGAAAACTACGCGAGAGTGGGACTTTGTAGGTAAAACCAAAAATGTACAGGAAGTAATTATTCCACGCGAACGAAATCGCGGGCAAAAGCTAGTATAAACATAAATTGAAAAAAAGACGTTCGAAATTGGTATATGAAATGAAGTACCTACTTATTTAAAATAAGTAATTATATGGCGTAATCATTTAGCTTTTTTTGTTCTATAACACTTAATTTATACATTGGTCGGGCAAATATGTGGTCACCATAATGAAAAAGTATCAGTAGCAACCTCCATGACCAACGAAATGACGCAAAATTACTACGAAAACTGCCCTGTTGCCAATTGTATAAGTTGAGAATTACACACTCATCCGATTATCATGTCAAAAACTATCATTGTAAGTTTCATAAGGTACGAAATATTTTACAGTCAGTTCGAACTTGATCCAAGAAAGATAATGCTTAAAGACTAGCCAACCTTACTGACAGTTTACGGACGGACGCTTTCAAAGACACATTTAATCATAATCCTTTTATTATTAGGTATTAATAATTCTAACGATTTTAGTATAACGACATTATGACTTATTCTGATTGGATTTCAAATATCGAGTGTTCGAATCATTGGTTGAAGATGATTTTTAGTAGATTGGTTGAGCGAGCGTGTGTTGATGTGAGCGGAGTGGTACGTCGGAGTGGTACGCGCGAGTGGCGTCTGGGTGTCGGGCCGCGCCGCGAGGATGCTGCGCCTCTTAAAATTGTAAACAAGAGCTTTTTCGATTGGTGGGCGGCACCGCGCAGGCGTCGCACGACGTCTACTTGTAGCGACGTCGTCTTTATTTAATTTTTCAACAATATTTTGATGATTTCGTACAAACTAATATTTTAACTGTTTTTCAAAAAATAAAGTCTCAAAGGTGAAAGCTGTGACTGTCCGGCTTTTAAAAAACAAAAACATCCACGTGTTGAATTATAAACATAAAATGGATACAGCTAGCGCTACACACCGTGTACTAAAGTCAGCTGATTGTGCAGTTTGAATAGCCTAAACAAAAAGCTTTCTAAAAGTATCGTGATGGAATTATATCTACTGGTAAGTAAATACGACGTCAATGGTGATGGACACATTCAACTCGTACATTGAAACTCCATTGTAAACTTCCAATGCACATCATGAAGCGCTCCAACAGTAGGTACAACACCTAAAGAACTGAAAACGTGTTGGCTGTTTGTGTGCATTCACAAAGCGCAGTCATCGGCACAGAGCGATATGTGATATTTGCTAAGAGATGAAAAGCTTCAAAGTAGGCTATTGTAAGTTGAGGAACGCTTCCAGAGATAAGAGTGGAAATCGATTGTGGTGTGCGGTGTTGCCGCCGGCCGCCGGCACGAGGTCGAGGCTGCGTGCGGCGCTGCGCGTGGCGCGGGGCGGGGCGCGGGGGGCGCGGAGCGCGTGCGCGGGCCGGCCGGGGCGCGGGCGGCAGACGCGCCGCGATGGTGGGCCGCGACAGCCGCTCGGAGAGCGCGGCGCGCCCCTGGGCGCCGCGGCATGAGTAGCGCGCCAGCCCGGCCCGGCCCGCGCGCCCGCCATGGCGCAGGCCGCGCCCGCGCCCCATCGCACCCACTCCTTCGCGAAGAAGACCTTCCACAAGCCGACGTACTGCCACCACTGCTCGGACCTGCTGTGGGGCCTCATCGGGCAGGGCTACGGCTGCGAAGGTACGCGTCGCGCATGCGCCCCGTGCGCGTCGATACCGGCTCGGCGCGCGGCCGCCGCCGGCACGACCAGCGCGTTATGCAACCCGGAGCCCGCGACTGGCCCCGGGCGTGTCCGCCCCGGCCCGGCTGCCCGCCCCGATCGATACCGCCCCGGCGCCCGGCGCCCGCCCGGCCTCGCTCCCGGACTATCCTCGCTCGAGTTCACGTGCACACGTCGCGTGCCAGCCCTGTATCGCCTTGCACTTGAAATTTCAAGGACATAGGATGCCACCCCGTGCGTATGGCTCCCCCAAGTAGCTGGTCGTGTTGCACGTGTGGCGCCCCCTGTAGGCTGCCACGGCTGTAAGTTCTAGGGAGGGATGTGCTGGGGAGCCACCAGAGCAGCTGAAAGCTGAGGGTGACGATGGCACAGCGAGTGAGCATTCGGGAGCATATCGATCGATCTGTTTTGTAAGAGGTTTTTTCATAGCGGTGGCGCGGGGCGGGGCGCGGCGCTGCATCCCCCGCTCGTGTATCCCTAGGCTAAGCAACACTATGTGAGCGTGCCCCCGTGCTATGTGAGGTGGTAAGTGACCATTAGCCGCAGGGTGTATGTGTGTGTGTCCTCTACACGACACTCACTTGTTAATTAGCTCCCAGATGAGAAGACATCTTGTTTTTGCGCATTTTGTTTTGGTCCCCTGGAGTTGCTTCATTGAAACATTACGTCTAAGTAAAAATCGATGAACGCTTTCTTCTTGAATCTTACATTGTTAAAGCTTTCACTACGAGTCGGGTTCACTTATGTTCGTTAAGCTACGCGGCCGCGGCACGTGAAACAACTCACGATGAGCTCAAACTTACAGCTTTACGTCTCGTCATTCATAACTTTAGATACTTTAATACATATATTAATTAATTTAATTTTCAGTTAATACAATATGATAGCTAGGTAACTACAACCTAGATCGCGTAAAACCGCAAAACAATCTCATTTAGATTCGTATTTGTACAAATATTTGTAACATACGCCTACTTACTCACTACATAACTTGATATAACAAAATCACAAAATATTCCTGTAACATTTTTTCCTCGTAACATCGAGTGGTACATCACTGTGCGTTGTTACCTATTATTAAGTGCTGTGACTAAACTAACAACAATTTAAAGTCCTCTGTCCTAATACAGTAAGGATAAATTGTATGAAAGATAATGTAAGAATGGAGTAATAATTTGGAAGTTAGTGTTGTAATGTAATACAAGTTGTAATTTGACATCTTTGAGTACGTAGCTCGTGGCTCGTGTAGCGTATCGATCTCAACCTCTTCACGACATGTCCCATCGGGATTGGGCAAAGAGAAGGCGTCGGATATATTCTACGCTGCGTAACACTCTTATATGTATAGAACTGTTCTCAATAATCATTCCTAAATCTACTCTATATTTATTTTATTTAGGGTTGATTTTTCAATGGTTAAATAAAAGCTACCTGAGCAATAATTATGATGCTGTCGCGTCACAATGTTTGTATAAGACAGTGACAGCAACAATTTTATTCCTCAGATAACATTTTATCTGGCTATTGAAAAATCAACCCTGAGCCAAATAGTCGATTATGTAATTCGATTGTTTTCTATGTTACGTTATCACGGTGACAATCACTTATTAAATGTGAACTAAATAGATGAAAGAACGATATTTTTTTTTGGTTTTTTTTTTTTGTATTTCAAGCAAAAGCAAAACTATTGTTTTCATGTAAACCGAAACAATGTAATTGAATTTATTTGAGTTGTGTAGATAATTCGCTAAGTTCTCATATTATGTTCAGTCTGTTATTAATCGGCTAATGTAAAATGAAAGGTTTTGCCTAACATCGGACTTCGAATTCCTTCAAATTTTATAAAACTAAAGCCTGAATTTTCTAACTAGATCTCTTCTTTCAAAAATCTTATACATTAATAAGCTAATTTATAAAAAAACATTGCCGTTTGTTGCCTTTAACTTTTTATCTTAACTTCTTGACTTCGATATTTAAAAATATAAGCAAAATTTGTTGATTGAAGTAAACAATCTTATAAACCATTATATTGAACCTTGGTTTGAAGTAACTAAAACCTTATTTCCACGAGCCTCCTTGATTGATGCAAGGACAATTTTAAATCGTTTAAAAATTTTTGTATAAGTAACTAGCGGACCGCCCTGCTTCGCACGGGTAGGTATCCGACTACCGCGTCAGTCATTTGTTCTTTTTTGCAAAAGGATTGTTAATTCCCGATATTCCCCTTTACTTTTCTAAAGTTTTCTTTCGTTAGAATCTTCACACAAAAATAACGAACATACAAAAAAAGATTCAGGAAAATTGGTCCAGTCGTTATTGAGTTATGCGCTTACCAACACATTTCGCGATTCATTTTTATATTATAGATTACAAGAACTTATTTTACACGGGACTTTAACAAATTTCTTAGTAAAAATGTCTAAAATGTTGTTTCTTATAAAAATAATTTACCTTCGAAATTGATGGTGAAACCATCGAGAGGAAACCTAACTTATGATTTCCAATTATAAGTATAAGCAAGCGTGGTGATTAATGCGTACCTTCTTGATGCGAGAAGAAGATTTTTTTAAGTAGTGGGCACATATAGGCTGATGATAAGATAGCATTGTAGAAAATGTAGCTAGCGGGTAAATAGGTCCTCCATTTCCATAAAAATAATTTTCACTGAAAATGACAAAAATGATTAGCGCGTACCTCTTGTATGGAGAAAACCTATAAGTTTTTTTTATTATGGTTAGAAACGTTACGCACACTTAATCAAGTTAATTGTTTCTCGAAAAAAGTTTAGGAAAATTTTTTTTTTAACGGCAGTATCACCATTTTCACACTGCACCAATTATTTTTCTAATTCTTCCGATAACTTATTTCCTAGTAGACATTATTAAAACTAAAACGAAAATATAAAATGTGCGAAATAACAAAATTTCATAAATGATGGCCATGTTTGGCGCCGGAGGATATTCATTAAATATTATCTGTCCTAACAAACTACATATATCATAGTTTTAAAGAAGAAAGAACTTAAGGAAAGACGTAGAACTTTTAAACTAAGATAAAAAAAAATTGTATATAACATACACCACTGGTAACCTCTGCAATTCGAATATAAAATATTTTTTAAAAAGAACGCTAATCATTCTGTATTACGGTGTTATATTAAATAATAGATACTTACTTATAGAACCGTGCATAGTAAAGTCTCCAGTAAGGCGTTATTGTACCCAAATGTAATAAGATTGGTTTTCTAACTAGTAGAGATGGGCCTGTAAACTGTCCTACCGCTAGACAATGGCTTCTTCTCAAACGGAGAAGGATCTCGAGCCTACAATCAGGTATTTTATTATAATATGTGAATCTTTGTGAGAATGTGTGTGACGTATATTTGTTAATCTGTAACACAAAAATGCCTGGACCGATTGGGTTGAAATTTGGTATGTATATAGGTAGGTGATATCAAGAATTAACACATAAGCTGTTTTTTAAAAACATATCATGCGGGCAAAGCCGCGTACGGAAGCTAATCTGTAATAAATTATTTCGGATTTTCAATGCAATAAATTGTCAAATTTCTGACATTTCAATAAAGTTACTTGAATTATTTTATAGTTAGATTGTTTCCTCGCGACATTTCCTTCGGCGTACCGTCCCTAAATTAAAAAAAGAACATTGCTTTGTTTTATTTGGCAGTTCGAAGCCTTCTTCTCTATAAGGTTAAGTGCCGGTCTTACTTAGTTGTCATCATGATTTTGGTTATGAACTTCGCAAAATAAAAACATTAAGATAAAATTCCGTTTCCCGCGATGCCGTTTGCGTGTTAGAGTCACTTCCTGCAGAGTTTTGGTATAAAAACTATCCTATGTCCTTTTTCGAGTTCCAAACTATGTCTGTACTAAATTTCACAGACATCGTTCAGTAGTTTAGGCGTAAAGAAAAGACAGACAGACAGAGTTACTTTCCCATTTATAATATTAGTTTGGATAAAAGAAAAAATACTTAACTATTACTATGAAATTATAAGATTTGCTTTGTTTCGATTAAACAGTTTTTTGAACAAATAACAAAATAAATATTTTCAGAAAATCCTTTGACCCGAGATATATCGTATCTAAAAAGGCTCAAAACAAAAAAGTCAATTTAAGAAATGGCCTATTTGTTTGAAAACTTAAAAACTCATGTAACCTAACACAATAATAACAAAACCAGATACAGTAAAATATCCTTCCAACGCGAAAGTTGATAATTATGGATGAACCTACGTTATGTATTATATTTAATATTACGCATATAATATTACACTTTCATATTAAAACATATCTCAATGGAATTTAGCAGAAACAAAGATTTATAGTCTGTGATAGTCCTACGTTGTAACATGTCTGATAGTATTTCCACAGCTAATTCTTCTCGTTATTACTGCTCCTTAAAATCTTCATTTTGGGAATAAAAAGTAAAGTTAATATGTATAAGGTATTTCCGATCGTGAAACCCATTCAATATATTAAGCCCGTAACGTTTCGTAGCAAGGTCCGCGTAGCGCCCGCCGTAGAAAGTAGGCGTAGCGAATTGTAGTAGTTAGCCGTAGCAGGCTACGGCGTAGTATTTTAGGCGTACAATGCACAAAACGATTGTTACATTTTTATATTATTTATAGTTTGTTATATTTATTGGCACTTACTAATTTATGTGAAGCGTTTACTACGGCGTCGTACGTCACTGGCGCAAGGTCCTCGTAAGAATAACTTTAGATTTTCGCATTTGAGGTCATAGTAAATTATACAAATATAACGTTTAGTTTCTATATTTGTAGCGCGTTATAACTGGAATTAGCTTCGAATGATGTCGGTGTTACGTGCGCTACGTTCAGTTCCGTTTTCTCCCTGCGTGTGATGTATTTAATTACGTAAGCTCTTTTTCAAATACGTTATTATTTTATCTAAGTTAATTACATTTCTCAAGATTA